AAATATGCCAAAACAGCTTGAAAAAATAAGTAAGGAAATGTCGTATTTTTTCCCTTGGTATTCGGCAGCCCGGCAACTCGGCAATCCGGCAGCCGAGCCGATTGTCTGCCAGGCCATTTATCAAAGCGCCCGGGGACGGCGGTACCCGGACAATAATCGGCTCGGCTGCCGAATTGCCGAGTTGCCGGACTGCCGGATGCCGAGTGAAAAATACAACATTTTCTTACTTATTTTTTCAAGCTGTTTTGGCATATTTTTTGTGATAAAAAGTTCCAAATTTCTCTCGTGAATAGAGGTCAAACCTCAGCTTCTTGCTCTGCTGATGATCAATGCTCTCCCCAAGTCGTACCAGACCATCGCTGGTACAATTCTCACTACGCAGACTGATGTTACGCTGCTCACAGCTGTGCTCATCAAGCCCAAGATCGTCGAGGAGGAACAGCACCGCGTCGCGAACCGCATACAGATTGCGCACGTCTCGAAGGCGCCTCTCCTTGACAAGAAATGTGAGAAGTGTGGTCGCAAAAATCACATGACGGAGCAACACTGGGACACAAAGCCGGCAAATTCTGGCTCGAGTTCCGGTAACAGCAACAATACGCAGCAGCAGCAGCAGGGTGGCGGAAAGTGCAAAAAGGGAAAAGGAAAGGGCAAAGCGAAGGACAATACCGCGATGACCACGCAGACTGTAAATACCATACGATTAGTCGATGTACCTGTAGTAGCTAAAATCAAAGAGGAATCCATCTCTGTTTCTCTTTATGCTACGGGTGTCAAGTCTAAGTGGATGGTCGACAGTGGTTGCACGACACATGTCACACCATACAAAACTGACTTCATTTGGTATCATGAATTCCCTAAGCCGGGTCATGCACGTACAGCTGGCAAAGGTCAGACTATCGAAATCAAAGGTCACGGTGAAATCGCTCTGCAACATTGTCTCACAGATGGACGAATTCAGCATATCCGGTTAGAAACCGTACTATATGTACTGAAAGCAGCAGAACGGTTCTTTGCGCCCAGAATGCCTCTCAATAACAGTCACCGTATTGAGATGGATGGCAAGAAGTTTGCATTACTCCGTGGGTCAGACCCAAAACAGCAGACAGTTTTAAGGGAGGGCGAATATGAAAAGTCGTCAGGTTTATATTGGCTAGAAGCTGAAGTCCTCACTAGGACCAGCAAGATTAGGCCAGGAACATTAATGTCAGTCAAATCTGACAACCCATATACGTTGTGGCACCGTCGCTTTGGACACGCCGGGAAGAAATCAGTTATTCAACTGCCTGGTAATGTTAAAGGCATCCTGGATAAGATCTCCGCTCCAACCAAGGATACTCCTTGTGATGGATGCGAATTCGGGAAGTCTTGTTGCAATGCATTTCCTGCATCTGACAGTCGTGCGGATCATTCCCTTGACTTAATTCACATGGATCTTGTTGAATATCCGTCATTATCACTCGACGGGTATAAGTTTGCCCTTACCACCCTCGATGACTATTCCTCATTTGGTTTGGTCTGGTATCTGAAACGGAAGTCTGATGCCTTCTCTGCCTTCAAGCAATTCGTCGCTTGGGCAGAAACACAGGCCGAGTGCAAACTCAAGACTATACGTTCGGACCATGGGGGGGAGTTTTTAGGCCGCGAATTCAACAATTTCCTAGCAGAACGCGGAATAGAGCGTCAACTCTCAGTGGCACAAACACCACAACAGAACGGCAGAGCAGAGCGCTGGCAACAGACCATACAAAATAAGGCAGAAGCCATGCGACATCACGCTGGCATGATGTCTGGGTTCTGGAAACTAGCATTGGAAACCGCAGTACACATCTACAATCGACAACCTCTGCACTGTCATCAATGGAAGCCACCCATCACTAAATGGAACGGCACTGTTCTGGATGTATCGTACTTTCGAGTATGGGGCTGCAAAGCCTATGTCCACACACATAAGGATGCGAGAATCAATAAGCTACAGCCAAAGGCTAAAGTCATGATCTTCATCGGGTATGAAATCAGTACAAAGGGTTACCGATTCTGGGATCCAACTGTCCGGACCATCGTTGTGTCATGCGACGTCACCTTCGACAAGTCTTCCTTCCCCAAGCGAGACGAAAGGCCTCGTGAGCCTGGAATGTCTCAAGATCCAATTCCACCTGTTTAACCCAACCAGCCAAACCCAGACCTAACCAGTCCGGATGACTTCACACCTGATGATCAATCCCTGGACAACGCACATCCACAACCACAGCAAAACGAACCACAACAACAGGATGACGACAAAGTTAATAACGATCCAGCCAATCGTTATGAACAATATCGAAGCTCAACTCTGGAACCATATGAACATCCGGAGATACCATTCGCTCCCGGTCCACCTCCTGGATCACCTCCACCTCAGAGAGAACATTATCGTCCTTGTCAGAGCGGACCAGCCGGTCCATCTCGTCAGGCAGCACCACCTGCTCCTGATATTTGGCAACAATGGAATCTCAAACCACAACCTGTGCCACACCCAGCCAGGCCACAGCGTGAGAATGCAGGCCAACGCCGTGTTCCCGATAACAGCTATGGTGACGTCTCGCCCACAGAAGCATGGTGTCAACAGGAACAAGACATCCAACGTGATCAACGAGAAGAACAAGAAGCACATGAACAACGTGAAAACTCTCCAATGGACATCGACAATCAACTCTGTCAGAATATATTCCAATGGATATGTCATGCACACCAGTCTGACCCCACTACGTACCATGAGGCAATGTCTCGCCCAGATGCGAAACAGTGGGAGATCGCGATGAAAGAGGAACTAAAATCTCAGGAGGAGAATTCCACATGGATTCTGGTCAACAGACCGAACAACTGGAGAATTGTAAAATGCAAATGGGTTTATGTGATCAAGCCTGACAGCCGCTATAAGGCACGTCTCGTGGCCAAAGGATTCACACAGATAAAGGGGATAGACTTTCAGGAAACCTTCTCTCCTGTCGCACGCTATGAAGCTATACGCTTCTTACTCGCACATGCCGCACTCGAAAATTGGGAAATCGAGGCAATGGATATCAAAACGGCCTTCCTGTATGGCGAGCTCGACGAGGAGATTTACATGGAACAACCAGAAGGCTTTGTGAAGAAAGGACAAGAAAAAATGGTGTGTCGATTAAAGAAGGCAATCTATGGTTTACGCCAAGCCTCACGCACCTGGAATGAGAAGCTACATACTACGCTACTCGAAAATGGATTCAAGTGCACGCGCTCAGATGCTGGTGTTTATGTTTATCATCATGACAAAGTTGAAGTTTACCTCATTGTTTATGTCAACAACCTTCTACCAATGGGTCCAAGTTTACCCGAGATCTAACGAGTTAAGAAAGTTCTTGCAGAGAAATTCCAAATGCGAGATCTTGGAGCCGCTAGTGCGTTCCTTGGAATGTGGATTACTCGTGATAGAAACAACAGACGTCTGGAAATCGACCAACAGTCGTATACCGAAGGAATCCTATCTCGTTTCCAGATGCACAACTCAAAACCTTGCCACACACCGCTGCCCGAAGGCATACATCTCGAGAAGGCTGCGGAAACATATACTGCTACTGACGCACTCTGCCATCACTATCAGTCCATGATTGGTAGTCTCATCTACTTGATGATTGGTTCACGACCCAACATCACCTGGGAAGTCACACAACTCTCACAGTACATGCAAAACCCTACGTCACAGCACGTGGAAGCCACGAAGCACATCTTCTGGTATCTCCGTCATACCACCGAGTATCGTATCCAGTACTCTGGCTCAAATCAGTCAGGTTTGATAGGGTATTCTGACGCAGACTGGGGCAAAAATCAGGATAACCGGCGATCAACGACCGGTTTTGTTTTCTTGATGGCCGATGGAGCAGTCACATGGGCATCTCAGATGCAGAAGACAGTGGCAAGATCCTCGACAGAAGCTGAATACATGGCACTCTCGGAGGCATGCTCTGAGTTAGCCTGGCTAACGTCACTCCAAAAAGAGTTAGGTTACTTCCCTACTGCACCACCACCTTTGGTGGCAGACAACCAAGGAGGAATCTTTCTTGCAGTCAACCCTGCTCACGACCAAAGGCTCAAGCACGTCGACATTCGATATCACTTCATACGCGAATACGTAGAAGAAAAACGAGTGGACATAGTCTATGTTAGTACGGACAAAATGATCGCCGACACATTGACAAAACCACTCGGTGCAACGAAATTTGAGCGCTTCCGGTCTATGCTAGGCTTGGTCTTCAATAGATTAGGCAATAACTAGTCGAGTGGGAGTGTCAGAACTGGGTGATTACGTCATTGCCCTGTACGGGCTAATGGGAATATCATCACATGATCCCTCTATTATCTTGTAGTAATATGACACCTGATTACTCATGCTTAGTATACATGCTTACGCTCACAGTACCATAGGTCTTATAGCAGTATCAGAGGTCCCGACTCACATGTATATATACTGGCCCTGTAGCACAGAATAAAGCAAGAGTTCAGTCGCACTTTCACAGCAGCCTCGCTTTTCTCTCGCGCATCAAGCAAGCGCCTTGCGTTGCTCAAGCACTGACATTTGTACCTCTCTTTTCAGGCTCAAGTAGAGGAGTAGGCTCACACAGGTTTCTCAGAGGCTAATCTGGCGCAATCCACTAGAGTGGGTTAGATCCCTGTAATAACTGTTTGTTTACTGTTTATAAACTGTTTATAAACATTTACAACCATTTACTGTGTGTTTACAAAAAAAGTTTACATGTAAACTAAACGGTTGGAGCCTTAGTATTAGGGGCTTTACACGGCTGGCAAAATGAGAAAAAAATGATCATGACCACCGCAGGGGTCGAACCTGCAATCTCCTGATTCGTAGTCAGACGCGATGCCATTTCGCCAGGCGGCCTTAATCACTTTTGATCTGTAATTATATCCATACGACTTAATCAGCATATTTGTAGTCGCCGCACCGCCAGAGCCTGATATGCACAGTAGGTAATTACAGTATTACATTTGATCTTCTAGTTTGCTCCAGCGCCGCTGACGGAAAGGTTAGCCATGCCATCCGCAATCTCTTCGTCCCTCTCATGCAACTTCGTGATTTTGCCGATGGCTATTGTGCGGCCTGCATGAATGGTCAACCTCGGACCGAAGGGAAGATCGGAAAAGCAGAGACACCAACCTTCATCACGCAGGGTGAAGCGACCGAGTTGTGGATAGTCTACAAAGCGCTCGACACAGACGAGCTGAGCAGTCTCTATCAGTGCGACCACCTTCTGACCTGTGGGGGCCAGTGCAGCATTTAGAACGTTGAGTGAGCCTGATCGATCAAAATAGGACGCACCCCTCTTGGCGAATTGAGGAGGTTTCCTGGACTTGCGGCCAGTCGCCTTGTCAAAGTAGTGCAGTAGAGCCTACACACTAGATGTCAGAGATCGAGACGAGTAGGGACTTTAGTTACGCACGGTAAGGTTGACTTCTTCTGCGAGGGTATGGCAGTGCATGACGGCAGAGTAGCCGGCGCAAATGATATTCTTGTGTTCGAGTATAGCGAGCTGTGCCTCGAATTGCCTTACGGCGTGGACAGGCTTGTGCGGGCTCGTTAAGACGAAGCCGGGGCTGATATCTTCGTCGTCGACGCCACGCAACCGGATACGAACGTTGTCACCGCAAAGTGCTTGATTGACCTCCTCTTCCATTTCGTTGTTGATCGCAGCAACCTCGACCTCGTTTTTGTTGGGCATTAGGACAAGGGTATCGCCTTTGCGTACGAGGCCGGACTCGACCTTGCCCACGACAATCGTTCCCATATCCTTGTACTTCTCGGAGATAGGGATCATGAGCGGAGAGCTGAGCTTGCGGTCAACCATGGGCATGACATCGAGATGCTCTAGCAGAGATTCGCCGCTGTTCGTATAGATCAGTATCGGAGAAAACCATGGCGGTCTGTGCGACTAACTTCCACCATGGGCAGACGGACTTGTCGACTCGCTCCTTCAGGTTGGCACCTGTAAAGGCCGACACAGGAATGAAGCTGACGTCCTTGATGCTGAAGCCGGAGGCTTTGATGAAGGGGGTAAGCTTGCCGACAATCTCGTCGAAGCGGGCCTTTTCCCACTTGACGGTCGATTCGTCCATCTTATTGATGACACAAACGAGCTTGGACACGCCAGCAGTCTTGACCAGCATGATATGCTCGCGCGTCTGCCCTCCCTTCTCGAAACCTGTCTCGAACTCACCCTTCCGGGCGGAGATGACAAGGACGGCGACATCGGCCTGCGCAGCGCCAGAGATCATCGAGGGGACGAAAGTCTTGTGCCCAGGTGCATCGAGAATCGTGTATCTCCTCGAGTTCGTTTCAAAATAGGCACGGCCAACTTCGACTGTCTTTCCCTTGGCGCGCTCCTGGGGTGTGGAGTCTAGAGCCCATGAGAGGTACCAAGATTCACGACCAGCCTCTTTGGCCTCGCGCTCGTACTTCTCGAGAGTACGCTTATCGACCATGCCGCAAAGGTACAACAAGTTTCCACCCATGGTGCTCTTGCCGGCATCGACGTGACCAATGAAGACGATGTTCAGATGTTCCTTGACTGATCATAAGATAATTGTCACCGACAGCGTATCTCAGCAATCTTGACTGTACGCACTATTTCCAAAGAGGTCCTTGAGAGTTGCCTCGTCTACAGCATTCTGGACTTCCTGGGCGATAGCAGCAGTATCGTTCTTGGCCCGCTCCAGTGAGAAAGTGTCTGCTGTTGAGGCCTGCGACAAGCTAGATTTCGCAGTAGGTTTAGACGCAGCTTTCGCAGGGGTGGAGGCGCCTGAGCCTGCAGCAGGGGCAGGGCTCCGGGGACGCGAAGGGGTGGTGGTGGCTGACGCGACTTCTGAAGGAGGAGCAGAAGCAGGGGCAGCGGGAGCAGCAGGAGTTACGGGGGTGGACGCAGGTTTGGATCCGCCGATATTTAACGAGATGGTGGGAGGGGGAGCAGGAGCTTCAGTTTGAGGAGGCCGTTCAATGGGTGCCGGGGGTGGAGGAATTTGGGCACCGGGCTGCTGCTGGGGAGCACGGAAGGCCTGGCCGGGAACGAAAGAGAAAGCGTTTGCGTTGAGTTTGCTCATAGCTTGAACGATTTACAAGAAGATGAATGTCTCGTGAGCGTCGTACGGGGCGATATCAAGGCAATCAGGCGAAGAGACGGGGAAAGATGGGAAGGACAGAGAGGACCACCGATGGTCAGTGAAGTGTACGCTTCAAACTTTCCAAGATCTAATGATTCTATGACTCTAGACCCCGGCACCGCTGACGGCGGATCCACTCACTCACTACGAAGAATTAGCATTGCCGCGTGATTTGTCATGAAACGGCATTCTACAAATAGAGGAGTGCGGGCATATTATTTTTTGAATACTTCCTGATTTACTAGACACAAGGAGAGGAACGAAGAGGAAGCAGACCCCGCACACTCCTTGCCGCCATCACGCTCGGCCAAAAGAGGAAATGGGATATGTCACTGCCGCGCCTGCGGGAGGCGAACCTCATTCCTCTTTACCCTGAATGTCCTCTGATCCCGAAGACTACCTCGCTGTACTCAAAGCAGCGTATGATTATGAGCCGCAAGCTGACGCGGAAGATGAGTTAGCAGTAAAAGAGAACCAGTTGCTATTTCTTCTTGAACGCACAGACGATGAGTATGTAGCCCGCCCATTCAACCCCCACATCCCGTGTCCCGCAAACTAAGACTCGCACTCTGTTAGATGGTGGAAGGTGAAGGTGAAGGCGGATATGCAAGATGAAGATGGGCCATCAGGTCTTATTCCGGCCGCATACGTTGAGCCCGTAAGTAACAATGAACGTGTCTGTTGCCGCGCCCTCATAGACTGACACCATTCAAGGCGGAACGCATCTCAGTGGTCAAAGTACTCTACGAATACGAGGCACAACAGCCCGGAGAGCTCTCCGTGGGCGAAGACGAAGTTCTCTACGTATATGACAAGGATGAAGACTGGCTACTGGTGCATAGCCAGAAGGAAGGCGGCAAGGTCGGTTACGTCCCTGGTAACTACGTCGAAGAGGTCTGTTCTTGCTTCACTTCACCTCGAATGTCGCATATTCAGCTCTTACGCGCAAGGTGCCAGAGGAAGGGGAGTCAACTCCACAGGCTGTAGCCTCCCCACCGGCCGTTGACCTTTCTAAGCTTGTGATCCCGGACTCGGTACGTGAAGAGATTCACCAGCTAAGTCAACACCCTATTCATGATATTTGTAATAGCCCCCAAAGCCTGCATACACGGATCCTGCAGAGCTGGTCAATAAGAGTAAGGCAAAAGCTCAGGCTGGACCAGTTGAAACATGGTCGGTATCAGAGGTCGATAAGAAGGGCAAGAAGAAGAAAGGCACTCTCGGAGTGGGCAACGGTGCCATGTTCTTTGCCAGTGAGTCCGACAAGGTGAGTGCCTTTAGCATTCCCCTACTTCATCCGGAGCGGGGTGGCGGAACTCCGGTCTCACATGAAACTGCCCCAGACCCCAGTTCAAAAATGGCAGACCTCAGACATCCTCACGACTCGTATCGAGAAGAACAAGCATGTTCACATAGACATTGGTGGTATCTCGCCAATCAGCCTTCACTTCCATGCCGGCTCCAAGGACATTGCAGATACCATCCTGAACAAGCTCCAGGAGGCTCGACTTCCCCTTGAAGCGCAGGAAACTACCCTAGCGGTTGAGCCACCCGAGAGACCGAGAAGCAGTGCACAAAAGTCCGTTCACTTCGATAATGCAGCACCGGTGATTATCCCTCCTCGCGAAGATGATGGGCAATCGGAACCGGACGAAGACGGCGGGGAGTACGGAGAAGAGCCAGACGGACCTCGCGCTGCAGTGCTGTATGACTTCCATGCTGATGAGGAGGACGAGATGTCTGTCTCCGAGGGCGAGACCCTTCTCGTGCTCAAGCGCGACACGGACGAATGGTGGAAGTGCCGGAACGCACGTGGTCAAGAGGGTGTCGTTCCTGCTAACTATCTTGAGGCAAGCCTATAATATCCAGCTGCACTTGCACCATCACTGATTGTTTCGCGTAGCTGGTCCCGGGAACTGAGGGTGCTGGCCGGTCGTCCACAGACTCCGACGCCTCTGAGGCTCAGGCAGCAAGAGCGACCGCAGAGCGTGCGGAGTCTGAACGGCGGGAACGGGAAGAGGCTGAACGCAAAGAGAGGGAGCGCAAGAAGGAGGCTGAGCAACGAGCGAAGGCAGCAGCAGCCCAAGCTGAGGCAGATAGGCGGCGTCGCGAGCAAGAGCGAGAGAGACAGCGCGAGAAGGAGAAGGAACGTGAACGTGTTGCTGATGAGGAAGCTCGTAGGAAGGCTCGCGACTCTATGGAGACTCCGAGATCCCCGAAGGCAAACGGCTCTGGTTCAAGAAGCTCAGCCGAGAAACGTTAGTCCTGACCAGTCATATGTTGGCCGGATTTGCTGAATGTCATCTTCCCACAGGTCCACCTCCCACGGCCAACGTACGCACTTGGCATGATCGGACAGGCCAGTTCCGAGTTGATGCTGCCTTCCTTGGCTTCGCGAGCGGCAAGCTCAGGCTTCACAAGGTCAACGGCGTTGTCATCGAAGTGCCTTCTGATAAGATGTCTGCCGATGATATGAAGTACGTCGAACGTGCGATGGCAAAGCAACGAGAGCAGCAACGTGGCTCTTCGCCTCGTGGAACCTCAGACGATGAACCTTTGGAACACCGGAGGCGTTCGCTGCAACCTTCTGCGAAGACCGCTCAGTCGTCGAAGAAGGGTCCAACGGTCGATTGGTTCGAGTTCTTCCTCAGTGCCGGTTGTGATATTGACGACTGCACGCGGTATGCCGCATCCTTCGAGCGAGACAAGATTGACGAAGCCATCTTACCCGATATCACCGAGTCTACAATGCGTTCTCTTGGCCTCAGGGAAGGCGATATAATCCGTGTGAAGAAGGCGATTGATGCGAGGAAACCCAAACCGACGGAAGACGTAAAGGCGGATCAATTACGCCGTGACGAGGAGCTCGCAAAGCAATTGCAGGCGCAGGAGAATGGCGGCACGCCTCGAGGCGAAGCTCCCAATCTCTTCGCTGCAGGTCCCAACGGCGCACTCAAGAACAATGTGCGTAGGGGTAGACCCCAGCCGAGCAAGAGCGTTCCCTCGACAGTCGACATTAATGCCATTAGCTCGGCTTCGGACCAGATTCAACGTACAGGTACCCCCAGCCGTGCAAGTGGCACGCCGACTCCACAGCTGCCTGAAAGGTCGAACTCTGTGTCACTTGCACCTACGCCTAGCGGCTTCGATGATGATGCATGGACAGTTAGACCAAGCTCAACGACACCTATCGCCCCATCGTCGCCCGCGAACAACCGGGCCGCGCCCACTCCGCCTGTCGCACCACCGGCACCTCCCGTACAGGTGGCTGCTCCTGCACCAGCTCCTGCACCAGCACCGCCTGCTGCTGCGCCTCCAGCGGCGCCAGCTCCTCCCCCTGCACCCCCGGCGCCCTCGGCTTCTGCGCCCCCTGCTACGACACCTGCAGCGCCAATTCAACAGCCCGGGATGACTGGTTCCAGCTTGGCAAAGAAGACAGAAGCAGATGTCTTTGACCAGCTGGCACGTCTTAACGTACTTCGCCTGCAAAACCCTGTCATCACCCAGAGACCAGCCTCTGCGTTAAGTTCTGGGGTCACCTCTCCCCCGCCGCTTAGCTTCCAGTCTGGCTTAGGCATGGGCTCCTCACCGGCGCCTCTTGCCCAGCATCTGCAAGCTCAACGGACCGGAATACTCGCACCACCGCAGCCCATCAATGGTCCTCGAGGTCCGCTTGCACCCGTGCCGGCCAACCAGGCCTTATTGCAGCCGCTCATCCCGACGAACACCGGCTTCAACAGCTTCGTTCCAGCACGGCCCCAAAGCACTCCTTCGTACTTGCAGCCTCAACAGACGGGCATTCTTGGACCTCCGCCGCAACCGCTTCTATCGCAACCTACTGGCTTCCAAGCACCGCCGCCGCCCAGCTTCCGGCCACCGCAGATGACAGGCCTCCAGGGACCGCAGCCTACTGGCTTCCAAGGACTGCAGCCAACAGGATTCCAAGGCTCGCAACCGGTCGGCTTCCAGCCATCACCACAACCGTTCTTGTCGCAGCCCACTGGTTTTCAGCCTTCTGGCCCCATGCTTTCGCAGCCAACTGGCATTGGGGGCAACTTCGGTGGTATATCTTCGTTCCAGAACCCGTCTGGTAGCTTTGGACAGGTTCAACCTAGTAAGGATTCGCATGTCTCGAACACGCTTCGGATAATAACCCAGTGATAGACCCGACAGGTTTCAACCCCGGCTTCGGGCAGTTCAATGCGACATCACCACCGCCTGCACCGCAGCCACCTGCGTCGAATCAAGTCAATACCAATCCTGCCAACATCTTCGCTCAGATGAAAAGCGGGACGTTTGGACAGGATGATTCGCTGCAGCCTCAGTCCGCAGGTATGTTGATGCACCGCATCAATTTGAGCTCTGCTAAATGATCTGGCACAAGATAAATATGACTCTTTGCGCCCTCAACCTACAGGATGGGGAGGAGGATACCAAGGGATGAATGGCTTCTCCGGAGGGTATGGATTCCAATAATAATCTTGCTATGATGTATATATTATACCATCGATGTTTTGTCTAACGCGATAATATTCCGTCCGTGAATTATACCATGCTATACAAAGAGTGCGAAAGCCGATAAATAGGAAGATTGCGAAATAGTCATCATGACCGCTCTATGATTCCTTGGATATAGCCTACTCGCAAGAAGTAGTCGCGAAGATTTTGTCTGATCTCGGGAGCCATCTCGCGAGAGAGAAGTTCCGTTGCAAGCGGATATATGGCGGGAAGGTAACGAGCAAACTGTAGCACGAGATCAGCGTCCCCACCAAGTATTTCAGCGGGTAAGGAAAGACTCACCGCCCTGTCGTCGAACTTGGTGAAGCCTTGTAGGATTTCGGCGACGACCGGTGTCCAAGCAGCGATGTTCTTAGCCTGGCTGTCCAAACGCAACTTCGTGAAGTCTTGCAAGACTCCGAGACCCAACCTGGATAGCTGTCAATCATAATGACCGAAGAAAAAAGCGACTAGGCTTACGGGAGCAAGCGGTCAGCAACCTGTGGCCGTGCTGCTTGATGCTCGGGTCGGAGATCGTAATACATCCGTAACAAGATATGGACGAGGGTGGAGGCGCTGCTAGACTCCTGCTTGAGCAGGTTGGGAAGATGCTTCATGAAGCCTGCAGACAGACCCGTGAGCAGCAAGGACCAATAGTCCCAGCGAAAATTGCACTCACCGACTTTCCAAAGCCCAGTTCGCAGCTCCTTATCTTCATTGAAGGCTCTCGCGAACTGATAGCTATGGTCCAGAACACTCATCAACCGGAGCAGATGTTCGGGCGGAATGGTGCTATACACCTCTTCATTACGTAGCAAGTCATTAGTGGTCTCGATGAGAAGTAGCTGCAGAACGCATTTGACAATGATCTGCTTGAAAATCGTTCGTCTCTCGCTGAGTGAAACTTGCCGCCCAGGCTTGGTTTGCTCGCCGGTAGACAAGGGCGCGGGAACAATGGTCTGTCCGGTCGATTCTTAAGGCAAGCATGAGTTCACGATCTTGATAAACGATCAGTTGCGCTTACCCGTCTCCTGGAGATCTGGACTGCTGCCATCAACATCCACTCGGAGGCTCTCATCGAACAACAGGTGCGGCGTGGTTGTACGGAAGAGCCTAACAAACGTTGTCGCCACTCGTTCCCAGCGGGCAGGGCCTAACTTCTTGACGTTGTTCTCTAACAACTGCTGCAAGCAGGATGTGCCGATACGAGCCAAAGTGTCGTTTTCTGACCGGCTGTCAGATACGAGATACAGATAATGCCACTGGAAGACGCACCTTGACAAATACACACGCAGAGCAAGTCCAGAAGTCCGTCCAAAAAGCGCTCCAGCGTCTCGAAGTAGAAGGTGTAGAGGTCGATTAGATTGCGTAAAGCTTGAATCATAGTAGACGACAACCAGACGCTCATATCCTCCTGCGTGCTGAATCGTGACAAGTCTTGGCTTGATTTTAGGACTGCAAAGATTGGGAACAGGAGTTCTTGACAGACTGTATCCCAGAATTCAACCGGGAACGTCGAACCGTATGTCTTGAGCGTTGAGAACAGAGAGTCGAGAGCCCTAAAAGAAAAATCAGAGGTCACGTGCGAGACCAAAAGTACGAGGAAAACCCACAGTCTTCGCACTTCAAGATCCTCGCCATTCATGATCACATCATAGAATCCAAATGACACGGGGAACCAGAACTTGATCATAGGGTCATCCGTTGGTTCTGCCTTTGCAATCGCAGCCGGACTGAGCCCGCAGTCTGGACACTCCAGCATGACGGGAATGACACCCCGAAGCATAGCGATGGCGAGCAGGCTGATCTTCTGGTATTTCGTGACCTTGCAGAAGTCCGTGATACAGACGGTTAGATCTGCGAATGCGCCATGACGGACAATGGATCGGAAGTGTTCCTTGTTCAAACGAGTCACGATCTCAAACGCTGAGCTGACGATGCGTTCTACTAAGCGTTAGAGAGAAGTCTGGGGGATATACACTTAACAACCCTCACCTGTGGGCACTTTGGCGGCGGATGAGAACACGCCAAACATAGTGCGCCAGCCGGAGCGCAAGTTCGCAACACGAGCTTGGATCATTTGTTGGAGGCATTGGAGAACCTGCACACATGAGACGCATAGCCTCTGGACGGATTAGCAAGCTTACCATGTCCCGCACTTCCGGATTCGAGTTGTGAACCATCGTATACTCGAAGGGACGTAAGAAGTCCTTTTGAAATTTGAAATGCGGCAGCTCTTCCTTTTCTAAGAACCTCATGGCCAGCTGACGAAGAGCGTCCAAGGCGAAGAAGGCGACGTGGGGATTGTTGTGGCAACACACCTGCAGCACGGTTCGCTCAGAGCAATCGCCAGATTCTAAATGCTACTCACTTGGTTGAAGTGTTCACCAAGGATGTCCCAGAGGTTTGACCACTCGAGACGGATACGATTCATGTTGTAGTAGGAGATTTCAACGAGCTTCTGCAAACTGAACAGACGTGGGTGTTGCGACATGCCAGACGACTGAATCTCCTCCCATGACACGTCGCAGAGTGCTCTGACGAAATCGACGATTGCGGTCTAGAAAATGCGGCTTAGCTTTAACAACTAGTGCACACCACCAGCAAACTTACGCCAGACAGATAGTGACTCAAGGAGAAAACCATATCGGCAGCGACCGTGATGTGCGTCGAACGACTCTCATTCGCAAGCTCCTCAGTTGGCAACTTTCGCGGCCGGCTAGCACCCTAGTTAGCCCAAGTAATGTATCGTAGGCTCATAAACGTACCCCTTCTTGCCGTCTGGTAGATCCACGCCACTGGTGATCAACTGCATGTGCTCCAATTGACTGACGCATGTGAGGACTTCTCGCCATGAGCTCTTGAGGTTGTTACCCTCAGTCACGGCGACGTCCAATAAAGCTTTGATTGCCTCCATGTTCTTCGTCTTCATCTCACCTAAGTTATTCAGGAAAGTGAACTTGGCGAGAGTCGTGACGAATGCGTTGCGCTCCAATTCGAGATCGAAAAAAGATACAATCCGAACGGCGCTCTTGAAGCCGTCCAAGCAAAGCTCGACAATCTCCAGATCATCTGTGCCTTGTAGAGGACCAGATAGGCCGGCCAAGAAAGGAATCCATGCAACCTCGAACATAGGCTTAACATGGACGAAGTGAGACGCGCTGAAATATTGGTCGCCCGACTTGGAGCCTTTCCGCTGCGAGCGCATGAGCGTCCGGAACAAGGCCTGTAATGGTCCAGATAAACATTCGCATTAACACGATTGTTCAAAAGAATTACCTCGGTCTTATTTGCCATATTGTTTGATTGCATCATGTATGCCTCCTTCTGGTAATCCCTACCCACATTCGCCAAAGCGTTGGCGAAACCCGGAGCAGGAGCAGCAAGCACCTGAGCAGCTTCAATCTCATCCTTCATGCGGATCTCGTGGTTGACAATCTCATCGTAAATGGACGAGAGTAGCTCCTCTGGGAGGTCGCGACCATCGTTGATGCCGCGGTTATTCTTAATGAAGTCTACCTTACTCATTCGGTTCTTGATTTGCGGGTTGTGTGCGTCCGTGTTGAGCAGGATCGTCGAATAGGCCAGCACGTAAGCGGTATCTGGTAACTGGTCAGTAGAGCACGAACAACAGGACCGTAGTTCTAGCTTACCGGCATTTGCGAAGACTGTCTGCGGATTACCATCAATGTAGCGTTCCGCGAACTTCAGCATGAAACGATCGATCTTTTGAGCTTCTCCCGGAAGACGGAACGCCTGCAGGAAGACACGAAGCGCATCAACGAATTCCAGTCCACGGAACTCCATCAGATCGACGAAAGCGTGCATCGTTGCCACATTCCCCTCGTCACTACAAGACGGTGAGTTCGGAGATAACGGATATATCGCATGGGTATACTCACGCCTCGCCAAGATATTCGCCAATCATAGCCTTGCTAAGACCATCCGTTTCCAGTAGGAACCGGGCAATATCTTGCGGGGCCGGGCCGGAGATGAAACCAGTCTCTAGAAAGAATTGGATGCCCTACAAATGATCAAGGTGAGACAGTTGCACAATGGTTGAACCAATGTATACTAACGCGCTTCGGCTTGTAGTTGAACTTCTTGATACCTTCCAGCAGAGTAGTCTTCTTTTGCTTCGCGCTCTCGAACTTCGTTGGGTCATCCGCAATCTGATCTGGAGTGGGCATTCTGCTGGACTCCGCGAGGCTTGGTGCAGTGGAGAGCTTGTCCATTGAATGGTCCGGTGTGACGGTGTCAGCACGTTCGTCCCCCGCGGCTGTTCTCGTCTGTTCCTTATCGCCTGGATGCTCCACGCTTGTTGCATTCGTAGTACCCCACGCAACTAATGACTTCAGCGTCGCCACTAGACATTCAAGACTCTGCCGGCGAAGTTGTGATTCCGAGGTGCCAAGAGTCGACGTGTCGATAGCGCCTAGGCTGGACAACGCGTTCGTGCTCAAAGCTGGTGGTACCGCGTTCCCATTCGTTTTAGAAGTGGGAGGCAGACCTGGACTCGTCGGATCAGCTGATTTATGGGGAATTTGAGAAATCGGTGCCGTCGCCAGCTTGGAGATGATATTGATGAGGCTTAGGCGTAGATGTTAGTTCAAAAGACGTTATGCGAAGCGAGCCAGCTCACTGCTCATAGATGTTGTCTACCGCATCGCTATCACAGTCGTAATTGAGATAGATTTCAACTAGAGCCTGTGGATCTTGAGTCAGCCTCTGCAGCATATTGAGGATGACGGCCTTCTGCTTGAGGGTCGACGTTTTCATCTCTAAGATGGGAATGAAGATCTCGTGCAGTAAAACCTCAACCTCTTTCTGCGAAGACATCATGGATTAGTCAATGCAAGATCGCAATTCCGTATAACGCGCCTTAAGCTTGGTACGCATGCCGGAGATGACCCTCCAGAATATTTCCACGCTTGCCTCGAAGACTTGGGCTACGGGGCTAACGGCGTTACGACTCAGGCACAAACAGAGGTACTGCGTAATGGCCTGCACAAATGTCGTCGAGTCGTTCGAGGAGCTCGAATAGATGATAGTATCAGGAGAAACAACTAGTGGCATGTGGTTGTTCAAGATCGTTAGAACGAGGTGGAGCGATAGCAGCTTCGACCGCATAGCATGCGACTTGAGATCGCGCTCGCTGTTCACGCCGAATACATCAACAAAACCGATACGACTTGTCATCAACAGCACGAACCTCTCCGGGTTTAGCGGCTTCATAGTCAGTTTGCAAAGAGCCCGGAAGACCAAAAATGCGTCCTTGATAAAGAGATCGTTTGTGGACATCTCCACAGAGAACGCCTCATGTTCCTCATCAATTGCTTCGATAGTCGCGCTCTCAGAGATTTCCCTGCAAGTATGTCAAGACTGATAAACACGTAAGGTCCACAATGAAAACTCACTGTTGATGCTGGGAAGGTTTATTCGGAGTCTCCGGCACTTCTTCTGCGTGTCCGTTGGCTGGAAGCTCAACCCCCTCCGAACGGGGGGTGTGTGCCGCAGGCTCGGCACGAGCAATGTTCTCATTCGCATAAGGTGGAGCAGGTTCCGGGATCTCGTGCATAGCATGGTTGTCCGCATCCACTGAAGCTGGAGGGCTAAGGGGTGTAGAAAGCCGTAGAGGTGAGTTTAGTGCAAGGGAACGCCGCTTCACGCTCTCCGTCCGGGAGGCAAGTGTGCCTGATGACGCCCTTCGGGACAGCGCACGCGGTTCCAACTTGCATCGTGCGAAAACGTGATTAACCATTTGGGTGAGACCACCCTGAGCAACAGTCTGGTTAATAGGGTCGACGCTAAGCAGGAAGACATTATAGACCGTCCGGACGGCCTTCAGCAGGGAAGACTGGTGGACAAGAACAGTCGGAGAGAGGACTAGAGCGAGCAGTGCCTTGACAATCTGGAGCGAGACCGTTTCTGGGGTAGATTCGCTATGACAGGAAGTGATAGTGTGGACTACCAGATCGACGAGGGAACCGCCAGGAGGGTGACTAGCGGAAGAGGTCGAAGGTCGAGTGCCAGGGCCAGGCGAAGGAGGAGGTGAAGGAAGGCCTTGTGAGGGCTGACCCGTTTCGGCGAAGAATGAGTACGAGATGAGTTTAGAAATACAATCCAAGCTTGCAATCATAAGCTTCTCGTTACGGGTCTCGCAAGCCAGGCGTAGTGGCTCAAAGATTTCGCGCGGCCGGTCTCCGCCCTCGCCTCGTTTGACCATTTCCAGAGCACGTTGCACACTTTCGCGCAACGGCTGCGAACGCTTGGCATCTCGAGACGCAGCAATGGTCTCCAAAGCAGACGAAACGAGCACGGCCGACACCGTCCGACCTTTGGATATAGTCAAAGAACGGCGATGCGATGCCGACGAAGTGGGCCGTGAGGGAATTCCACGAGTTCCAGCGTGGCCATTTGTTCTCTTGTCCATCGAGCTTTCTTCAGATTGACGCACCGACTGTGTAGTAGACGCGGGTGTAAGGCTGTCACGTCGCGGCGGAGGTGAACTGACCCCCGGGAGAGCATCCGGCTTTACGGGAGGAGTAGGAGGTATCGTACTGGCTGAGGTTCGTGATTCATGTGAGGCAAACGTGGAGCTCCCGTGCTCAGACTCGCTAGATGCCGTCGAGACCTGCGATGATGCTGAATCCTGCACCTTCATACGTTCTTCCGCAGCCGTACCCTCTACAACTTCCTGAGCGTCACCACTGCCCTGCAGAGGCTCTTGTTGCTGCGTTTCCTCAACTGACTTTGTTCGGTGCTCGTCTGTAGACTCCGTATGTGCGGGCTCCTGGTCTGGTGGGGGGAAAGTTAATGTCGCACTACCGCCAGCGGGAGGAGAGAGAGGTAGTGGTATCGAGGCCGCTTGCTCCACGTCGACAGAGCTCATCGGAGATGGTACACGACGTCGACAGGCGCAATGGTGAGATAGGTCGCGTTGTCGTCGTTGTCGGCGGTGAATGTGAACAGCTGTGCCCGCACCGCGCTCACCGGTGTCGGCGATCAGCCGCCACGTGACGTCCGTAGCGAAACGCGCTCAAGCGCCCAATACGATATGGCGTCTGTACTGCGTTCCTGCCCTCGTTCTCGCTCTACCCTCCACTTTCTTGAACCATGAAATCCTCCTCCGACGTCCCTTCCGGCGCATCTTCCGCTGTCTTGAAGCCCTCCGAGCCTATGCCGGACTTTGCAGTTACGGTAGAAGGGCCCAGCTTCGACGAAGCCATAACTCTAGAGAAGTTGCTTGACAGCTACAAGCGCATCGGCTTCCAAGCAAATAGCCTGGGAAGGGCTATCGAAATTGTGAACAGGATGGTGCGGTCCATATTATATTTGCTGCACACGCACTATAGCTGACTTGTATAGCGATCTTGGAGACTGTCCGACGAAAATGTTGCTGAAGACGAAGATGAGGAATTCCGCGATCCCGAAGCCAGGAAGAAGGTCAAGTGTGACGTATTCCTGGGCTACACGTCAAACCTCATTTCTTCAGGTCTGCGAGAAATTATCTTGCACCTCGTGAAGCACAAGCACGTACGAGCCGTCGTGACCACAGCTGGGGGCATCGAAGAAGATTTCATCAAATGCCTAGGCAAGACTTATCTGGCTGACTTCAACCTAGACGGTGCCGATCTGCGCAAGCGAGGCATGAACCGTATTGGCAATCTCATAGTGCCCAACGACAATTACTGCAAGTTCGAGGATTGGCTCACGCCTATCCTGGATACTATGCTTGCAGAACAGAAAGAGACCGGTCAAGTCTGGACTCCTAGCTCTTTCATTCGTCGATTAGGCAAGGAGATAAACAACGAAGAGTCTGTATATTACTGGGCTTATAAAGTGAATGCATCCATCTTCATCTGTCATGACGTTACATGAGACTTACGCCTTTCCATAGAACGATATTCCCGTTTTCTGTCCTGCTTTAACGGATGGCTCGCTGGGCGACATGCTGTACTTCCACTCATTCAAAAACCCCGGGCTTATCGTTGATATCGTGCAAGATATTCGCAATTTGAACGAGCTTTCAAGACGTTCCCGCAAAGCAGGCATGATTATTCTTGGCGGCGGTGTTTGCAAGCATCAGATTGCCAATGCCATGCTGATTGTAAGGCACTTTGTACCACTCTGCGCAGCAGAGATTTGAATTGTGTCCCTCAGCGTAACGGAGCCGACTATTCCGTTTATATTGTAAGCTTAAGCTGAAGAAACTGATAGTGGAGGGCTAATAACTTTATAGAACACCGGTCAAGAATTTGATGGCTCAGACTCCGGGGCTCGTCCAGATGAAGCTGTCTCATGGGGCAAGATACGTGCCGGCTCAGAGTCCGTCAAGGTGTGTACTCGGACCTTGACTGTTTGATCAGTCGTTGACAGCATCAATATCTTCGTTCCACAGGTCTACGCCGATGCTACTTTAGTATTCCCTTTGCTGGTGGCGGCTACTTATGGCCGTAATGTGTCAATACAGACGTAGTAGAGAAATCCGGTACCGAGATATATTAGGGCCATACGTCTTTGATATGACACAATCAAACTAACGTTTGTAGAGCACTGAGATCCTGCCAGGATAAATATCGAAGATTCAGGACATATTCCGCTGCTAAATTCCCTCACTGTCTTGCACGTGTTGGATTCGGTGATTTGCCATAATACCACAATACGTTGCGCACTTCTCACTGTGCTAGCATATCGATCTGTTGTACATTGCAATACATGTCCATTCGAGTTTTGTTCATGAGCTATCCGCAAACATGCAAGACCCGCACCGTGATCAGCCCACTACGGCAACAAGATAATTGCAATCAGCGTACCAGTGTATCCACTACATCTGCATTGATATTGATACACTGCTACCGAGCGCAGACCTGCAACCTTTGAGCAGTAAAAGACATGCTCTAAAGCATGGCCCTTACACTTAGGTACTAAGCGCAGGCATATGTCTAGACTCCAAAAAGCAAAGGATTTTGCACTTTGAAGTCGACGCGCCAAAAGAAAATCCCCCCCCCAATCACAAAAGTACATGACCACCGCAGGGGTCGAACCTGCAATCTCCTGATTCGTAGTCAGACGCGATGCCATTTCGCCAGGCGGCCGTTGAAGTCGATAAACATAGTCTGCTTATATCAAACCATCTATATGCAACCAACAAAGCATCCCCTGAGCGTACGCTCCTGAGCTTTGCGTCTTTAAGCTGGAATGCTAAACTTCCCTGTAGTTGAAGCAGACGTAGAGAAGGTCGCCAGCTCAGGCAGTTGTACCAATCAAATTACGGCAGTGCACATTTTATTTCCACACTTTTATGTGATTAGAATGTGGCCGGGACCAGCAGGGAGAATCGCGATAAGGTGGATGCACGCATTATGTCTCTCGCTGGGAAGAGGGCGCACGAAGCTATGGCAATTCACTACGGTCGGTGACTACTTAGAATTGTTGACACCCTGCGTAATGTCTGGACAGCGCGCGATTAACGTCGTGTGTATTGACGGACGTGACAATGGCCTCGCCACACAGGTAGCAAAAATGCCTTGATGACGGGTAAGATTTGTTGGCAGCACGTTATAATAGAAATACTCACGTGTTACAACCGGGAGATTTGCACTACGACAAGGTTAGTATATTGAAGAAGCATCTTGAAGGGTGTATCCTCACCGCCATATGATTGCACCCGCCTATCTTCTCTGCTGGTGTCCGACAACCTGTAGCAGCGGTTAGTCCGGCTTCGCATGGTCAGCGAGCGTCCATACCTGGGCAGTATTTCCATCCTTTATCCCCCATCAACCTCTGCAACTCCGCTGTACCATCGCAGGTATGCGTCTGACTAATATCGTCAATGAAATGACTGCATGTCTTACACCAGGACTTTCCGCATCCAGGGAGAGGACACGTGATGACGTTGATGCTGTCTAGTTCGTCTTTGACTACGAAGAACGACTTGTCACAGCTAGACGGACAGCTCAACGCCGCACATCATAGCACGATAGCAACCAGATACTTACCCCCGGCAGTGTAGCAACATCGAGAATGACGCCATCTCTAGTTCCACGAAGATGACATAATCCTCCTCAGATAGTCCAAGCTGCTGCACAAATCCGTCGCTGAGCACTACCAACATGTTCATTTTGCGAGTATTCTATGCATGATTGTCAATCGCTGACGCACCTGTAGGCTCTCGCTCGCCCTTTTCGGTGCTGCAGAGTGGACATACGATGGGATAGAGACGTTGTCCGATCTGCGACGAGACGTGGCCTCGGATACAGTCCCGACAGAATGTATGCGCACAATTATCGACCTGTGCTGCATCTTCGTGAGAATGCCTGTCCAAGCAGATATTGCATGTGAACGACTGCGAGAGTGAGATACGCTCTCGCTCCCTCTCTAGATCCCGGTGCTCTTCATCATACATGTGCTGTTGCGCCAGTGCAAATGCGAGGTCGTCCGCGGTCTCGTCATAGCCGCGGTGCAAGTCGCGTTCTATTTTGGCGCCGTTTGTCGGGTCCACCGTCACAGGTGAAGGCATAGTAGGAACGGACTGTTGGCTGCTGCGCGACGAGGCACTAGTCAAGGGCGCGCTCTTCATGGTGCTAGGCTGCGACTGAGATGGCGAGCGAGATAGAGAGGATGTGTACGACCGAGCAACGGCGATAGCGCTGCTACCCTGTTGAGCGAGTGAGGAAATGAAGCTGGCTCGCTTCGTAGGTTGCGTATCATCAGGATATGGTGCAGGATACGATCTTTTTGCCTCCGACCAGACCGATTGTGCGCGCTGCGGTCTCTGGAGCCTCGCGATCTGATCCCGTAAGCGCGCGATGTCCGCCTTCAACGACTCGTTCTCGGCCTTCAGCTGCGCCTGGTCAGCATGAAGAGCAAGACCCTCGAGACTTGCTTCCATGGCCGTGCTAGCCCAGTATTCCGCCCCTTCCAGCTCCGTGTCAGCCTGTGCAACGACCAAATGTCCTGAGAAGTTGCCCAGCAGCTGGGTCTGCCATCCGAAGTCTCGGTCCGAGACAAGAGACGAGTCGTAGCGGAGTAGATTCGACAGGTAAGTTGCCGTAGCAAAGGCTGACTTGTTAAATATGAACGCCGCACTATCTGGGTGAGCTCCTGGCCGCGGATGAGAGTCAAATATGACATAGAACTCTCCATCTGGATGGCTAATACAGAGGCAGGCGACAATTTCCGGTGGACGAGTGATGACTGCGCAAGAGGATTTTCCGCGCCTGTTGCTCTCATTCCTGAGGCGCCTAGATTCTGAAATGAGTAGGCGACTGCCTCGAGACACAAGGACTTACTCCAGCAGCCTGGTAAAGCCACTGTAGTCACTTCGACCGTAATCCACCACCAGAAGTTTCAGGGAGCGATTGAATATGGAAGACCTTATGATATCTTCGATATCAAGATGCGACACGCTTGACCAACGTTCACAGATGCTTAACACCTCCTGTGGAAGAGATCGTGAGAAGAGCAGTTGATTACACCGCAATTCTCTACCATGCACACTCACATCGGTTGTAGATTCCTTCATTATCTCCTCAAGAAGTGCATCGCCGCGTAGATCTGCGCGTTCCTTGAGAAGTACAAGTCTCGCGCAGTTCATCGCGGCGAGCCCGCAAGCCGATAGGCCCCCGGCGCCGCTGTACTGACTGCGTCCATGCGCTACGACATAGTCAGTCAGTTGTCCGGTGGCAATGTCCCGGAGAATGTCTGAGGACATCGTCGAACAAGACCAGTCGAGGTGAGACGCAAGCCGCGCGCACTGCGCAGTCAGTGCCACTTGTCAGGTGCTTATCGGCACTAGCCGTAATCTTGTTCCATGGGCTGATTAAGTTCCGGGGATCGTATAGCTGGCACTGCAGACTTGGTCATACACATAGCAGAATATGTACAGCTCGACAGTCACTGAATTGATTAGGTGGGCGGAATAGGTGGCATAGGCCCGGGTGAGCTATGCAGTAGTAGTAAAGATCGTCAACATGAGTCACCTGTACGATCGCGATGGCCGTGATGTTGAGTCACTGGCATTCAACGTCGTCACGACTCCCCTTTGCCGCGTATTCCATCGGGTTCCGCAAATCATCGCATAGCTTTTCTATAGACAGGCACACTGGATGGAGGAGTGGTACGAGGCGACCGAAGAGCTGATGCAAGGTGGAAGCTAACTCTGAAGTTGGATATATCTGGCACATATCGGATCAAGCTTGAGCTTGAGCGCCACAAAGCTGTCAGCCGCAACAGATAACTTTGAATTACCTTTTCGTAGTCAACGTTACGTTCGCCCGCCCAGCACGCAGTTCTGGCTCAGCATTCTTCCCAGCGAACAAGACGTCCAGTACTAATTCTACGACATGAAGGAGGACCACCCTGATACAGAGTCCCAGCAGCAGACGCCACCCCGCATCGCCTTTGCGTGCCCTTACGCCATGCCACCAAAAGTCGTCTGCCGGCTAAGGGCCATCCTCGATATGCGGGTCGACACACTTCTTTACTCCGCCAGCGCATAGCGAATCGCGTACTCGGCCGACCGCACGGACGTGCAGATCAGCGTAGAATCATGAGTGCACCCCGCAGCGACAACCACGGTCACGAGCACGCAGCTTGCCGTGAAGCCTAGAAATATGGAAAGAACTGCTATTATACAGCACATAATACGAGTACAGTATTCACAGCTTCGCTCCTGTCGCTTTTGCTGATGCGAATTCTGATTTTGCACGTTCTACCAGTTGCCGACGAAGGATCTTGCCTGCCGCACTCTTGGGTATAGCATCTATAACTACGACACCTGCGAGTGTATCGATACGTGGTCAGAGATATCAATGTAAGCGTAACACTCACCTCCGCGTAGATATTTATGACGAGCAACGTGAGGCTTAATCCACTCTTCAACGGCCAAGCAGAAAGCCCGCTCATCGTAGGACTGAAGACCGGTCTTGTGCACAACATACGCTCTGCAAGAGAGTCAGCAGCTGAGAGAATGAGATAGGGTTATGAGTCACTTTGGCAGCTCAGTAGCCTCAGCTTCATCGACAACACCAATAACAGCGGCATCAGCAATCTCTGGATGTTTCAAAAGTACACTTTCCAGCTCGGCGGGTGGGACTTGAAAGCCCTGGCACTTGCAGTGAGCAGACATGTTCAGCATCAGCAAGGGAATCCACACCTTGTACTTAATCAGCTCTTTCCGCCTGTCAACGATAGAATAATAACCCTCCTCGTCTAATGTCGCGATATCCCCCGTCTTGTACCAGCCGTCAGGCGTAATGGAGTCGGCCGTCGCTTCCGAGTTGTTCAAGTATCCTTTCATGATGGTAGGACCACGCAACCATAACTCGCCTGGCTCGCCGGGAGCAGCCTCTCGAACGTCCTCAACGACCAGTCGAGCCTCGAGATTTGGAAGCAGGGTTCCGATGCTTCCCGCTTTCCGGATGAAATCCTTGGCAGGGAGGATATGCGTCGTCGGTGACATCTCGGTCATGCCATAACCTTTTACATTATAAGTGTCGCGAGACTATGCCATAGGAACCTTTACAGACCTTGCGTAATAGCGACGTCCGCACCGGCATTTCTGAGACGATTGCGCAAAGCCTTGACTAGCGGTTCCTTAAGGTGCGCTGCCCCTGACGATATCAATCTCAAACTCGACATGTTATACTTGTCGATCGCTGCATAGTCAAGTCAGCTATTCGCAGCAATTCAATGTGAGAGCAGAGCAGTTCACCAGGATGGCGCGTAAATAAGAGGCATATTGGCGGAACGACGAGCATCTGTGTGACTTTGTACTTTTCTATCCATTTGCAGGTGTCCACAGGATCAAATTTTTGCATAATCACGAGCGGTACGCCGCGTATGAACGGGAAATGCAACAAGTTAATTCCACCTACAGGCAGAAATCTGTCAGAAAATTTAAGCGTATGCTGCGGGTGTGTGACAAACCATAGATATGGTAAAAAGGAATGGGACCAGATATAACCGGGTTAGGCTCATGTAAGCTCGGATATGAAATTTCGATCATAGCTATCACGGCAATTAAGTTCCTGTGAGTGATCTGAAACCTTTATTTGAGAGACGTGTGGTGAATCATGTCAAGCACACTCACCATGACACCTTTGGGCTCTCCGGTCGTTCCTGACGAGTAACACAAGAGTGTGGTCTCGTTTGCGAGTTCCTCAGGGAACCTTTCTTCCTGGAATAATCGTCCAGCTCCGAGGAGGTTCTGCATGCGTATGTAGTCATTGAACGCAGGGTCAGGCGTTGGCCAGTCCGCGATGATAATTCGCCGCCTCGCGGCCGTGAGGTCGAGTTTCACGTTCTTGAACATCTCAAGCACGACCGACAGCAGGTCGGGGTGCACGATGACGACCTTGGCACCGCTGTTCGTCCATTGATGCTCGAGCTCGCGCGCAGTGTACGAGCTGTTCGCGAGCGTCATGCACAGGCCCGCGGCGAAGCCGCCAAAGAGCATGACGGGCCACGCGAGACTGTTCGGTGAGAAGATCATCACGACGTCGCCACGCTGGAGGGACCCAACACCGCCGAGTCTCGGGAACTCGTGGCGGAAGCCCCAGGCCAGCTCTTGGGTGAGCTGGAGCCAGTCGCCTCTAGAGATCACCTTGCCCGTTGCAGCGTCGATGAAAGCGGGCTGCTCCCGTGGGAAGTCGTCAAAGCGCGTTACGGCGAGGTTGGTGTAGATAGACTCGTTCCGCACGAGGACGGGCGCATGCGGGGAAGTGTAGATTTTCATGGTGGGGAGGAAGATGAGAGGCAGATGCGGTGCGAAGCGACGGTTACGAATGCTCGCGCGACGCCAGGATAAATATGATTCAGGACCGAACAGATTCGCGAAGGAATACTCGTCGGTGATCGATCAAGTCTGCGACAATTGGACCTTTTGAGTATCGCACCAAAAACGATCACGCCATTCAACGCAGTTTGTTTGAGACCCGTACGAAACACGGAGTTTCGTTTCGAACCCTCACGAAGCGCGCGAGTGTTTCAAACCCGTACGTAGAACTGAACCGCGGTAATGACCTGAGGAGAAGGCGCCACTTCGAGAACTCAGTTTGTTGTGCAAGCTTGCTCCTAACTCCCATTTGTCTCCCTCTGCAAATTTCTTCTTTCTCCCCGGGGTCAACTGGCAGGCGGAGGTGATGTATGTCCTGCGGCCAATAGTCCCTGTAAGCGCTGCACCCCGGAAAACCACAATCTGTACTGCTACTTACCTTGGGAGCTGGATCCGTCGCCTCCGCGTGGCACCGGCATCTACGAAGTCCAGATGCTCTGCCTGCACGCGTAACAGCTCAGCAGGCACGATATGGAAGGACTGAGTGCACGGAATCAATGGTGGCCTTCGTAAGCTGACTCCTTTAGCCTGTCGACCACGCTGTATTGCCCTCCGAGTCCGGACAACGATATAACCCATCTTGAACCAGCCTTCTGGAGTAGTGGAGTGGAGTTTCCGGTCATCTCTGGTTTGTTCAGATACCCCTGTCAGAGTGGATACAGCTAGCGGCTCTATAGAAAGCACGGCACAAACCTTGAAGACCGTTGGCCTTCGACTTATGCTACTTAATAGCTATCTGCCTTCGACTACATGTCCTGCTCTTGACATGAACTCCTTTCTTACTCATATATCTTGGAATGTTAGAGAAATTGGCTCTCAATTACCCGGGATCAGTGAAAGAGATGAAGGCAAGTACCAAGAATTATCCCCAGCGACAAGGAATAGCACGGAGACCAGCGTTGGGTTAGCCGGTATAATTCGGATCAAACGCCACAAAGTTGTCGGCGACAGGTACGCCTTCAACCAAGCCACTTACTGTAGGCGAGCGATCCACAGCATGCAGCATCTTATGAACGCCTACCCTCTGCAGCCATTGGGATAGTCCAAATGGGTACGTATGAAGGAAGGACATGTGGATCGTGTGTGCTGACACGCTGCAGATGCCTGGCATCGCCATCATCAAACCTAGAAGCAAAGCTTGAATGCTCTTCGTTCCCGCGAGGGGACATACTAAAAGACGGACGTTAGCCCGGCTGAAACGCCCGCCCCTCTATCGCGCTCTTCGCTCCCCGCCGTGAGTCCTGGGTTCGCTCCGCTTCCCCTCTCCTTCCCGGCGGCTTAAAGTGATCTAGCTTCTGTACAGGACACCTAACCATGCACGTCGCCAATGTAATAGAGGAAGATCAAGTAGAAGATTCGGCGAGGGAACATCCGAGTAAAGATACCCCGTTCAAAGATGCGCCCGTCTTCGTTCCAGATACACTACTTCCTATCAAGCTTGACTGCGGCGAGTTTCGAACGAAAGACATCCGCTCTTGGCGTAATCCAGAGCACGTTACCGTCGGAGAGGCAATGTTCAGAGTTCCCAGCTGCTATACGCGAACTGTCCTGCTCGGTATCAACGAGATGGATGTGAATATTCTACGCCTCAAAGCAGAAGTTCGCAGCGTCGCGGACGACCGCGCCTTCGTCAACATGGTCACGTGGGCGGACACCAAGCACTGTGGGTCTGGGTGCTCGTGGCTCAGTCCTCCCTCCAACGATCCCGACATCCAGTCAGGGCGATACAGCACTACCCAGGATCATGATCATTCGAAATCTCAGAAGAAGACTTGGCATAGGGTCACCTTCGAGCACCCTTATGCTGCACCGCCGAAGGTCGTCGTTTGGCTCGACTCCATCAACAGCGGGCCCGGGCACAACGTACGCGTGACCGCCTGGGCGGACGGTGTCACATCTGATGGTTTCACGATCCACCTCGATACCTGGCACGACTCGAACTTGTGGTCCGCGGGCGCGACGTGGCTTGCGCACTCGGCCTGGCGCACGGACGTGCGCAGCGGAACTTTCGGGATCGAGGACGTGCGACCGTCAAGCGCGCACCGCCCCAAGAACCATGGGCGCGTCTCGTGGGGTGCGCCCGAGATGGCAAGACCGCCGCGCGTGTTCACGGCGCTCAGGATGCTTGACTTCCGGGACGGGAAGTTCATACGCCTCAGCATGAACACAAGCGAGGTCACCACGACGGGCATGACCTGGCATATGGATAGCTGGGAAGACACGATATTTTATCAGGCAGGAGCTGTGTTCGTTGCTTTCAATGACGAGCAGTAATCTACGGACTTCAAAGCTTGATACCCTAGCTCCGGCAGCAGCGCATTCGAGATGCCGACGAGGAAGCCGAGGCCCCAATTCCGGATGCAGGCATCTCATATCTGTACGTAAAGTGCATGGCATTGTAATTAAACCTTTCAGGTATTGCATGTAGCTTCGGCTCAAAGATAGTCGTCTGGCTCAATGAGTGGACCCGGGATCACCGCACGCGTGACCGTCCGGGCGACGGCATCACATTCGACGGATTCACAATCCGCCCTCGACACATGAGGCGATTCGAGCCTGTGGTCAGCGGGAGCGACATGGTTCGCTCACTCGACCGGGAGCACAGACGTGCGCAGCGGAGCTTTCGAGATCAAGGACGTACGGCCGTCGAAAGAGCCTCGCCACAAGAACCGCAGATCCATCGTATGGGGCGCGCCCGAGATGGCAAGGCCGCCGCGTGTGTTCACGGCGCTCAGAATGCTTGAATTTCAGTATGGAAAGAACATCCGCCCTATCAGGAGCAAAGCAGAAATGACACCGTATTCCATCAGGCAGCAACTTTCTTAGTTGCTTTCGACGACAGTCGGTAATCTAGGGACTTTGCACCCCAATCCTAGCAAAGTGGCGGGCGCTAGTGGGGCAGTGGAGGTTCCAATTTCGGGGACAGGCATCTCACACGTGTACGTAAAGCGTAGTGCATCGTAATCGAAGCTTCTAAGCTTCTTACGGAGCTCATTATATGACTTCGGAGAGAGAACTGCTGGAGCTGCACCCGCATCTTGCTTCAGTACGTTGAGGGTCAGCCTTTCTGTCTCTCTTGTTCAAGGTCCCTGCTGTAAGTCTCAAGCCCGCCTCTCCGTACAGCTGAAAGTGACCCACCGGATGTTTGAATCAGAGCTCGTCACCATGCGCAACATTGACACTACCAAGGGGGACGGAGTGGAGGAATCAGCGGAAGAACGTCCGAACATGAGCAATCAGGGCTCGAATAACACGCCTGTCCGAGTTCCAGCTACACCGTATCTTGCCAAGCCGACCCTGTGGTTCGACTGCGGCGAATTCCGCACGAAGAACGTCCGCTCTTGGCGTAATCCAGAGCACGTTACTCCAGGCGAGGCACGGTTCAAAGTTCCTACCTGCTACCCGCGAACCATGCTGCTCGGCTTCAACGAGCTCGACGTGAATATTCTCCGTCTCAAGGCAGAAGTCCGTAGTATCGCAGACGACCGCGCAATCGTCAATATGGTTGCATGGGCGAACACCAAGCACCACGGATCCGGGTGCTCGTGGTTGACACTGCCCGAGGACGACCCCGACATCCAGTCGGGGAGATACAACACCACGGAGGATCATCATTGGTCCAGATCCCAAACAAAAACCTCGCGCAGGATAACCTTCACACACCCGTACGCCGCACCGCCTAAGGTCGTGGTATGGCTCGATGCCGTCGACAGTGGGCCCGGGCGCAACGTGCGTGTGACCGCTTGGGCGGACGCCGTCACGCCTGATGGTTTCACGATCCACCTCGACACCTGGCACGACTCGAACTTGTGGTCCGCGGGCGCGACGTGGCTTGCACACTCGGCCGAGCGCACGGATGTGCGTAGTGGCGCGTTCGAGATCGAGGACGTGCGCCCATGGAGCGCGCCCCGCCACAACAACTGCGGGCGGGTGTCCTGGGGTGCGCCCGAGGTGGCAAGTCCGCCACGCGTGTTCACCGCGCTGAGGATGCTCGATTTTCAGGATGGAAGGAACATACGTCTCAGTATGAGTACAAGCGAGGTCACCACAACGGGTATGACCTGGCATATGAATAGCTGGGAAGATACAATTTTTTACCGGGCTGGGGCCGTGTTTGTCACTTTCGAAGGCTAAACCCCAGGCTGTAGCTAGTAATCCATAGACTTGGAAGCTTGACCCCCCGGCCTCAACGCAATGATGACTGCTAGTAAGGAAGCTCAGACACCAATTGCGGGGACAGATAGTCACATGGGCACGTAAATGTATGGTGCCGTACAGTAATCAGGATATAAGTCCGGATGGAGGGTTTTGAGGGCCGCGGGCCCCGCACCTTGCTCCGCGACCTCTTCGCCGTCTGTACAACAATGTTGGTACTTTCTACCCCACATTTTGTCTAACTCACCTAGCTGACTGCTTGTGCGAACGTTCAGAAGTATGGTAGAGATCTCACCGGAGGCGAACGAGGGATTGCCCACCTTGCACGACCAAGTCGATCGCGGTCGACACCTTAGTCAGGGCAAAGTCCATAAACGACCCCGACGTTGACTATGACTCTGGCTCTGACTCGGACAAGACTGTTGTCGAGCCTCTGACACCAGCAGCGCCGCCGCGGGCCACGCTCGAATCTCAGAGCCCAGGATGACGTCTGTCCGCTCCGAATTCGAGCGTCAGGCCACAACCTGCACCACCCTATTCTTCACGCAGCCGCACGGCGCGCCGCCGACGGTCGTCCTCGGGCTGAACCAGCTCGACCTGAGTCCGATCGCACGCCTCCGGGCGCAGGTGCGCAGCGTCGAGTGCAAGGGCGCGCACATCGAGCTCAGCGCATGGTCGACGACGATCCACTTCTCCTCAGGCTGCGCCTGGCTCGCCGTGCCCGCAAACGAGCCCGACATCCAATGTGGACGACACACGGCCTAGGAAGACTTCCCCTTCGGAAGGAAGATCCCGCAGAAACAAGTTTACGTCGCCTTCGCGTGCCCGTACGCCACGCCGCCGTGCGTCGTCGCATGGCTCGACACGGTCGACTGTTGCATGTGGGCCAACGCCCGCGCGGCGGTCTGGGCCGGCGACGTCACCGAGCGCGGCTTCACGCTCTACTTCAAAACCTGGCTAGGGTCGCGCCTGTGGCAGGTCGGCGCGAGTTGGCTCGCGTACCCGGCAGACCGCACGGACATACGCAGCGGCAGTTTCAACACGGAGCAGATCCGCCCGGCGGTCCAGCGGCAGCACGAGCACCGCGGCCGCGTCGAGTGGGAGCCCAGGCAAGTACCAAGAATTATCCCCAACAACAAGGCATGGCACGGAGACCAGCGTTGGGTTAGCCGGTATAATTCGGATCAAACGCCACAAAGTTGTCGGCGACAGGTACGCCTTCAACCAAGCCACTTACCAGTGCAGGCGAGCGATCCACGGCATGCAGCATCTCATGAACGCCTATCCTCTGCAGCCATTGAGACAGTCCAAATGGGTACGTATGAAGGCAGGACATGTGGATCGTGTGTGCTGACACGCTGCGGATGCATGGCATCGTCATCATCAAACCTAGAAGCATAGCTTGAATATCTCTTCATTCCCGCGAGAGGACATAAAAGACGGACGTTAGCCCGGCTGAAACGCCCGCCCCTCTATCGCACTCTTCGCTCCCCGCCGTGAGTCCTGGGTTCGCTCCGCTTCCCCCCTCCCTCCCGGCGGCTCAAAATAATCTAGCATCTGTACAGGGCACGCAATCATGCACGTCGCCAATGTAATAGAGGAAGATCAAGTAGAAGATTCGACGAGGGAACATCCAAGTGAAGACGTCTTGTTCAAGGATGCGTCCGTCCTCGTTCCAGATACACTGCTTCCCGTCAAGCCCATTCTATCGTTCGACTGTGGCGATTTTCGAACGAAAGACATCCGCTCCTCAGGAAATCCAGAGCATGTCACCATTGGCGAGGCGAGGTTCAAAGTCCCCAGCTGCTACACGCGAACCGTCCTGCTCGGTATCAACGAGATGGATGTGAACATCTTACGTCTCAAGGCAGAAGTTCCTAGTGTCGCGGACGACCGCGCCTTCGTCAATATGATCACTTGGGCGGACACTAGGCACCATGGGTCTGGGTGCTCGTGGCTGAGCCTACCCTTCGACGATCCCGACATCCAGTCGGGGCGATACAGCACTACCCAGGATCATGATCATTCGAAATCTCAGAAGAAGACCTCGCACAGGATCACTTTCGAGCGCTCTTATGCTGCACCGCCGAAGGTTGTCGTCTGGCTCGACTCCATCGATAGCGGGCCTGGGCGCAACGTACGCGTGACCGCCTGGGCGGACGGTGTCACATCTGACGGTTTCACGATCCACCTCGATACCTGGCACGACTCGAACTTGTGGTCCGCAGGCGCGACGTGGCTTGCGCACTCGACCGGGCGCACGGATGTGCGCAGCGGAACCTTCGAGATCAAGGACGTACGACCGTCAAGCGCGCATCGCCACAAGAATCATGGGCGCGTCTCGTGGGGTGTACCCGAGATGGCAAGACCGCCGCGCGTGTTCACGGCGCTCAGAATGCTCGACTTCCAGGATGGAAGGAACGTCCGCCTCAGCATGAGCACAAGCGAGGTCACCACGACGGGCATGACCTGGCATATGGATAGCTGGAACAACACGATATTTTATCAGGCGGGAGCTGTGTTTATTACTTTCCATGACGATCAGTAATCTACAGACTTCAAAGCTTGATACCCTAGCTCCGCCGGCGGCGTATTCGAGATGCTAACGAGGAAGCTGAGGCTCCGGGTCTAGATACAGGCGCTCATCTCATATCTATACGTAAAGTGCACAGCGTTGTAATCAAGGCTTCTGGGCATCGCATGGTGCTATATATACCTACGAGAGGGTGACCCGTGCTATGCACGGGCAGAGAGAATTGAGAAGAGAGCTGAGAAGGGAAATCGAGTGAGAAATGAGAGGAACGCGCCGCCCGCCGCCAACCTTCGGTTGGCTGGGCGTGCAGCGCCCCCGTGAGAGGCCCCTCGGGAGAGGGATCACTGGCGCGTCTTTGTCTCGGGGCTTCGACGCCCAAGGTATTTTATAGAAGCAGCGCGTCGGGGCTTGGGCCCCCCTTGCCGTCGGAGTCGTTGCAAGTGTGCTTGACCTTGCCCTCCTGTGTAGCTATTTTACTAAATGTATATATATTATCAGCTGCTAACCTATTTATGATCAATATCACCTAGTGAGAACAAGTCATGTTGTACTCGCTGTATTGTGCTGCTGACTTAGGGTTAGGTTCTAGATAAGATAATCGAAGCTTTGGGCGCTTGATTACCGCTTCGATAAGCCTGGGTCAGATAATGGTCCTCGGCCTGCTACTACCCTTATTGACCTCAGAGTATACAGATACAGCACTTTACATGCTTTCGTAACATCTAAAAGACCCAAAAATGCCATACATAACCCAGACTAATGTCTGTGTGCGGAAAGGTGCTCGGGCGCTCATTATGCGGTTGGCCTTCAGCTTTGTGATCCGGACTTGGGTTTTGGGGATTTGACCTGAGCCTGCTCGGCAACCGTAACTACGTATACCCTTCTCTTTAGTCTCTGCTGTAAGTCTCAGGTTCGCTTTTCTGTACAGCTGAAAGTGACCCAGCTTGTACTAGAGCAAATAGCGATGCGCGGCGCAAATATGATCAAGGAGGACGGAGCCGGAAACTCAGCGGAGGAGGAACCAAGCAAACACCTCTCGTACAACGATGCGCCTGTACAAGCCCTAAATACCCTACGTTCCGCTAAGCTGTTCCCGGCCCTGTGGTTCGACTGCGGCGAGTTCCGAACGAAAGACGTCCGCTCTCCACGTAACCCGGAGCATGTCACCGTTGGCGAGATATATTTTAAGCTTCCTAGCTGCTACACACGGGACGTGCTGCTCGGCTTCAATGAACTCGACGTGAATATCCTCCGTCTCAAGGCAGAAGTCCGCAGTGTTGCAGACGACTGCGCCATCGTCAACATGACCACGTGGGCGGACACCAAGCACTATGGGTCCGGATGCTCATGGCTGAGCCTGCCCACTGACGACCCCGACATCCAATGGGGTTCGTACGACACCATAATGGATCGCTGCGATGCCAAGTCCCAGCAACAAATGTCACGCCGGATTTTCTTCGCCCGCCCATACGCCGTGCCGCCGAAGGTCGTCGTCTGGCTCAATGCTGTCGACAGCGGGGCTGGGCGCAACGTACGCGTGACCGTCTGGGCAGACGGCATCACGTCCGACGGGTTCACAATCCACCTCGACACATGGGGCGATTCGAGCTTGTGTTCAGCGGGAGCGACATGGCTCGCTCACTCGACCGGGCGCACGGACGTGCGCAGCGGAGCTTTCGACATCGAGGACGTACGGCCGTCAAGCGCATCCCACCACAAGAACCGCGGACGCGTCTCGTGGGGCGTCCCCGAGATGGCAAGGCCGCCACGCGTGTTCACGGCGCTCAGGATGCTTGAGTTCCAGAATGGGAAGAACATTCGCCTCATCACGAGCACAAGCAGGGTTACCACGACGGGTATGACCTGGCATATGGATAGCAGGGACGACACGGTGTTTTATCAGGCAGGAGCTGTCTTCGTCGCTTTCGATGACATGGACAGCCAGTAGTCTAAGGACTCTGCACCCTAGTCTCGGCAGAGTGATAAACCGAACGCTAGTGAGGCAGCTGAGGTTCCAATTCCGAGGACAGTCATCTCACATGTGTACGTAAAGCGTAGGGTATCGTATTTAAAGCTTTCTAAGCTTCGCACGAGCTTTAGATTATAAATCTGGGTGGAGCGTTTTTGGGGCTGCACTCGCACCTTGCTCCACCCTTTTTGCCGTCTGTGCAGTGTTGGTACCTTCTGCCCCACATTTTTTCCTAGCCCACCTAGCTGACTGCTTGTACGATAGTTGAGAAGCATGGGTGGGATTTCGTTCCAGCTGGCGCACGCGGAAACGCCGATCTCGTACGACCTGGTCGAGACTCCGGCACTCGTAGTACCGACGCCCACTCTCGAACTCGGAGAGTTCAGGACGACGTCTGTCCGCTCCGAATTCGAGCGTCAGGCCACAACCTGCACCACCCTATTCTTCACGCAGCCGCACGGCGCGCCGCCGACGGTCGTCCTCGGGTTGAACCAGCTCGACCTGAGTCCGATCGTGCGCCTCCGGGCGCAGGTGCGCAGCGCCGAGCGCGGGGGCGCGCACATCGGGCTCAGCGCATGGTCGACGACGACCCACTTCTCCTCAGGCTGCGCCTGGCTCGCCGTGCCCGCAAACGAGCCCGACATCCAATGTGGACGACACACGGCCTAGGAAGACTTCCCTTTCGGAAGGAAGATCCCGCAGAAACAAGTTTACGTCGCCTTCGCGCGCCCGTACGCCACGCCGCCGTGCGTCGTCGCGTGGCTCGACACGGTCGACTGCTGCATGTGGGCCAACGCCCGCGCGGCGGTCTGGGCCGGCGACGTCACCGAGCGCGGCTTCACGCTCTACTTCAAAACCTGGCTAGGGTCGCGCCTGTGGCAGGTCGGCGCGAGTTGGCTCGCGTACCCGGCAGACCGCACGGACATACGCAGCGGCACTTTCAGCACGGAGCAGGTCTGCCCGACGCTCCAGCGGCAGCACGAGCACCGCGGCCGCGTCGAGTGGGAGCCCACGGAGCGCCCACCCCGTGTGTTTACTGCACTGAGCATGCTCGACTTCGAAAAATGGAAGAATCTGCGCGTACGCCTCACCACCAGCGATGTCACGACCACCGGCATGGCCTGGAACATCGATAGTTGGCATGACACTGTTATGCACAAAGCGGCCGCTGTGTACATCACCTTCGATATCTGACACCCGCCAGGTTTCATCTTGATATTTTGGTCGGACAATGAGCGCATGACCTAAGCCAGCCCGCATGGTTACAAGTAGTACAGAGTCGAGACTATGATACATGAAGCCTCTGAGAAGTGGGTTACAGTCCAACTGCGCATACATGAGTGGACAAATGAGGGTGACTGCGAAAGCGCACGTTGAGCACTGATCACTCCTCCGAAGGCAGCTGCGCACAAGATAGGGTGACGGGTGAAACGTGGTATCAACAACAAACGACCTGTTGCGCCCCGGTAGAAGGACGATGCGATGAGGCGTGGTGAGACGAGCGTATAAGGTAGCTGAAGTAGCCGAGACAGCGCGAAACAATGCAGGCGACTAAATCGGAAGGAGTGAGAACGAGGGCAACGACAGAGCCAATAGGGCATGGTCGGTTGAAAGGTCGTGAAACAGGGCTGGGATGCTCCTATAAGCGCGAGCTCGACCGCCCGCCCATCCCCTGTGTCGCATCAACCGATCGGTGATGTCTGTGCGTCTTTGCCTTCGAGCTCGGCCGAGCCTGCGAGTACGAATGATGCCTGCGGTGCTTCTTCGAGTGCGTCGGTGTCGTGGACGTCGAAGGTGCCTCCATCCATGCCTCTCGCACGCCCATGCCTTTTGCTTCCTCTCTTGATACACGCCCGAGCGGTACAGGCGTGTACAGCATAACGCCATCATCCTCAGTTTCATCTTCAGACCCTCGGTCTTCGTAGTCCAAGTCGGAGGCCTTGACCTTCTCCTTGGCATCCAACGAGGTGTATTCGGGAGAAGTGGTCGTGGGCAGGAGATATATGTGCTGCAGCTGCGTTGCCATCTCGAGGTCGCGCGCAGATGAAGAGAGTGGCAGATACCACGATGGGAAGCCGGCCTGCACACGGCGGAGCTGACCATAATACTTCGACAGGGCCAGAACAAAGTGCACCTGGATTCTCAATTATTAATTTGCAACCGAATATGAAAAAGTTGAATGCACGCACTCGTACGATAACCAGCACAAACAGCATGGCGATCACGACCACTATGCCGCGCTCGAACCAGTATTCGCAATTCTCCAAGTCTAGCCCGGACTCTGCTATGTCCCTGAGCAAGTCGGGCTGGCGGCCGAGTTCTTCGCAAACCGATGTTCGAATGAGAGACGAGGCGGAGGAGAAGGAGAGGTAGGAGATGGTCAAGGAGGAAAATATCATGAAAAGGAGGTCGGCAACGGAGTAGTCGCGGAAGAAGCGAACATAGCTGATAGAATTCTGCACGAGGTGTAGGTGAGCACCAGTGAAGTCGCATACAATGACAACATACCCTTGCGATCCCAACAAAACCAATGGTGCTTGCAGTTGCGGCGGCGGCGAAATAGAGGGTGAACAAACCCCAAAGCAGATGAAGAGCGTCGACATTGACAGGAAACGAGTCGGTGTCATCTACACCACTGAAATCCCAGCGAAGAGACCGCCAGGACAGGAGTATACGCAAAGCGCAGAAGGAGTTCAAGACTGCACTTGCGAGCGAGGCGCAGAGAGAGATAGATCTATATGGGTAGTTCATCATGAGCGACTCGTCTCCTGCAGCAGACCTTAGGGGAAGGGGAGGAGATGATGGGAGGAGAAAAGGAGTCGGAGCGAGGTGGGAAGAGAACGGTCGCGTATTGAGAACGCGGCCGCCCCGGCATCTGTGGTTGGCGGCAACACCGAGTCTCGCCGCCTTCCCGATCTATCGCTCCTCGCCCTCACCACGCGCCCGTCCGGACTCTGCCAGCACTGTTCGCGACAACGAGTCTCAGATGATCACCCACAGCACGCTTTGATCAAGGCAAGCTTGTTAGGGATCTTCCTTCGACGGTCCCAGGCGCGTCTCTCTCAGCGTTCCGTCATGCCCATTACGTGGATGCCGCACATACTCGGAGCGCGAGCGCGGCGCAGTAAGTGCAGATGCCGACTGGCCCAACGCGCCGAGCAGCGACGACAGAACACGAGTGCTCGACGACGATGGACGAGGCAGAGAAAGTAGCAACTAGATACAGGCACCCGAGCTGGTCGCTCACCTCAAACCTAGCAGACGCTCAGTGCAACTCGTCCGCGACCCATCATCTCCATCGCATCTGGCTGCCATCGCGCGTTGGGTATTGACAATCGGCAAGGTGTGGTGTCAGGGGGCTGGCTGGCGAACGACGGCGTGCGCACGGCTCAGCTGAGGGAACTGTCCGTGATGTCGATGAGGACGAAACTGACGCTGACGTCGATGTCGTTGTGGCGAGGGCGAAGCTGAAGGTGCACAGAAGAGGTGTCCTCCTGGATGCCTCGCATTATACGCATCGCTCACAAAGCGGGCGGCACGGAAGGATCGGAATAAGCACTCTGACACCATTTCGTGGCTGGTTCCGCACCCTATCCCCGCGACCCGACACCTGTCTTGCTCGCTCCCCCGCGTGTACCCGAAACCTTCGACGCCACAATAACGTCCCCTAGATCGGTACCCCGGCCGGGCTACCCGCCTCGCTCCCAATTGAGCGCATCTGGCGGCCGGCCTTCACAACGGACTCGTCCGATATATCCCACAAGCACCTGAGCCATCCCAAAAAAGATATATTATGCAGCTGCCGTGGACTCAGACACGTTTCACACGTTTCGGTTTGTCAACTGCATGGTCCCACTGAGGTCTCTTCTGTTATCGAGGCACATTTCGTTTATTAGCACATCCTTTCGCACAAATTGGCTGAGATGTCTTAACACAATCTGTCACACGTCGCTGAACGCGAGCCCGTTCTGCATTCACACCTTTACCGGCTCTAACTTGAGGTATAACTCGGGCTTCGCGCTGTCCTTTCCGGCCGTCGGGTAGCTGACGGGGGCAAGGTTCCAATGCACCTCCTTGCCACCAGGCAGAAACTTGAAGGAGCGCAGCATGACTGCTAGGACGACCTCTGTGGACAGCCCGTGAACACACGCAACAACGCGCAAAGAAGCGCCTCGACTGACTCATCTCGAGCTGGGAGAATTTGAAGCCGCTAGGGAGGAAGGTAAACCTCAGCGTGTCTCTCATTGCACGATTGACTCACATGCATGCTCTGCCGCCGCCTAGGAAAGTCATCCTGACTCTCTATTATTAGCTACGCTACGCAATATGGGGAAACCGCGCACTGGTTAGCATAGATGCCAGGCACGTGCGCATTGCTCAGCGCGTCAGGAAGCGGTGCCAGCCATCGTTCGGGCTTGAACTCGAGTGCGTCATCACCCCAGAGCGCCTTGTTCCTGTTGCTTGAGCGGATGGCGATCATGAGCGGCGTGTCTTTGGGCACAGCGATCTCGGTAATGAGCGAGCCGTCTTCGCCTTCGATGGGATCCGAGAGTGGCAGAATGGAGTCTCGTCGCGTCCTGTTGCAGTCGGTTAGAAAACGGCGGGATCCGCCGAGCATTTACACGCACTCTCGGTTTATAAACGACGCTGGCGGGTGTCTGCAGAATGTTAGTCAGCATCACGAATCTTCCCTCTTGTCAAAACTCACAGTCGTAGCGTCTCGCGACAGACCGCATCGAGGTACGGCAGGTCGACCAGTTGGTCGTACGGGATGTCTTCTCCGTCGCTCCCCGCTTCGAAGAGCTCAGCACGCAGCTTGCCCTGGATCTCCTCGTGCTCGGAGAGCATATGAAAGATGCGGCCGAGCGCGTTCGATGTGGTGTCTGTCGCGGCCAGGACTATCGTCCTGAGCTCATCTCAGCCACCCCCCTAATAGTGCAAACGGCGAATACTCACGTCATCTGCGCAATAAGCTCGTCCTCAGGCAACCTGTCCTCCTCGTTTGCTTCTCTGTTGGCCTTCACTGCTTGGCCGTCAGCTCTGCATCCGCCTAGAAACGGAGACGACTCACTCAAGATGCTGAGGATGTCTCGGCCCTCACTCATCTGGTGCGTCACTGCGTCGTCGCCCTTCTCAAGCAGAATCTTCTTAGTCTCATATATGCGCCGCGACTGCTCGTCCATGGTCTCGATTATCTGGCGTAGGCGTTGCATCGCTGCGTGTGGGAGGTACGGCGCGGCAGCGCGGCGGATGCTCGCTGGCACGATCAGACTCACATACGGGAGGAGCACACGCCAGAAGTGCAGCGCGAATATAGTCCGCCTGCCGCGTTATGAGGCGCCAATGCAAGCGCGAAAAAGATGAGAGGGCTTACGGGAGCTCTTGCAACGCCTCGGCGTAGGCGTTGCGCTTGTCCACCGAGAACGCATCAAAGGAGAAGCCGAGGCCGCCCTGCCCGACGATCTCAAGAGCACCGCGCGACAACCAGTGCAGCACGTTCACCTCGGTCGGCGTGTCTTGAACTTTTGCCGCCACGGTGTCGCGCAGCTGTGATACGTGTCAACTTAGCTCGGACCAAGAAAGGCTGAATGCTCATACAGTGTGGGTGATATTGTAAAAGATGGGCGTCATGTGCCTCATGTGGTCGGTCGAGAATGCCGGGTTCAGGAGCTTGCGCTGTTTACGGTGGTGGTCGCCTGGCGGCGTTTTAATACACTTTTAGTCTGCCTAAGCACTTTCTGCGTACCAAGCGTTGAGACCAGCCCCGGCCCAAACAGAATCAAGTTGAACCTAAAAGCAGGACCCTCACTTCACCGTCCGTGACAAGTTCGGGTGCGAAGAACGTACCTTAAAAACCATCGAGGCTCTTCATAGATTTGGTCTTTGACGACAATGTGGCTCAGGGCCTTGGGATCAAACACGTATAGTCCGCGTGCCTGGTAGAACTTTCAATTATATGTGTATTCCACTACAGAGTGCGAAAGGCATACACCGAGGGGTGCATGATATCTGACGACCTGTCCATACTGCTCGCCGAGTTTTTGAAGGTAATCAAGGCCATGACGGTTGAAAATCTCCTGTGTATTTCCTAGCCACGATAAGCAGCCAAACATCGCGAAGGCGTGCCCAGATTCTGACCTTTGAATAGAGAAGTGCGCTTAGGACCCGGGATGTTGTCAAGGGGGCTCTTCACGAAGTACAGGCCGAACAGCTTCCAGAATGCCCACCCCAAAAGAAGGCAGAATGCATATAAGGTGAGAGAATACATGATAGTGGGAGGCGAGAGAGGAAGGCGGGACTCCGGTTCACGATATACCTGCTGGCCTAGCCAAGCTGTTTGCTGACGATAGAGACCTCACGCATACAGTATATTCCGTAAATTTTACCACTAATTAAGGGTTGAAACGGGAGAGCGAAACGTGATCTCTTGAGGATGCAATCAAGACGCACGTGGTCCCCGCGGAGCCGGACATGGCTGCTTGTACAGTGTGCACAGAGAAGGCGCGTCCAGGCTCTACCATCAAGTGTGAATCATATAATAGTCCTGTCCGTCACGGCGAAGATAACATCCTTGAATATACTCGATGTGTAGAGTCTGGTCTGAGCCCCATAAAACAATATTTTCTCGCGGAGCAACCTACAATAGAGTGGGCACATGTCGGCTCGTGCGAAGATCTCGAGTCTTGGGATGCCTTCGCATGACTCAATTCTCTGCAGCGAGGGGAATCAGTGTCTTTTGATATGAAGTATCCCCTCTCCTCGTGTTATATCAAACGCCAACAAACCGTCTACAGTATGTGCACAGATCTGTATCGATATCGATGCAAGCTGCCAGGCCAAGCGTTTGTAGTAACTGAGGTCAGAGTCTCGAGGAGTCTGGGTTCATATTCTTACATCATCTAGATTCTATATACATAACCTTAAGCTCATGCTTGGGCGAGGAAGGACGCGCCAACTCACAAGATGACCGCTCGTGATGAAACCAACTTTGAAGCAGACCGCTAGCATAGCTTCGCTCATGAGCGTTTGGCGCAACCAAAAGGCTTCGTCTTCTCCATCTTCGAGACCGGGCTCCTGGCCAGCCTTTCAAGAGGCGGTGCCGTCATTCTTGTATGTGAGATACTCACTTAGACCAAAAAATCTTGAGACAAGAGATATGCCTCCTATTCATCGACTCGTCTCACTGTCACTACCCATGTACAACTACAAGTAATTTGAAGCACACTGTACATTAGGGACATTGAACAAAGCCTGAATAGTCGGTTCTTGATTCCTGGCCAGCCTCTACGCGCAAGGACATCAATACCGCCTCTCCTGTGCACATGGCCGCAACGCGAGCTTGTACTCTACCCTGCATCAAGCTGCCATAGACCAACCATTGCGTTGCGTCCGAAAGAGCTCCTAGAATAGATTGCAAATTGAAAGGCAATAAGTCACGCAACACCCCTTCAGCCAACGAAAGCGACGTACCCCCATCATTGCAGCTGTCCGCGTACCGATTCTGGAAATGTCGACCTTCTTAACAAGAGAAATATACCGATCTACGTGCGCAGATCTCTTGAAATCGCCAACAATCGACAGGAATACACAAATAAGTCGAATCTGCTGCTCATCAAGAGTCGCGTCGTCGCTGTTGGGAATCAGCCTGTCGACATAGCCGGTGGCAGTATCCATCCTTGACACGCTCGCTACTACAAACTGGCCAATGAAGTTGAGTACGGCACACTCGTGTTTATGCGCAGCAGACGATGCGTCCCCTTTGTCGCTGCATGAAGCTTCGGGGATGACTGAGCGCAAGATACGATGAGTGGTGCGTCAAGAGCTCGTCGGAAGGACTGTACACGTACTTCCTGATATCTTCGGGCTTGGGCCCGGGGCCGCCAAGTTCATCTTCGAGCAGATGCTCTCAATTTCTGTCAGGCATTTGTCAAGAAGATGGTCACTGAAAAGCTGTCCTCCCCTGATATTCCACTGCCTGACCCCACGACCCTTCGAAACCTTGCCTATAAGTTGCCAACACAACAAAGCGTACACTCGAGTAGATTTCTAGTTGCTTGTTGCCTTGGTGAAGACTAGGTCGATGATCTGTGCCGCAGTAGCACACTTGTTCTCCCCTTTTGCGAGGTTCATCCATTGGGCTAGTGTGCGCGCCGTCTTGCCGATGTTGACCAGCGTAAGTTCGTCGAGAAGCGCCGTGACTTCTGCGTGAACTGCAGAGCGCGGAATTTATGTCGATATTTGACGCATAATATCTCTCACGTCGTCGGTAGATATAAGAGAGAGTAGAGAGGTAGTGTTAAGCTGCAAATGAACCTCGGAAGGCAGACCCTGCACCTTCGCACCCTCGGTAATGGGTTCGACTATTGGCGATTCTACTATGTTTGTGACCCCTGGGATAGGATTAGGAGGTATAAAAGCCGCCGTCTTCGTGGCAGACTTCATGGCGTCAGCGACGCGAGCGGAGATCTCGCTCGCTTCCGACGGCAGCCGAGCGTGGAGCATAGCCTCCCGGACCGACATGATCAGCTCGACGTCCTCAGCTTGTATCGTTCTAATTTCTGCAGCCGTAAGTGAATGGGGACACTGGCACAGCGAAACGTATGCCGCTGGGAGCCATTCGGGAATTGAATGTGAATGACTTAGGAAAATCTTCTCAATGGGACTAGCGATGGGTTCCAGACGTTCAATGGAGAGGACGCGGATGTCGTCGAAGGACCACTCGGTGGCGAGGTGGAGGACAGCCGTCCATTCATCCACAGAAGTGATGCCAGGCGAACGGTAGCATCTGAGTGACATGTGAGGCGGCAATAATGAAAGTAACTAGATAAGATACATACGTCGAGTACAGGACGGACAGGAAAGCGTCAAAATCGGAAGATTTCTTGTCAGCCAGGTCGAGGGCCTCAGATGATGAGCGATGGGCAAAGATACTTGCGAAGTAGGGCGAGTCTCTGGTGAACAGGTATTGGTGAAGGCGGTACCTGAACCCTCCCACCTAAGCAAAATTAGTAGATGGTCACGCGAAGGACCAGTGTTACGCACCAGAAACACGGCTGACCCATCGTCGAAGTAGTGCTTGCGTTCAGCCGGAATCGTCCGAACAATGGGAGGTGTGGAGCCGCCTGCCTCTATCGTCAGGAAAGGTGCCGCACTTTCCGACGTGAATGATATAGGAAATGACATCTCGTGTACGTCCTCGAGAGACTAGGTATCACTGATAGACAGGCCAGAAACCGAAGGAGTTCCGGACGACATAGTAGATGGACCCCGGGATGCCTCAGGCTGTGGTTGACTCGAAGTATACACGGCCGTCGCCCTCCCGAATAACAATCACTGGTATGGCCAGGGGGTGAGGAGATATGTCACATGAAGTTTATATCTAGTAGGACGCGAGGCAAGAGTAGCGCTAGATTCTGGACCTACATTGCGCTCATCGGAAACTAGAGCTAGTATCGGCGCATCAACTTACCTATGATATTCTCACGCTTTATCGGCCCAGAAAAATTGCCTTATATGGCGGATTTCTGCTTCCTCTAGCGGACGCTCTCCGCAAGCCTTAAACATGCGACATGGTCCTCCAGTTCTGGGAAGTGAGGTGGGCACTTCATCTGCACGATTCTTCTCTATAGAACTTTGTAGCAGTAGGCGCTTAACCCCGCTGCTGCGCTTAGGCGCGGGCAATATGTCACGGAATTTGAGTAAGTGTGAACTCTGTCATATGTGTTTGTGCACAATTCTGTCCACCTTTAACTAAAGCATGCGTATGAAGCTTAACATCAGGGCTCTTATCTTCAGTTTTCAACGAAAAGCATAGTCGTATCTCCCTCTCTCCTCCGAGAAATCACGTACTGAACATAAAGTATCCAGTGCTCCCGTGCGTACGCAGCTGCTGCGGAGACCGCGGTCATTATGCGGTAGCGATCCTTTGAACCGCGTGCTGCATTGCGTGCATATCAGACTGTGCGCCATGACTCGATCATTTGACGAGTTGCCAAGACTGCGGTCCTTGTGCAACATTCTCGAATATACTGATCTCTGTCCCCGGTGATATCGTAATACGTGCAGATCTGACTCGCTGCTGCGTACGACCCTCCAACTAAGCGATATAAAAGCATACTCAGGTTCGGTCTTTAGTATCATCCTGAGACATGAGCACACAAGAAACAATGAGCTCCGCACCACCAACAACTCAAGCCGATCCAGCTGCCCCACCTTTGACGGCAGCTGCGACGGACGCTCCAGTGTCGTCGCCACGCCTGATGACATACAGTGAGCTCCCGGTATTAAGTCAAGGACACGATCCCCTTTGCCCACCTTTCCTTAGCGGACGTACCGACAGCTGTGAGAACATATGAAGCAGCCTTCAAAGGAGATCCTTTCCACCATTGGCTAAGCGATACTCCAGTAATTGCGATTCTCTCTACATCTACCGCGCGCTGACTCGATCTCATGCAGGATTACGACGGTAGCGTACTACCTATGCTCGGCCGTCGTACTGAGACCTCTGTACTTTGGGGCTACTGCGCCACAAAGGGACTGGCATGGACAGTCGACGACGGAGCTGCTATTATCTGCTAGTGAGAATATCAGTCGTCAGCGCTGACCATTTCTCACTATTTCATGGAAGTGGTCTGGCAAAAAGTACTCTCAACCGCGCAGACAAGGCCGCCATATCAGTACTCTCCGCTGCTTTAGGCCTGAATAGTACGCTAACATTTACAACTCAGCAGAAACAGGTGATGCTGGAAAGGCGTCTTTTACTCGGTGCCGGTGTTGCTGACGCAGTCTCTCCAGCGAGTCAAGGAGCTTAAAGTCAAGCGTGATGCCGCGTTCAAAGCAGTTCTTGGCGACCGTGAGGAAGAAGTCATTCAGCTGCAGGTCCTGGCGACTACTCCAGAGAAGCAAGGGCGTGGATATGCGTCTGCGTTGGTGCGGACTGTCACTGGAATTGTGAGTGGATTGAAAGTCTTTAGTGACCTTCGTACTGACGCATGGGCAGGCAGATGCACAGGGACGTGCTACAATTCTGATTTCAAGTAAACTTGCCAACACTGGCTTCTATAACTCGCTTGGCTTTGTGGAGAGAGCGAAGATCGTCCTTGGTGACGACGACCCAACGTGGCAAGAGCCTCCACTTGTGATGCCGGTGGTGCGTTAGCTGCACTCGTAACCCGGCTAAGAGTGTATTAATCAGTGACTCCCACAGATGGTTAGGGAGGTGGCAGCCGGTCCGCGATGAGGAATGTTCAAATGCACAAATCGACACTTCGTAGTAAAGATACCTTCATTGGTACTTCTCGTACACAAGTCCAAGTTTGTTTCTTGTATATGACATCAAATCCAAATCCAACCACGTGGATGCGATTGTATAACATGAGCGTGCTTGAAAGGAGATACGGTACATTAGATGTCCATCGCTCCAACATAATCGCATCCGCCGATCACTTCGAGGACTCGACAGGGAGCCGCTCAAGCTTCGCCCGCCCGTCCTTGATCCACTCCTCCTTCACCAACTTCTCCTTCTCTGCATAGTAGAGCCTATACACCAACTTGATTGTCGCCTCGCTCACTCCGGCAACAGCGCTGATGTCCTTCATGCTCTTGGGCTTGCCGAGCAGATGGCATGTGAAGTAAATCGCGCCGCCAGCGACGGAAATAGGTGAACGACCGAGCGCGATGCCCAGGTCGCGCGCCTTGACGATGATGTCTGAACAGATGGGCTGGACGTTCGGCGGCAGGTCCAAATGGTTGCAGTATCGCACCAAAAGATCCTCCGGACCAGTACTCGAGGTAGCGGAACTGGTTTGGCGGTCCGCAGACGCGCCCGGAGTCAAGTTGAACGCCTGCTCCAGCTGCTTGTAGCACTGTCCCAGCACCTTCTTGCTGACATGGGTCAAGTTACAAATCTCGCGGAAGGTACGAGGTACGTGTGCTTTACGGCAAGCGATGAAGATGCAGGCAGCGATGACGGCTTCTAAAGGCTTTCCACGCAGCAGCTTCTCCTCGTCGGAGCGCTTGTATAGCTGCTTCGCGATATCGGAGATGGTCTTTGGAAGAGAGAACTGGTCGCACCAGCTAGAAATATCCCGGAACGCCTGAAGTAGGTTTCGCTCGGAGCGCGAAGCTGACCCTCGAGAGGCGGCGCGCTGCAGCTCCCGCGCAAGGCCGGAGCCCCCATCTTTGAAAGATATAGTAGTGTCCAGTTGCTCAACGCCCTCCATGAGCGGGTCTATGGCAGCACCGACACGAGATGGATCGTCTCCTTCGTCGTTGGCGAAAGTCTAGCGGTGAAGGGTAGCAACTGCGCCGCCACTGGAGGGTAGCTGACAGGGAAAGGGTACTTACACGCCATTCACTCCTTGTATCTACTACCCTATCTCCGAGCACCAGTCCGCAAGTACCACACACGAGATCTCCGCTGCTGAACTCCTCCACGATGTTGGGGCTCGGGTCTCTGCAGTCGGGGCAGATGAGACGGACGGCCAAGTCAGGCCCGAAGGTCTGAGGGGCTTTCTCTGCGGCAGGATTGTTGCGTGGGAAAGGCTGCGAGTACGCCATAGTAGATGCGAACTGGGCTGGCACGTCGACGGGGATCGACGAGAAGGATGTTTACGCTGGTACTCGAGCTTGAGAAGCGAGTCACTAAGACGTTACAAAGACTTATAATCCCAGAGAAGTAAACAGATAACGATGCAGACTGACCACAGGGAGAGATCTAGGGGGTAAATGTAGGAAGAGGATGGAAATAATTGGCACACGAACGTCGGGAACGTCGTGGTCAATGACGAAGAACGTAAGTGGAAGGACAGAGCGGTGCCGCATTCATGACCAATGGATGACTAAGCAGGCGCGCTCCATTTTTGGTAGTGCTCTGATGTCCAGTGCGGCACTCTCCTTTGAGCGTTTCTCAGCTCTATTCTCCCTCTTCCCCCTTCTCACCGCCACATCTCCCCGCTTGACAACATGGGCAAATGGTGAGCAACACAGCACTGCGCACATCCTCTGTGCTGAAAAACCTACCCAGGACTCTGAATCATACAGACGACGTCCTCCGTGACAAGGTCAAGAACCTGGTGTAGGTTTCACATCCCGACCTACCCGACCTATCCGAATAGCTCATGTCTGCATAGCGTTGGCGCCATTAAGCGTGCACGATTAGAGAAGGGCGAGCCTACAATAACATATGAGACATTTGTGGAAGAGCTAGACGTGGGCGATTCCTTCACGGCGACCCTGATTGATGCCCTGGTGAAAGTGCGTGGCAAGCTCAGACTCAATGCTTCGCTGCTCATATTTGCGTACAACCCTAGGAGGCTGCCGAACGTCGTACTCGTCCAAACCCCACCGACCGACGTCTGATCTCTGAGCGCACTGCTAAGACCCTCCGCATGCAAGCGAGCGCGTCTCATATCTATCGTGAACGTAGCCGACTTGCCACTCGACGATACCCCGCCGACTACATCTTTAGTCCTGACCACGAACATTCAGAAGATGACGAAGATGAGACGGTTGAGATGCTGGAAGCTGCAGAGAGCTCCCGCACGGCTCCTGCTCTTTATGATGCCTACACGTTTCGACCGCCCGCGACGCGATCGTTTGTGCTAGAAGACGCCGCACAGGCCTCCATGCTTCGGGAAACTGTAACTAGCCCTCGACCACTATCGCCGCCTACCGCTATGCTAGAAGCGGCCTCGAGTTCGATTCCCGCGTTCTACTTGGCTTCTCCTGGATCTTCATCCTCTCTCACCCGTTCACGTACCGTCCGTCGTCCTAACCGGACAGCTTCGACGCGAACTACCGACTTTAGTGACTTTACGTCGCGCCGCCGCTCCATAGTACGCGCCAACGTGGAATCCTCCGAGTCTGTCCGCGCAGAAGACTCAGCGGATGGCACGTGGAGGTTTTCCCTCCTGGACCGTGCGGCTTCGTCCCCGCATGACGGCCCGTCAACTAGCCCATCTCGTCCTGGTAGGCGGTTTTCTCCACTCACTGCATGGTCCGACCCACATCTCCGCATCGAACCAGACCGCGACTCGTACATGGTTTTCCCACATGAGGAAGAACGCGTAGACGCCGGCGAGCCACCCAGCTCAGGTTCGATGCACCAGAGCTCGTCACGGCCCTGGTACTCACACACTGGCCGGGCGTCACCTTCATCTGACCGCACCATCGCACCCATGCCGCGGCTGCGGCGCGGTGGGCTGCGCGCCCCCGAGTCCATGCTTTCCCACCTGGCGTCCCCGAGCACAGAGACTAGCTCTCCTCGCGCCGGAAGCCCCTTGCGGCCGCTCCCGCCGATCAATACGGGAGCATACGAACCAGAGGATTCAGGCACCTCACGAGCGTCGGGATCCGGCTCTTCGAGCTCTGGCAGGGTACAGAACGAGATGGACGCACTGGACGAGGCCTCACGGCAATTGCTTACCCCGCGGTCCATCTCACCAGTCGGCGATGTCTATCATATCTAACATGCAAAATTATGATTTATAAAAGCCTTAGGTGTATCAGATTGGCTCCAAAATTCCTGTCGCCTCTTGTTGGACGTATCGGAACTGTACATCACCGTCTCGAGGTGGAGCTTTCTGTATCTATGCATGCTTGGATGTTTTTGTATGCTTCTCGTTGCGACCGTGTGCCGTCATTGTGTAACATAGTACCTCGTACAGAGAGGGGTTCAAAATATCCATAACAAGTGGTGAAATGGTAGCACAAGATGAACAACGCGCACAGGCGGGGAGGCAGGGCACACTTTTATCTACCGCTTGACCTTCTTGCCCTTCTTTCCACCGGACTCCTTCGCCAGCGCGGCACTGCCTTTTCCCTTGCTTGCCGCACGGACAGCTTTCCGTACGTTGAGCACCCCATCTCCACCCTTCGCCTTCTTCGTCGCAGGCTCGCGGTCAAGTTTCGAGAGGATAGACATATTTTGTAACTTTTCTGTATCGGCGGAAACTTCTGCCGCCTCGAACTAAAGCACAAAGATGAGACGCAATCCGAGGGCTTGAGGGTTCGAAAGCATACCTTCCGCTTAACACCCTTGAGCTTCTTTTCACCCTCTAGCTTCTTGTCAAAGCGACCCATGCTAGCTGTGCTAACCCTCGTGGTCGCCAGCGTACGATCAATCTCACGCTTGCGCTGGTCAGTCGGCGCAGACGAGGAACCCTGGGCTCGCTGAGCACGCAGCATGTTCTTCTCGTGCTGCTTTTCGTTCTTGGATACACGTGCCTTGCGCTCCTCACGGGCCTTTTTTGCAGGGTCATGGTCGATATCTGTTTCGTTCAGCTCTTTAACACCCTGAGCGAACGTCCAGGACTGCGAAGGCACGCACCAGCGTTTTGGGGCACCTCCGTGAGCCACTGCTCCTCGCCGGCCTTGTTCGTGCCCTTCCACCCCCAGCGGTTGACCCACTGCTGCTTCTCCTCGTCCCACACCTTCCTATCCTTCTTCCGGTGCGAGATGCCCTTCGCTTTCGCAAACTGCTCCCATTTTGACAGCGGCTTGGGCTTCGGCAGTGATTTTGCTCGTGGAAGCTGAGTCGTTGGTGGTGGGAGCTGTGCCAGTGGACCGTCTGGAGACGGTACGGTAGGGAGGCTGAAGAGTGCTGAGATGAGGACCTGAACACCGTCTCGGGCAGTGGATTGGATGTATTCCTCGAGGTTCACCCTAATGAAGCGGTCAGCCTCCCGAAAAAAGCAAGAAAAACAGTGTTTACTTATAGCTCTCCTCATCTATCGGATTTGTGTCTGTGACCGTCAAGAAGCCGGCATCGACCTCGAGAGGTATCTCTTTCTCCACTGTGATGGCCTGCCTGAAAAGCGTTCAGCATATGCTCTCAGTGTTCGACTCCAGATGAATAGCTTACTGCTTCCTCGCATGCTCGGCGAGTATCTCTGAAACATCCATGTTGCCTTCTCGAGCAAGGGAGCCAGGTAGCTTTTGAAGAGGTCGTTCTGGCTGGGTACGAAAACAGTGCCGCTTGCTAGATTCTGGATCTGAGATCTACTCACCACAAGCGCTGATTCTGTCATCCAATCATGGAGAGCGCTGCATTGAACTGGGTTAACGTTCGTCACACGCGCCGGTGTCCTTCTCCAGCCTTCTCCGCCTGTGACCTCGTTCATTTGCCTCATCTACTCGGTACTCAGTGGGATAGCCGCAAGGTGGCCAGGCTGCTCCGGCTATGTGTCGGGCTTCGGAGGCTGTGGGAGGCTTTGTTATCCGTTTCAGCGTGTCGCAGACCTGCCCAAACATTGCTATGGAGTGTGGAAGGTTGTCTACTGAATCCGGTGTCCCTCTCATGCTGTTGTCACATGCGCCTTTGCTCTGGCACTTCCCGAACGCCAGCTGCTTCTCGATATTCAGTCCCCTATATATATGATCCCCCCCGGACAACCGTCAGCTCTCCGCAAATCTCTTCGCAACCATGGCCCCCGTACGTACTTTCTTGATCATACTGGATGTTGGACTGCATGCTTGCAGCATAGTTTCCTGTTCCCGCGATATACTCCATGGAGTCCTTAAACAAGGACTCGCCAATCCGTCAAGTATATCCAGAGGACATTTATCCAAACGGTGTGCCGTGTAATTTAACTCGTCACGAGATCTCATACTAACCATCTCGAAGGTGATTACTATCCTTCGCCCTACGGTCGAGTCAGATATTGGATTGTTGGTCCAGAAGAGGGAAGGAAGGTGGGCAATAACATGTCTTGCCGACAAGACTGAAAATACACACCTCGACATCTATTTTAGGTCGTCCTCATTCATGGTATTGCTTGCCCCAGCATTGTCTGGAAGGACGTTCAGGCAGAGCTTGTGTCTAATGGTTTCAGGGTCCTGATGTACGGTAAGTGGATGGTAAGTCGGGGTGGAATGTATCCTGCTCATGCCGAGTTTATCTATGCAGATGTCTACGGTCGCGGTTATACGGAAGCACCTAGGCTGACCTGCGATCCAAGTCTGTGCATCGTACAGCTGGCACTGCTGATGCAATATATTCGTTGGAATGTAGCTGACGTCGTGGGCTTTTCGATGGTACGCATATGAATGTAGGCAGCCCTAATAGGAGTAACACCTGATCTACAGGGAGGCGCTATCGCCGCTTCTTTCGCCGCCATGTTCCCTCACCTTATCGACAAGAACGTCGTCATGCTATCAGCCGCGGGCCTAATAGATGTGCGTGTCCAGAAGACATCCTCCTTAAGTCGGGCTCATATGCAGCCCTAGCCTTCAGCAGAAAGACCTAACACGGCGAAGTTGGTGAATACACATCTATTAAAAATGTCTCTCGCACTCCTGACGTTTAAATGCAGACCAAGGAGTCGCAACCTGACAGCGGACAATTGCCCGTACACGTGCGTATTGATAAAAATGTAACGAGCTATCCTCTGATGCGGGAATAAGCTCCGAGAGCTGCAATCCCAACATCTCCCGGGATTCAATGACATCCTCGAATCGTCCAGGAAAGACGGCCTCATCACTGGCGCCAACTGGGCATACAAGAAGCTAGGCAAGATGACTGACAAACGCTTCCTGATTGTTCACGTAAGCTGTTACACCTTCGCTGCTCCGAGCAACCCTGAGATACCAGTTCAGGGCACTGCGGACAACATCGTGCCATACTCGGAGGCTTTCAAGATTCATAAACTCGTCCCGCAAGCGCAGTTGGTTCCCATCGAAGGCGCGAGCCACTATGTACCGCTGGAAGAAGGCTCTCGGGAAAAGTTCACCGCGGCCTTGGTCAAGTTCCTCTCGTGAAGTATAAGGCCTCGTGGAATGAGCAAGCGTAAATGATACGTAAGCAAGACGTGTACCATTATTCAACAAAAAAGGAGCTTCTTTCGGACATGCACAATCGTCCCGACTAGTGCTAATCCTGGCTGAATCTGAACCTCTCGAGCACGTCAAATCGGCCCAAATCCTGCCACAGTTGCCGGGAGTACTCTGATTGGCGCACCTGTCGTCCGTGTGCGCATGTGAGAAAACATTATGTCCTCTGCTCCGATATCACTGACGCCAAGACGGTTCTTTCAATTACCGAAATGGGAGGTAGAAGTTTCACCCTCAGGTCAGCGCATCTCACAAGACTAAGAACCGTCATACATATTCCAGCATAGTCAATACAATGCAGAATTACAGCTTGTGACGAGCTTGTATCTGCGTTGAAAGCTCGATTAATCCTGAGCCTGGTCAGGATAGAGCTGTCCGCGCTCCCCCACATCCGCCCCTGAAAGCACCAAGTTCACCAACTCAGGCGCATACGTCTTGCGCACAAACGCGGAGATTGCGTCGTTCCCGTTGGTGACACCGCCACTCGTCCAGATCTTCCCATCCTCCTCCCAACGCTTCTCCGTCCACTTTGCCTTCGGCGCCGTCTCCTTGAGCATCGGCAGGAACCCCCGCGGGCCTGTCGCGATGACGCCATCGAGGACGCCTGCCTGAGCGAGCACAAACGTGCCGGTACAGATGCCAAAGAGCGCCTTGAGCCCCGGAAGCTGCTCTTTGATGAAGGCCTTTTCGGCCGCAGTCGCTTGATAACGCGGCTCGGGACCCGGGACGAGCAGATAGTCGAGCTGTCCGGCGTTCTGAAGGCCGTGCTGGAATTCTCGAGGTCAGCTGCCACAGACATTGGGTCCTCGTCCCATCCGACGTACCGTGATGTTCACGCTGAGCCCGCCCGTGAGCGTGAACAGGCCGCTACCCTGCTCAGCGATGTAGAGGAATTCCATGTCATAGCCCTGGGCGATGAGGGCTTCGGGAATGTGAATGGACGTAAGGTAATCTTTGTCATGCATGGCGAGGATGTCAATAACGGCAGTATCCAAGAATTGGACTGCCGAGCCAACGAGAAGTGTGCCAATCCGAAGAGGAGCCATTAGTTGCAGCAGTGAGATGTTCAGTGTCGACAGCTTGAAGGCCAAGTGTTGGAAGCTACGAGTGCGTTATATACCCCCCTGCCATTGAATTCATGCGCAGGCAACCACCAATTTAGTCCGCAGACATTACGTGTTGAAACGTTGACGGCCGACAGCTGCAACAATGGAGCACAGTCGACCGCCGGTACCATTCGTCAGCAGACAGAGCATAGACGCGATCCTCCGAGGTTGTTGGCAAGCATCTCAACGGCACCCCGTAGCACACGGCGTAGCATGACCGTCGAGGCCCCTACCGGCTGAGCGGTAAGAGGTCTGAGGGGGCATTCGGGACCCCGTATACCTCGTTTCGTGGCAGGCAGCCTCGCACGACAATGTACCTCGCTCGAGAGTTCGATGCTAGATGTCTGTCCCTTCAATCATAGTATAAGGTATGTGTAAGGGTCCTGATATAACCAAATTCGCGAGGCTTGCGAAGACGCCATGACCAACAGTTCACACCCTGTGACCCGTGACATTAGAAACCCCGTGATGCGTGACCATGGTTCAATGACTGAACCGTAACTGGAGCGGGCAGGGAGCTAAATCAGGCAATGCCCGCCGTCAGTAGCACGCTGAGACATAACGTGATGGCGCATGGGTCTCGGGATAAGCAGTTATTGCATGCACTGTGCAGGACAACCGGCCGCTGTACGTGGCACATGGTTTGAATTCCATATGTTTTGGTGATCTTGTCCACAATCCCAGCGAACACTTCCTCGATAGCAACATATGCCGCAATGGATGTCGAGTACACGGACTGTGCAGATGAACCTGACGAAGTAAATGACATGCCACACAGTGTAATATAGGTATCTATGTTATTGGGTATGCTGATACCACATGCCCTCGCTACAATCTCAACGTTGTGCATTGATAACCAAAAATTGAAGATTATATTTCTAAGCACCTATGTCACGGTGATGCAGCCAGTTCATTGCCCTACCGTGACCGTGACCGTGACGTGAACTGTTGGTCATGGCGGTACAGTAATAGCGCTTTTCTGAGTACAGTACTTCAAGTTCCCTGTGGCTCAGTCATAGTTCCAGCCGAAGAGATTCGCAGGATGGCGCAGTAAACCTGATCTGAGCTATGTTCCAGAAAGGCTTGAAAGCCCCGGCCGCCTCCCAGCGAGCGTTGAACAATGTGCGGAAGTACGTCACCCAGTACATTACCAGTCCGATCGCGCCGCCAGTGCGGGCTCGGAAGCATTGACCGGTGAGCGATTCGAGTCCCGCGCTTGACCAGACCTTGTTGCAATAGTCAAGCTTTAAGCCTCAAAGCTTCAAGGGCCGTCATTCGTCTCGGAGGCAAAGAACGGCGCGTCCGGCAACGCTCCCGAATGTTATCTTAAGCTTGCGGTGGTGTTTGGTCGCTGGCACTGCTGGTGAGGAGCTGGTACAACGGTGTGAACAAGACGTGCAGTCGCGAAAAACAAAGCAGTATGAGTGCTGCCGCAGATATCTATCAGGTAGAGTAGCCAGGCGGTTTCTGAAATTCCACTCTGATAACGATGAAATACGAGCTGCACTCTTTCTCTTACGTTGTCAAGCGCCTGAGTTCACCGCCCAATCGCAGCCTATCGCAGCGCGCGCTAGATTGAGTGAGACTGTCGCGTCCGCCCCATCAAATCCCACCACTTGCCACCGTTCCTTCTCCGCCTGTGACCTCGCCGAAGTTTAATTTGCTTCCATCTCGTCAAGTATACTGTTTGTTACTTGGCGGAATGGACCCCAGGCTGTATGGCTGCTGTGACTTTTTCATAGACTGATGAGGCTGTCGTTCTTGCGCCAGCCAGAGTTGTGTTAGTGTTAGCTATGGCTTGAGTGGGTCTAGACACTGCTCAGGGCCCCTGGCGTTGTTGCGGCGTATGGAAGGATTTCTACTTAACGCATCTGAATGCGCTCTACCATCTCTCAGGGTCATTGTCACATGCGCTTCGCTCTGGAATTACCCGAAAGACCAGCTCTCGACGTATAAATAAGACTCCCTGTCGTCCTCAGACGACGTCAGTCTCTGCACGTCTCGTCGCAATCATGGCTCCCGTACGTGTTCTCTCCTCCATTCCAGATGAATTCACTACACGCTTGCAATATAGTTCCCTACCCCCGTAATCTACTCTATGGAGGCTTTGAACAAAGACCTGCCGATCCGCCAATTGTACCCCGAGGATATCTACCCAAACGGTGTGTTGCAAGTTTACCGCACAGCGTAATTTGAGCTGAGCATCTCGAAGGTGACTACTATCCGTCACCTTACGGTCGAGTCAGATATTGGATCGTTGGCCCAGAAGATGGACAGAAGGTGAGTGGCAATATCTCGTCAATGAAGCTGAAATTGATGTCAAGGTATTAGGTCGTCCTCATTCATGGTCTGTCAACCCCCAGTATTCTCTGGAAGGACGTTCAGGCGGAGCTTGTGTCCAATGGTTTTAGGGTCCTGATGTATGGTAAGTGGCTCGTATTTCATATGGACCGGTGGGATGCGTCTCACTAAAACCGAATTTGTCTACGCAGACATCTACGGCCGTGGTTATTCAGAGGCACCTAGGCTGACCTGCGACCCTAACTTATGCATCATGCAACTGGCGCTTTTAATGCAATATATCGGCTGGGATGCAGCTGATCTCGTTGGCTTCTCGATGGTACGCATATGGACGCAGACAGTTCTATCAGGGATTAACGCCTGATCTACAGGGAGGCGCCATTGCTGCTTCTTTCGCCGCTATGTTCCCTCATCTTGTCGGTAAGAACATCGTGTTCCTATCAGCCTCAGGCCTGTTGGATGTACGTATGTACAGAACTTCTTCTCCTCATTAAAACTCACGTGTAGTTCTAGTCTGTCAAAGAGCAGCCGAACGCAGTGGGTTATTTCTGTTTCGAGAGTGATATCCACTAAGCTGACAGTCAAATGCAGAGCAAGGAGACACAGCCCGACAGCGGACAGGTGGCTTGGCATGTGCGTATCAGGATGAATGCAATTGATTTTCCGCTGACGCAGGGATCTAGCTCCGAGAGCTACAAACACAATGTCTCCCGGGATTTAGCGACATGTTGGAATCCTCCAAGAAAGACGGCCTCGCCACCGGCGTCAACTGGGCGTACAGGAAGCTCGGCAAGATGCCCGACAAGCGCTGCCTAATTGTGCACGTAAGCAACCTCACCTCTTTCGCCGCTCCAAGTAGTGCTGTAACGTCGATTCAGGGTATCGCCGATAATGTTGTGCCATATTCGGAGGCATTCAAGATTCGCAAACTCGTTCCGCAGGCGCAGCTGATTTCGATCGAGGGCGCCAGCCATTTTGTACCAATGGAGGAAGGTTCTAAGCAGAAGTTCACCGAGAACCTCCTTAAATTCCTTGCGTAGAGAACGTGTACAGATGATACGTGAGCAAAAATGTACCTTCTTCCAATGGGAGCGAGGGAATCCTTTCGAGCATACACAGCCACCTAACGTTCGCTGCACCGCAGAGACAGAGATCAAACCTCCGTGTCGATTTGAGTGATGCTGGAGCAGTGCGCCTACGTTCGGCTTGCTGACGACTTGGATACGCCAGAGCATTATCGATGACTTCTAGTCTCGCAGAATGCTTGAAGGCGCAGACCCTACTAACCGTATTGAAGGGCACGTGAGCTTTCCTGACGGCGTGTTGGCGTGCCGACAGCGACTCAGGGGACGCGAAAGCGTCTACGAAATTCTCACAGACGCTGCTGGCACTAGAGCCCAGTCGTTCATGCCGTTCAGACGAGCACAACTCATTGCTTGCGGTAAAGTGGCTCTCTAAGTAGTGAGTTACTCCACCATCTCATTATCACCGGGGTCCTGTCGACACTGTTGCCGTAACGTCAGATCCGCGACGGTCAGCTACACTCTCAAGTAGCGACTTTCATTCTTGATATATCCCCCGTTATGTAAGCCTCCAAAGTGCATGACTATTCTCGTCTTCGTTGCTCAAAACCTAATACCATGCCGACAAGAGTTCTGAAGCTGCCGACCAAGGCGTGCCCTCTCGTTTCTACACGAGATCACATGCACACGTTGCGTATGTTCCATTCATCGCGGTGTACGGGTTTATCCCGGTCATTACCGATGCAGAGCCAAACAAAATTCCGTGCCTCCGAGTGCGCAGGGACTACATATACCAAGGCCTGGTAGTGCGTCTAACCCATCCGCACCCTCATCTATGGCACAAACTCTGATGACCTCGGGCTCGCTCTTTCGCAGATACTTTGGCACCAACCTTGAGCTACTCTTACTATATCTATTTCTTCTGGGCCTCCTCTCGGTCCCGTTCACTTCCCTAGGCCTTGTTTTTATTCTAAAAAGCGGCCATCCCATCCAATTTCCCCCCTCTGACCCTCACGTTGGCTTCGTCGCAGGTCCAGATTATCGCGGTACTCTAAACATTATCTGGGTATGCATATCCACAATCTTCACCTGCGTTTATCTGTCCGTCCATGTCGATATTTCGGACAAGTCGAGAGCGACGGAGTTGACGCAAACGTTGCAAACTGCGCCGACTCAGAGCTGGGCCGGGAAGATAGCTCGCCACCTCGCCCCTCTATGGCATTTCACGGCGCATTCGATTTGCTTGCGGGTGCTCTGGATGCTGTTCAACATCTTCGCGCCAGAGCTCGTCGTTTTCGTCGCCGCATTGGAGCGAATGAGCGCTACCGACGCTGTCAAGTTTATGCGCAGTCGTGGGCAAAACGACTGGAACATGAAGCTCGCCTTCTTTGCCGACATGGGTGGCTTCGAGCTCGACGACGGGACACACTTTCGCGACGGTCTCTCGTTCCTTAAGTGGTTCGACAGGCTCCAGGAGACCCATGAAGGCGGCGTGGTGCTGACGGTCCGCCCACTCGTAGACGAAATCAACGATCGCAGCAACGCGGACCTCGTGCTCAAGGTCTTTACTTGTCTGCAGGCGACTTGGCTTCTTATCCAGACGTTCGTGCGCCTCGCGGAAGGGAAAGCTGTCTCTGAACTCGAGATAACGACGTGCGCCTACATTCTTTGCACCGTAATCTCGTACGCTTGTTGGCTACAAAAGCCGTACAGCATCGCAGGACGGATTGTCATCCGAGACAAATTCATTGTTCCTCGAAACGAATACACCTCACGGCAACAGAGCTCCCCCTTGTCGCGAAGTCATCCGTATCTCACCCTGCGTACCTCAGAATCCACCCCGTCATCGATCCCCCTCACCCACATTAGAGATCACATGGAAACGTCGAGAAAACCGGAGAGCGCACCTACTCATCTTCCTATCATGATTTTCTGCGGTGCACGCTTTGCGCCCTTTAATCGATCCTACCTGCGTCCGGGGATATCTTGGCCAGGTAAGTCCCTTCAAACTTAACCAGTTTCCTTTCGAAGCCGCACTGAGAATGCTTCCTTCTTGCATAGTTGGCTGTCATGCCTCAGCCCTCGTCGGAGCGGCTGTCGGTCTAATTCATGGTATTCCCCTGTGGAATGCGCAGTTTGTCACCACCACTGGCCAGTGGCTATGGCGCGCTTCATGCATCGTGCAAGTCGTCATCCCAGCCGCCACTGCCATGATGGCGGTCATCGAGATTTGGTACAGCGGTGTGTTCCTCCTCGTCGCTACGCTTTTAATGGCCTTTATCTACTGTGTCTCCCGCATCGTATTATTAACTCTCGTTTGGATCTCCTTTTGGAGCCTCCCGACTAGTGTTTATCTTGATATTGACTGGTCATGGTCATACATTCCTCATTGGCATTAGCTTTTTTTGCTTTCATCGGTGTCTAGTATTTTACAGGAAGAGCTGCGTTCCGATATATATGTGACAAGCCCGGGCCCTGAGTTTCCCATTTTCATACAACGTCTTGGGCGGTCCCCAAACTCTTAACAGAGTGTTGTATCAGTGTCTTATTGCAACCTACATGGAGCTGACTGGTCCGAGTCGAGGGTTATTGTTTAGGACGTTCGAATGGACCCGGGTGTACTTCCCTTCCGCGCGGGGTTCGCAACTCGGATTGCAGCTGGGCAGATCTCACGGTTGAGGTCTCAGGCCTCAGGGCCGAATAGTCTGCTCTACTCCTTCTTTACCGAAGTAAGTAGTAAGCATGAGGAAGCATGGCGTATTGTGCGTGGCTGCACGATTGAACCTTCTCTACTTGATTCATTCGATGTCAACACAGGATTTTTGTCCTAAGGTCGATGCGTCCCGCTATTCGTCCAGATCTTCCCATTCCCAGCGCTCCTGCGGTGCAGTAACTCGCGCAGACGTGTCCAAACAGCTGTGTATGTTCGAAGGAGTTTCTCCAGCCTACGCTTTCCGTCGAATGGCGGTACAAGACTTGCTTACATATCATCTATTGTATATTCCGCGGATCTCATTTCTTCCCATGAAAAGACTTTGTGACCTGAGCAGCCACATAACTCGACCTTCGGTCAGCGCTAAGGGTGTTAACCTCTATTTTACGTAGCCGGATGCTTGCCTTCCCCCAATGTTTCAGCGGGATCATGCGAAGCGGAGTCGACTGGTAATTTTTTCGTAATTTTTACAAATTTGTTTAAGCGCTGGTGAAATTTTGGCACTATTTTCAACCAAAGTACACGGGAGCAAATTTGTTTCTTTCCTTGTGTCCGTACGATGTGATTCTCATGTTAACTTTTTGTCTCTGATGTGCTGGGAAGGCTAGAAAATTCACGTAAGTGTCGGCGCCAAATTGGTCGAGTCCGCCGCGGCAGGTGCCGATTTGAGCGATGTCGGAGCAGTGCATACACGCTTGGCTTGCTGACGACTTGAGTACGCCAGAGCATTATTGGCGGCTTCTTGAAATATTCTGGTAGAATGTTTGAAGGTGCAGATCCTACCAGGTGAATTTGAGCATACTGGCAGTACTGAACCAATCGTTCGAGTCATGTCGTTCAGACGAGCACAATTCACTGCCTGCAGTAAAGTGGCTTCTAACCGGTGAGCTAATCCATCAGCTCATAGTATTATCACTAGATTCCTGTTGACATTGTTACAGGAACGGCAGATCCGCGACAGTCTGTTACACTCTTAAGTAGCGACTTCGCCACGCATTGTTTTCATGTAGTATATACCTTGTTATGTAAGCCTCTACAGTTTATAACTCTTCTCGTTATCGTTGTTGAGACCCTGATACCACGCTGACAAGGGTCCGAAGCTGCCGACCAAGGCATGCCCTCTCTGACTGCCCATTCCCTGTTAATGTCTACAGCGGATCACACCTCGTGTATGTTCCCTTCACTGTGGTGCACGGGTTTATCCCGGTCATACCGTTGCAGGATCAAACAAACTTTCGTGCTTCCGAATGAGCAGGAACTACATATACTGACAAGAAGTGCGTATTTCAAGGCATAGCAGTGTATCTAACCTGTCACACCCTCGTCTATTGCACAAACTCCGATGCACTCAGGTGTGCTCTTTTTGAAATAATTCGGCGCCGACTTTGAACTTCTCCTGCTATACCTATTCCTTCTGGGCCTCGTCTCAGTCCCACTCACCTCCCTAAGCCTTGTTTTTATTCTGCACAGTGGCCAGCCCACTCAGTTCCCTCCCTCTGATCCTCACGTTGGCTTCGTTGCAGGTGCAGACTATCGTGGCACTCTAAACATTATCTGGACATGCATGTCCACCATCTTCACCTGCGTTTACCTATCTGTGCACATCGATGTGCCAGACCAGTCGAAGGCGAAGGAATTTGTGGAAGCGCTGCGAGACATGCCGAAGAACTGGACCAGGAGGACAGTTCGCCACCTCGTTCCTCTATGGCATCTCACAGCACGCCCGCTTTGCAGACGGGTGTTCTGGATGGTTTTCAACATCTTCGCCCCGGAGCTCGTCATACTCGTTGCCATATTGGAGCGTAGGAGTGCATCTGACGGTGTCAAGTTCATGCGCAGCCGAGGGCGGGATGATTGGAACGTAAAGCTCGCCTTCTTTGCCGATATGGGTGGCTTCGAGCTCGACGACGGGACACACTTCCGCGATGGTCTCTCGCTCCTCAAATGGTTCGATAACCTCCAGAGGACTCACGACGAGGGCATAATGCTGAACATTGACCCACTGGTGGAGGAGATCAGCAATCGTTGCAACGCAGACCTCGTGCTTAAGGTCTTCACTTGTCTGCAAGCGCTGTGGCTTCTTGTCGAGACGTCCGTGCGTCTTGTGGAAAGGAAGGCCGTCTCCAAGCTAGAGATAACAACCTGCGCCTACATCTTCTGCACCATCTTCGCATACGCATGTTGGCTGCAAAAGCCGTACGGCGTCGAAGGACGAGTCACCATCCGAGACAAGTACATCGTTCCTCGCAACGGACACGCTTTACCACAACAGAGCTCCCCCTTGTCGCGAAATCGCTCATACTCCATACTACACACCTCAGAGCCGGCTCCGTCACTGACTCCTCTCGTTTACACAGGAAGTCTCATGATGGGTTCTCAGAAAACGGAGAGCACACCTACATACCTTCCTATCATGATTTTCCCCGGTGCACGCTTTACCCCCTTCAATCGATCCTACCTGCATCCGGACGCCTCTTGGCCACGTGAGTTCGAAATTTACCTATCTCCGGTTGTTTCGCTGAGAGTGCTCTCTTTCTCACGCAGTTGGCTGTCATATCGCTGGCCTCCTCGGAGCCGTTGTGGGACTTATCCATGGTATTCCTCTGTGGAATGCGTTGTTCGTTACCACCACTGGCCAATGGCTATGGCGTGCTTCTTGTATCACGCAAGTTGTTATGCCAGTTGCCATTGCCGCGATTGCGGTCATCGAGCTCTGGTACAGTGGTGTATTGCTCTTTCTGGCTATGCTTTTGATGGCTTTCCTCTATTGCGTCTCCCGCATGGTCTTGTTCGCTCTCATCTGGATCTTCTTTTGGAGCCTCCCCACTAGTGTTTACCTTGATATTGACTGGGCGTGGGCATACGTTCCTCATTGGCATTAGCTAGATTATTCTTATGACTTTGCTACTTTCATCGATGTCTAGTTTACAGAAAGAGCTGCGTTCTAATATATATGTATGGTACGCTTTCGGTTTCCCGTCTTCAGTCATACAATGTCTTGGGCAGCCCTTAGGCTCTGAGCATGGTGTTGTATAAAAGGTCTTATTGGTCTATTACAGCCCATATGGAGTTGACTGGTCGAGGGCTGTTGTCTAGTACCAGTTACTAGGAGACTTCAAATGGACCCGGGTGCATCTCCCTTCTGCGTGGGGCTCGCGACCTGGATCGCAGCTGGGCAGATCTCACGATTAAAATCTTGGTGCCGAATAGCCTGCTCTACCCCTTCCTCGCTGAAGTAAGTAGTAAGCACGAGGAAGCACGGAGTGTTGTGCGTGGTTGCGCAATTGAACCTTCTCCACTCGGTTCATTGACATCAACGCCACCAAGACCCGGCCATATTCGAAGTGGAGGCAAGATCTTCCCATCCCACAACGTTCCTGCAGCGCATTGACTCGCACTGATGTGTCCAGACAACTGCATGTACGCTCGAACGGTGGAGTTTCCTCGGTGTATACATTTCATTGAACAACGTTACAACATTTGCTTACGTACCATCTATTCTTGCATATTCCGCGGGTCTCGTGCTTCACATAAGAAAGTTGACTAGGCTGTCGACGAACTTTTGCCAAGAGCCTTCTTCCAGAGGCACAAAATGGCTCGCATCTTCGAGAGGAACCAGCTGCGCCTGCGGAATAAGTTTGTGAATCTTGACTGCCTCCGAATATGGCACAACATTGTCGGCGGTGCCCTGAAGCGTAGTCCGTCATTAATTGTAGCGGTGAAGGAGGTCGCACAGCTTACATGGACAATTAGGAAGTGTTTCTCGGTCATACTTCCGAGCTTTTGGTATGCCCACTGGACTCCAGTAATGAGACCGTCATTCAAGGTCGACTGCAAGACATCGTTAAATCCTGGGAGATGTTGAGACTGCTGCTCCCGGAGCTGGTTCGTGCATCAGGCGATAGTTCAATGCAGTGCTTCTGATACGCACATATATGGCTATCTGTGCGCTGTCAAGCTGCACTTCCCTACTCTACAATCGAATGTTTGAGTTGCCGGAGTCATTCTTGAAAGACAAGCACTTACCGTATTCAGTGGTTCTTTATCAGGCTAGGACCATGTGTGAGTCTCATTGAAGAAAAAATACTGTCTGCGCACGTGCCTCCATTAGTCCTGCGGCCGGCAGAAAGACAATGTTCTTGTTGACAAGGTGAGGGAACATAGCAGCGAAAGAAGCGGCAATTGCGCCTCCCTGCGAAAAAAAGATATATATTGAGATAAGATTATCTGCGTGTATATGCATACCATCGAGAAGCCGACGACGTCAGCTGCGTCCCAACGAAGGTATTGTAGCAAAAGTGCCAGCTGCATAATGCACAAGTTGGGGTCACAGGCTAGCCTAGGTGCCTCTGTATAACCACGGCCATAGACATCTACGTGAATAATAATTTGTTATTAGTAAGACGCATCCCACCGGATCCGTCCTACTGTACGGCCACTTACCATACATCAGAACCCTAAAACCATTGGATACGAGCTCCGCCTGAATGTCCTTCCAAACGATGCTGGGGATGGACATGGCGTGAATGAGGACGACCTGGTACCTTGATATGTACTTTAGCTTCACCAGTGAGATATACCGATGTTCACCTTCTTTCCGTCTTCTGGGCCGACAATCCAATACCTTACTCGACCATAAGGTGATGGATAGTAGTCACCTTCAAGATACTCAGCTCAGGGTGCGCCGAGCAGTACACTATGCAACACACCGTTTGGGTAGATGTTCTCGGGGTACAATTGGCGGAGCGGCAGGTCTTTATTCAAGGTCTCCATAGAGTGGATCACGGGGGTAGGGAACTACATTGCAAGCGTGTGGTGAATTCGTCCTGAACGGGAGAGAGCGCACGCACGGGGGCCATAGTTCTAACAAGATTTGGGGGGAGTTACTGCTGTCTGAGAAAGATCAAGGCTTTTATAGTAATCGGTTCGGAGGACCGGCTCAGCGCATGTGGCGGCAACTCGAGAGAAATACATGCAGTGATTCGTTGCTGGAGATCTGATAGGTAAGCTTTATTACTTTCCAACAACACCTTAAGCGACACTCGGGATTTGGGCTCACTTTGAGATCTAGACAGCTCCAATTTATGCGAGAACGAACGGTTTCGTCAGTCCGAGAAAAAGTCGCAGTAGCTGGCACAGTAGCCCTTGCGCATATCCTGCCCAGTATGGAAACAGTGTATGCAAGGGAACGTGTGTAAAATTCACAAGGTCATAGACTGGGAAGAGATGGTAGAGAGCCATGGGAATTGATGGAATGGATGCAGCAGTAGCGTTCGCCGTGGAGGTGAGGTGAGGCCACGCGCTCGGCGCGAGCGGGTTTAGCAAGCGCAACTGCCTTCGTACTTCAAAGCTTCGCTAGAGTAATCATTCTAACGGCCTTTTAATTAGAAGACAGCCGTCTACGATTGTCGTCGCCTTACCTTGCGCGACGGCATGTAGGCTTCACGCACGACATCGCCGCCGCGGCGAGGGGCCAAGGTTTCTCTGCGCACGTTGATATTTGTGCACAGGGATGCCGAGCAGGCCGGTCAAGAGGACACAAAGATAAACTGCTGGATATGGTTCATGGGAGTGTCGCGTCATTGGCGGCTACTATTTATATGGTGGACCTTCCATAATTGATACTCCTGGTGGCGCTGATGGTGTTGATGGGCAGGATAGCCAATCCTGGAGACTCGAGTTTATATCTCATAGGAAGCCGGCGAACCTGCTTTTTGAATTTGAGCTAGAAGCTCTGGCTTTATGGACTCGCACTAGTACCAAGAGCCAAGACTTGCGATGGCGCCGCGAAATCATGCAAGTTGCCAGCGGTGATCCTTGCGTTGTTGAGCTTATGGAGCGCAAATCCGGGCCTCAGATGCACAGAGCTGTGCCAGCAGAAGATCCTTCAGCTGGCTCACTGCACCTCGTTTGTCTTCCCATAAGCATGTGGAGCCTGAGATGTTCGAAGTCTGCCGCCTTTCCCACTTACATTCAGATCCATCATTCGTCCCTTTCCGTCCCCTCTGTGCGTCTCAGCTGCGCGGGATCTTCCCACGGGGATGAGCGGACGCAAGATTTCGAGATGGATAGGCGACAGATGGAGATGGTGAAAAGGGCGCGGACGGCGAGTCGAGAATTCTGGGCAGCCGACTTAGTCACGTATCTCCCACACTGGCTGAACTGGAATCGTAAAGTGTTGCACAGCGCGATCCGAGGCTATGCTTAGCCAGCTTGAACATTGGCAGCGTGGCTGTTCTTGTCGGACGATGGAAAGCGTCCTAGGATATACCTCGGGGATTCCCGACAGCAGACGCCGGTCTTGGCAGTATCGTCCGAGATTGGTTACGCACCGCTTCCTCTCCAACCACTTGCTGCGCAGGCTTCGCTGACTGTTGCTGGAACCCATTACACTCTCAGAAGGCCTTCTATACGGCCCTTGTTCTTATAGCCTCTTCCCCTTTCATCTCTGGGCCGAAAGCCTCGTTAGATACGGCTTTGATACCTTGTATCTCGAACTACCTCTACAGCACTCGCTCGTCGGGATAATCGATCATGCCGTCCAACGTTCGCTATGCACCAATTCCAAACCCTCGTACGGGCCCCAACGTGCAGGACGAGATGGAAGCGGCCTTCCTGGAGTCGGACGACGAGGACGAGCATGACGACAGAAGCCACATCAGGGCACCCGGTATGACAAGAAACGGCTACAGCTCGCTCCCCAACGTCGAGCCCGACACACTCTCTTCCCCTTCGCGCGAGCCCGGCGCACCGCAAGCGTATGATTTCGAGCGTGCTGACTACGGCGAAGACTGGGCACGACCACCACCAGGCTCGCCCCCGGCGTCTACCCAGTTCTTCCAGGTGCAGACGCAGGGTAACTCGAATGGAGTTATTCCTGACTTCACTGCCGCAGCGAGGTATGCCCAGAGGAGCACCGGAGGATGGGCGAGGAGGGTGTTGCCGCAGCGTGTCGCAGAACGTCTGGGCCTGGGTAGCTCGCACGTTGAGGGCGTCGTTGGCGGTGGGACTCTGAACGACGGCGTGTTCGCGAATGTCACTGCCAAGCCGTCAAGACCGGTACGAGCGACGGAAGGTGACCATTTTGCGCTCGTCTTGTGTTCGCCGTGAACTGAACGGATATTGATGTTCCCAGGTGATAATACCTACCTTGTTCCGGAAGAGTCTCAGAAAGATGCGCCGCCATCATACGCATCTGCACAGGCCGATGCCGTCCCGCCATACTGGGAGACGACCATCCACGCACCCTCTTCCGGCTCTGGCCCCGGCGACGTCTTGATCGAGTCGCTGCCCACCGGCTCGCTCTTCTCCTTCCTCTGGAACATGCTCGTCTCGATCTCCTTCCAGTTCGTCGGCTTCCTGCTCACATACCTTTTGCACACGACCCACGCCGCAAAGCTCGGCTCCCGCGCCGGACTCGGTATCACACTCATTCAGTATGGTTTCGCGATGCGTGGGCGTGCGGAGGAGTGGGGAAAGCAGGAGGAGCTCGACGGGTGGGGCTGGCAGACCACGAATGCACACCAGGACCCGGCTACCCCTGCGCCAACCTTTGCCACTGCCGCGGAAGCGGAGGACTACTACGGGAAGCTCGCCGCCAACGGTACTTCTTGGCCAAGTAGCGTGCCCAACGGCGCGACGGTAGAGGCGACTAACTTCTTCAGCGATGCCACAACAGAGTGGCTGTCGTTCTTCCTTATGACCGTCGGTGCGTGCACCTCTACCTTTCTTTTCGTGTATGCGCTTCCGCTGACATGTCTGGCAGGCTGGTTCATCCTGCTCACTTCCCTCCTCAGCTTCTGGCGCGTCAAACGTTGGGAACGCGGGGTCCTCGCCTCGCAGCCCTCCACCCTACCCGCCCCGGGCGCCGCATCCGCAGCCCCCACGACGCCCTCCTCGCTCTTCCAGCGCCTCAACCTCCTGCGCGCGGGTCTCGGCTTCCCGCAGCGCCACGCCCCGTCGGAGGACGTTGCGGACGAGTACCCCGGCGCCCTGAGCCACTTTGGCATGCCCGTGCTCGAGGAGGAGGACAGCCCGGTGCACGAGCGCGGCGAGTACATCATCCCGCTCGACCCGGAAAACCCGGAGGCGAACGACCGCCTCGCGCGCGCGTACGCCGAGGAGGCGCGTCTGCAGCGTGCGTTACGTGCCGCAGGCCTGCTGTGAGGCGCGCCGTGGCGAAGCGTCGCCCGAAGAGAGTCCTGCCTCTGTCGCTCGTTCGTTCGCTCGTATACTTAAAGGAGTGCTCCCAGCCCCGCTGACTATACCTCGCAATCTTTCGTTTCTTTTTATTTCCGCCTGACGCTTCGAGATCTGGGCTCACAGAGGACGGGGTGGCCGCTCACGTTGTGACTTTCGTTGATGATCTCAAGATGCTGTACCATATAATGACTGTACCATAATCTTCTCTTGTTTTCTGCGCGGAAGTGCGGTACATTCTCTTCTGTTGAAGTTGTGGATTGGGATGGTCGAAGTACTGGATGGAGGGCTGGTGCCCGTTGCGATGCGCCAAGTGCGTCGTCGTGCTTTTGGATTTCTGGTTTATGTAGAGTCTGGCGAGCGCACACACGTACAGAAAACACTGGACAACTTCTGCTAGTCTTATCTCCCCTGCCCACCTCCGCCCTGCTGGCCCTCTTCCGCAGGCGCGCCGCTGACCGCTGCAGCGAGCACTGTCTCAGAACACACATATCAGACGTGAGGTAAAAGGGACACGCACCGAGCGCCAGGAACGCAATGGCGAAATACATCCAATACTTCTGTATGAACGACTTTTCTGCCGGTGGGGTGACGACCCTGCCTTCGGGGGTGAGCTGCGGCGGTGTGCGCAGGCTCGGGCTGCATCCCAGTCATGGCAGTCAGCTATCGGATGCCCAATGAGTGCGAGGGGGGAACTCACAGCGGCGGGTGCGTCGGGCCCTTGAGCACGACGCTCGTGTTGGCGACGCGCGTGCCGACCTCAGTCATGAGCCTGCGGCGCGCCTTCGCAGAACCTGGGCACGCCCCGTCGTGTGGGACGGGCCCGACGAAGTAGTCGAGCGCGAAGGGCACGCCGCCGGCGCCGAGGCGGACGACGAGGCTCTCGGCCGTCGCGTGCGGGAGGTGGCACTAGGCGTGACGTGTGAGCTGACACATGAGAGTGGGCGCGTGGACGAACGCACGGCTTTCACGGAGGAGACGTGCCACTGCGACGGGTGCGTGTCGGCCGGGTGTGCGAGCGCGAGCTGGTAGAGCGCACTTTCGAGCTCGACGGGCTGCTGCTGCTCGCTGGCAGCGTCCTGCGCCTCGGCAGTGAGCGACGCGGCGTAGGCGGTGAGGTACGCCGCGAGCGGGGTGTCGCCGGCGTCGGCATCAGATGCGAATGCGGCCGAGACGGGCCCGTGGTACACACCGCGCGTGGAGGGATCGTACGAGAGCTGGATGGCACCGTGGTCCACGAACGGCTCGTTGGGGCGTGCGGGGTGGTAGATCCTCTGTAGTAGCCGTAGGCTCTCCGGGCGTGCGTCAGAGGCGGCGGGTCCTGCGGGCGACTCGGCAGCGTGCGCGCTGGCGAGCACGAGCGACAGGACAGCGGCGAGGAGGGTCGTGCAGGGAAAACGCATCGTGGCCGGATGCGGGCTGGGATTGGTGGCATTAGGCGCCGTACGGAGGTGTTTCTAGACACGGGCTCGCTGATTGGCTGAGCCAATGGGGGGACGGCGCTTCACGCGAGCGCCTGATATGGGGTGAGTGGCTCGTCCGACTGCCTCCACGCGTTGGACCGCCTTCGGATGCTTTGTGCAAGAGGGGCCCAGCACAGGGGTCTGCGTATATTTATGAAATTTACAAGACCCAATCGACAGCTACCTATGGGACGTGCGAAGGGTATAGACTGAATGGAGGACAGCACACCGCATAGCGACCGAGAGATGGGGATTAGAGTTGTGGTTGTGCGGGTTAGCCGCTTCGGTCGATAGATGGTTGCGTCCTCGAGCCGGAAGAGGTCGGGTATAGCTGGCGTGTACGTATTCTTATCTACCGCAGGCCGACGAACAAGCTCCCGGGACAATCGCACGACGACGTCCGAGGACAGACAAGCACGACGACTCCGTGCCCGTCGCTGCCTCCAGGCCTGACTCAGGCTCAGGCAAGGGGCGGGAGCCAATGGGAAGGCCTTGGAGGATGACGCACTCGGCCGTCTCAGTTGGTAAGGGAGGAAAGTCTGGACTGCGTTCCCACGGCCCCAGGAGCCAACCAGCTCCTCTTGCGTGCTCCTTCCGAAGCATCCACCAGGCGCCGCAATTTCCCATCGCAGCCATCGGCAACCGACCACCTCGCTCTCCCCCGCCCTCACCGACGCCGTCCTCCTCCTCTCCCGTCCAGCAGGCACAGCGACAACGACAGCCTGTGCCTGCTTCTAGCGCGCCACACGCAGGCGAGGGACGCAAGGAACGGACGGTCCAGCGAGGGACGCCATTGGCTCCTCGTTGAAACGCATTCCCATTGGCCTGGCCGAAATGGGAAGTGGCTGAGATGCTGGATCGCTCTGGATCGTTGGTGGGCTCCCAAGCTGATTGGCCCGCGCTGAACAGTGGCCTGGACGCGGGCACTGGTCCTTGTTCATGTCACGACGAGAGCGTTGGTCGAGACTCCTCCGTTCGCACATATATCCCACAGGTGCGTCCGCCCTCGTCCTTCCCATCTTTCCCCTCTCCTCTCCTCCCTCTCGATACGCATCCACTTGCATCCTCCTCGACGCAAAGTCCGAGAGTTAACCACAATGACCATCAAATTCGAACAGTCTGCTTCGTCCAGTGCCCTCCCAACCCCGCCACACTCGCCTCCCTCCCAACACCCGCCTTTCTTTGCCCTTGGCGCTAACCATCAGCTGGTCCCCCACCAGTCGCACGTCCACCACCTGCACCACAACCAGCCACACCCGCACCACAAGCACACTGCCACCCTCCTCGACTCCCTCACGTCATTCTACCAGCAGGAGCAGTACTGGGTGCACCACACGCGCGCAGCCCTCGAGCTCGCGCTGGCCAAGGGCATCGACGGCCCCGGCGTGCAGCCCCTCACGGGCTCGTCCATCTCGAACGCCTCCTCCTGCGACGTCTCGCCCGCGGGCTCCGACGTCTCCTGCACCAGCGTGCGGATCAAGGCCGAGCCAGAGTCCGAGAACGCCGCCGCCATGCTCGCGTCGCCCGCCTTGTCGACGTCATCGCTCCTCGCGTCGCCCACCCTCGCCTCCGCCGAGGCGGACGCCGCGCACCAGCAGGCGGCCTCGCGCTGGCTGCGCCGCAAGAACCAGATGCGGCTCCGCCTCGAAGGCATTTCCACGAACAAACGCCGGCGCCCCGCGCGTGCCCCGCCCACCGAGCCCGCGGCGCGCCTCCTCGAGATGTTCGCCGAGCTCGTCGACGCGCGCATGGAGAGCTGCGTGCGCATGGAGAAGCTCGTCCGCGACAGCGGCCGCGGCTGTGCCGTGTGCTAGGCGGCAGTGTCGCCGGACGTGGCTGTGGATTGGCTGATGACTTGAGGATGGTCAGTTGCAATCTCCGCCTTGTTGTTTCGCACAGGTCGCTGATACTTCTTTTCACACAGGATCGAAAGTCGTTCTGAGTTGTGTCTCCCCACCATACATACCCATCTTTACCGGTGGACGGACACTGGACCCTTCACCGTGCACACCCTGCAGTACAACACTGAATATTGCAAATGTGGTACTGGAGAACACTTTGGCGCTTGCACTGCCGGCGCTCGCACTAGCAAGTATGCCCGCGGCGCGTCGAGACTGGGATGGATGGGGCGAGGACGAGAGAGCACGAGGGCCCGGCAAATAGATGTTGACAATGGAACTGAAATCTTTTCCTGTTTTGATACCATTTTGTATTTGTATCAACTTGCATTATTTATCGCATCGCTTTCGAGATTTCTGCATATCCTGCTGTGCCCTACGGATGTCCGAGGAAGCCTTTGTCGGACAGCCACCCCGAATGCAAACGTCAGCCTCGGCTGAGCTGCCAAATTCAACCGAGGCGCAACGTTGGCCAAACGAGGCAGCGCGACGGCACCGCCGTTCGGCGAACGTGCACCGGGAGGTATATTGGCAATTTGCAGGTTGGCAAGAGACCAGAGCCAACCAGAAGAGCGGAAAAACCGCCACCAAGGCGCCAACAGCCGCCCGCCCCTGCTCTGCTCTGTGCGCGGGAGCGGGTTGCCAAACGCGGCGATGCGGGCCGGCGTCTGGAGCATTCGAGACCAGCCAATCCCGCGCGGGCGAGAGGTGGGCCAGAGCACGAGGGACCGAGGGAGACCCGGGTCGAGAGTGCGGCTGGAATGTTCAAACAAACCGCAGGCCCCCGCTGTTGTTGTTTTTCTGCATTTTTGCTGGCCCGACACCCCTTTTCTGTGAGATGAAGATGAAGAACGGGGCATGTGTCAGCGGGGGGCATGTGGAGGATGTGCGGTGCGGGGAAGACCCTGTCAGGCGGGGCGAACGGTGCGAGCGAGAACGGGCTGCGCAGGACGAGGTGCGGCGCGGGCGTGCTCGATGGACCGCCTGGACGTGCGCGGCGACAGAACAAGAAAAGAGGGGCGGTGTCGTCAGCGGCCGAGGCACGGGGCTCGTCTCTCTCAGTCCTCCTGAGAAGGTGCGGTCGGATAGAGGAAACGGCGGCATCCCAGCTCACCACACGGCGGGCGTGACCTTCCTGCCTAATGGTGCTGCGCTGCTGCGGCTTGTCAGGAACACATCATTGACGCAATATAACGGGATCATAGGCCGCAGGAAATCGATCGTACGCGCGCAGGCGCAAAGTGGCTGCGGGCGAAACGGGCGGTTGTATGCCTGGACTATCCAGCCAACCAGAGGCGGAACGCCACAAGCTGAGCGCTCTTGAAAAGGAAGGACGCGCGTGACGTGGGAAGCGGGCATACGATTGGCTGGCGGCTCCACCACCATTCCAGGTGAGCATTGCTGCATTTGCTGCGACCAGCTTATACTAGGCTACATAACTGTCCTGTCTTTTGTGCTCTCGCGATTTTTTCGTTTGAAGCGAAGCGGAGCAATACTGCAACCAGTGAGAGTGAGTCGGATCATACCGAAACGCCACAATGTGATATTGAAGCGCCCAAATCGGTTCTTCTCTTTTTGCTATGATCTGCTCTTGCGACTGCTGTCGGCCACTGTGACGCTTGTCGCGCTTTTGAGGCAATTTATCCTTGCCCTAGTGATTCCTATCCTTCGACAAGGTGGCGTCGACTGCTTGAACTCCCATCAAATGCACAGCACGCTGCACGTCGCATACGACAACCACGTATGCAAGCTTGCACGTTGCCTTGGGGATCCGTTCACGGAGGTCGTAGTAAGTCCGCGTATCCTTGCATAACATTCAACTGTTCTATCATTCCATCTTCTAGCCATGGCCTAAGGTCGTAATGTTAGTATGCCTGCTTTGCTCGCTTTTCGCGTCTCGATTCAGCTGAGCACGCATATACGCCCCACAGCCGAGTAGAACAAGCTACCAAAATTCACTCATTAACCGTCGCAACCCCTCCAGTAGGGGCAAGCACGTCACTCAACGAGCGCACAAAGAGCCCGTACCTAGGGACACATTGGGTGGCTGACACAGCGTCTAGCTAAGCGATGTGCATAACCGTCGAGCGAGTACCTTGGAGTTAATGCACGCACAATGCAAGATGCGACCTCAACTTCATGCACTCTGTAAGGTCCAGAGCATACTCCGCACGACGTCATCTCCTCGCGACGAGCTTCAGTTCCTGATATCCACGTGTACACGGCATGTATGCATTTTCGGGGACCCCGCGGCAAATGTGCGATGCGAAGCTCGTTGCAAGGGGTTCACCGGGGTGCTCGGTGTGCTCGGCCTGTACATCGGGAGGGTACCCACATATCAATGTTGCGGGTACTGCGGGAGGTCCATCGCCTGGGCGACTGTTGTCCTCACTGTCGCAGCGGCATTTATGCTTGCTAGAGGCCTGATTATCCCAGCGCGCACACAGCGAAGGAGCCTGGGCGCACATCGCAAGTTGTCTTTTGTATCTCAAACCATGTGCTTGTCTGTCCAGATGGTCGCAATGCCACTGCGGCCAACTTTTCCCATTCTCGCGATTCGGCTGAGTAAAGGGACCAGGCATTGTTCTGCATGAGAAGAGAGGCCCTTTTCCCACAGGGAACCCTGAACATCATTCCATATACATATATCAGCTGTATGAGTAAGACGGGAGTTCACACCAACGTCATATCGCAAGAGCGTTGCAGGATAAGCAGGCACCGCCAACATGTCTGCACGCATCTTTGGACCTGTCCATCTCTCGTTCATTAGTACGTGTGTATTGAGGGCTGAAAGATGCATAGGGTGCCGCTTCCCAAGCTCCGCGTATACCTGGACCTTCTGACAGCGCGGACAACTGGCCACACACCGAAAGTGACGGATATCCATATCGCTCTACAAAAACGAAGAACGATCAGCTTCGTGCTATGTGAGTCGGAAATGCAGGACAGCACACTAAGTTCGCTGTGCTCGAAACCGCGAGTCGCCGAGATACTAGCAGACCTATCACTGCTTCCATCCATCTTACGTTTGCCGCTGCCAACGGCAAACGTAAGATGGATGGAAGCCCGAATTCGCCAGCTTGTAGGAAACCATATATGTCCAAATCGTCCTATTAAGATGTTTCAGAAGTATGGCCCTGTTAATGCGGCAGTACTACTAGTCACTAGTGTATGCGGAATTGCCAGAATATCACAGAACAGTTGACACAGGCGGTCAAAGCCCTTTGCTCGTGTCCAATCACTACCAATCATCTGTCTGGAGCCCACATTAATTGCGATGGAGTTCCCAAGCGCATCAGTTAGCCTATTGTCGAGTAACACACTGTCTTCCTTCTAGCGCAAATCCTTTCTGTTTGGCCACCGAGATTGCATGACGGGACCCATCTATTCTCTGGACACGACAAAGGACGGCCCTTCGCCGATGTGCGCCGAGTCAAAGCATTTGTACATAGCGGAGACACGCGTCGTCCTCGTATTTAAGGACTTTTCCCCATCCGTTTTACAGCTTTTCGTTAGGGCGGCGTCGATACTGCAGTTCTCTTGCCATCTCAGGCGGGGCACGGAAGGTTCCACCAACCTCGTCTTCTGCCGTGGCGGCAGAATCGACGGGACATGCAACAGAGCAGCGTAAGCTCCCACCTGACGTCGGAAACTTCCTGGTTATTCTGATCGACCGTGCACTGATGCCGACAGCGACGAGCCCTAGTTTCTGCACCCGACCATGGGTGCTCGGTCGCGGGGCGAGGACGGAATGTGACAGTGCCGTTGGTCGCCAAACAAAAACAGAAGCACTTCCGCAACATCTATCAGAGATTTTGGATAAGACGAAGGCATGGTTGAAGGGGGAGCAGCGTGCGAGGCGGCTCCCGCTTGCGGGATGCAGACTTGACGACACCGAGACGTATCTGCCTAGAAGCATTCGCGTCGTGGACGAAGCAAGTGGCCCTGCAGTTCGCCGACCTTATTGTGCAACGGCCGTTTGTGGAGAGGAGTCGGCTGTGTGGACGTTCGACACGATTATACATGGCCTACGAACCGAAGAAGGGGCGGCCTATCATCGCCTGGAGCTGGGCGTTCGCAAACTCGTGTCTGGAGATGTCAAGGATGCTGGGGGCGGTGACCAGGCTTGGAAACTCACTGCCAGATATATGAGTGCACGGGACTCACGCACCGCGATCTAAGTCTGACCAGTGCTGTAATCACTCAGAAAGGCAGAAGGATTTTTGAGCGACTGTGAAGGAGACCGCATACATAGGAATGGTGAGCCATCGTCGTTCGACCCACTCGACGGCCCCTAGTTCTCACACTTCATCGTAGGGGGCACCATTCGTCGTCGACATCATCCTAAACCGTATAACAAGATTGCACGACTTGCCTGATGAGCTGAAGTCAATCTGCCGGATCTTATTCCATGAATCGTCACACTTCTCCTGCGGGGATTCCATTGGCCTGGTGTATCTCGTTCACGAACATGAAGCCAAGAGCGGCAAAAACAAGAAGGCGTTCTTCATCGACCCTCCGAGTGGAGAGGTTCTCGCCTCATGCCGTTCTGAGCCATTGAAGAAGCTCTGCTGGAGATGCGCGAAGCTTGGCGACTCTGCCACTTGATTCTCCGTGAAGACGAGTGGAAAGAGACGCGTGAGAAGTATAAGCGAGAGTTTTTCTGGGCAGAGAAGTTTAGCGGGACGTTGGAGAACATGAAGAGCGTGGTGAGGGCAAATTCAGCGCCTCCGGAGGAAGCGACAACGTTGCGGGATCCAAGTAAAGACAAACGTGAGGCAAAACGTTTATCCGAGGGAGGAAGAAAGAGGAAGGCCATCGCAAATGGCACGCCCGTACGGAGGTCCAAACGTATGTGAGGCTTCGTCAAACGCGACCCGCGTGAGCCCGGTAAATCGTCGATGTCAAGGCAGGCAAGACAATTGGAGAAGATTCGTGTCTCTATTTCTCAATAGAAGTAAGATCATACGTAGTACGTAGCCTAGCAAATACCGGTACCTCAGGGAGGGAATGTAAACCAAGTTTAGTACTCGACAACCCACGGAGCAATCGCTAGGATTGGGTTGTCAAGCGTGGACCCAGCTCCTCTCCATCTTCCACTTCGCAAGTAAAGGTGACGAAGGCACTGTGAGCCATGTCCCTAGGCATGAGCGTGTGGTGAATCGGCGAAAAGCGTCGCAGGGAAATCGCAAGCAGATCAAACCGCTACCAAAGTTGAGCTTCCTCCAGCAGGTCTCATACGGATTCATGAAGGAAAGAGGTCGTGTTGCACACATAGACCAAAGAGTCCGGGACAGAATCGATGAACGGTTGGTCGAGAACATAGAAAAGTTGGCCGCAAAAGGCACTATATACCGCCGCGTGCTGACCTGCCCTAAAGTTTAATTAGCGCCCGTGCCGACCCACCTCGAGCGCTTCAAGCACGCTTCGTACTCGAGCTGAAGACCAACGACACTCCCCGAGATGGAACTCGTGAGAATCCTATTTAAATTTCGGATTTTGGAGAAGGCAACGCCGTCGTTCTGTTGAGTAAGACATACTCATTTCGGTGGAGAAGAACTCTGACGGCATGCCTCCAGTTCATCGACTCGACCTGCTGATGAGCCATGTGCAGGCCCGACTCGGACAGGTAGACAGGTATATCTGGGACCGAAAACATACGTCATCGACATTGATGGAAGGCTGGATAAAATTTTATCGTTCCTGGGCAACTCCCCTTTGCTTCTTCGTACAGAGACATCGGTGCCGCCTTTCCTCCATAGTCGTAGTACGAGCTTACTCTGTCACTGTTGCCCTATATCAAGTAGCCACAGACCGACCATTGCGTTGCATCCGCAGGAGTTCCTGGAAAAAAGGCAATAAGTCACGCAAGCCCTCCGAGATCATGGAAGCGACATACCTTCATCATCGCAGCCGTCTGCGGACTAACTATGGAAGTGTCCACGGCCTTAACGAGAGAAATGTACCGATCCATGTGCTCAGGAATCCCGAAGATACCCTTATATGAGTGTTCCCCAGCGATCGACATGTACACACAAATGAGCTGAATCTGCTGCTCGGTAGGAGTCGCATCCTTGCCGTCGGGAATCAGCCTGTTGAGATATTGGCCGGCAGTACAGGGGTAAAGCCGGTTCGCCACCACGAGTTCACCAATAAAGCGAACTATGGCACGCTCGTGTTCGTGCGCAACAGATAGTGCGTTCACCACGTCGTCGTTAGATGCTTCGAGGATAAGTGAGTGCAGAATACGGTAAGTAGTGCGCGAAAAGCTTGTTGAAGGGACTAGATGCGTACTTCCCGATATTTCCAAGCTTGAGGCTGCAGATTCTATCTTCGAGCGGATATTCTCAATTTCCGTTTTGCATTTGTCGCCAAAACGTTCATAGAAAAGAATTCTTCCATTCACGGTGAACGTATCGCCCTTCCAGACCCTACAAGCCTGGATCTTTGTCGAGACCTTGTGTGAAAGTTGTTCGCTCAATATGGCGCATGCTCGAGTAGATTCCCAGTCACTTGTTGCCTTGGTGAAAATCAGATCAATGACCTGTGTCATGGTAGCAAAATCGCTCTCCTCTTTTGCGAGGTTCATCCATTGGGCCAGTGTGTGCGCCGTGCTGTCGACGTTGGCCGGTGTTAGCTCGTCAAGGAGAGTCATGGCTTCCGCGTGAACTATCGAACGCGGAATTTGTGTCGATATAAGACGGACAATATCCCCGTCGTTGTCGGAGATAAGAGACAGAAGAGTGGGAGTATCGAGCTGCAGATGAACCTCGGAAGGCAGATCCTGCACTCTCGCATCCTCGATGGCGGCCTCGACTGATGATGATTCTACCATGTTTGTGACCCCTGGGATAAGATCGGGCGGTATGAAAGCTGCCGTCTTCGTGGCAGACTTCATGGCGTCAGCGACGCGAGCGGAGATCTCGCTCGCTTCCAACGGCAGTCGTGCGCGGAAGATAGTTTCCCTAACTGACATGACCAGCTCGGCGTCCTCAGCCTGTATCATTCTGATTTCCGCAGCAGTAAGTGGATGAGGGCGCCGGCACAGCGAAACGTATGCCGCTGGGAGCCATTCGGGAATCGAGAGTGAATAACCAAGGACAATCTTCTCGATAGAGCTGGCGATCGGCCCTAGACGTTTAATGGCGAGGCCGCGAATGCCGTTGAAGGACCACTCGGTGGCGAGGCGAAGAACAGCCGACCAATCATCCACAGAAGTGATACTAGGCGAACGATAGGATCTAGGCGACATATGCATATAGGTGGTGATAGTGAAAGTGGCTAGATATGATACATACGTTGAGTACAGGATGGACAGGAAAGCGTCAAAATCGGAGGATTTCTTGTCAGCCAGGTCGAGGGCCTCAGATGACGAGCGATGAGCAAAGATACTTGCGAAGTAGGGCGAGTCTCTAGTGAACAGGTACTGGTGAAGGCAATACCTGAACCCTCCCACCTAAGCAAAAATTAGAAGGTAGTCACGCGAAGGACCAGTGTCGCGCACCAGAAACACAGCTAAACCATCGTCGAAGTAATACTTGGGGTGCTTGCATTCAGCCGGAATCGTCTGAACAACGGAAGGTGCAGAGGCACCGGTCTCTGCCGTCACAGACTCAGGCGCTGCACTTGCCGGCGTGGGTGATGTAGGGGGCGACATCTCGTGTATGTCCGCGAAAGACTCGGTGTCACTGATAGATAATTCGGAAACTTCGGAAGAAGCTTCTGACGGCATGTAACGATGCTTGAGATGTTTGGAGCTGACTCGAAGTATATACAACTGTCCGTCGTCCTGGGCAGCTTCTGGTATGACCAGAGGATAGGAAGACAGGAGATTAGCGTGGGTTGAGGCAGTGATATATAAGGGGCTAGGGCAAGGCATCATGGCACGTGAAACTATTTCTCACATAGGATGACGACCCGCCAATAGCAGCTCGATTCCTTGAACAGGTAATGTCGCTCGGTTTAGGGGCTAACGTCGCAAGTCCAGAGCTTGTGGTCTGGTTTGTTGTGTCGACGATAGCTGGACTTCCTCTAGAACAATCTAAAAGCTAATCCAATCTGACGCTGCGAGAGAGTCTGAGACTCACAGCATGAGCCAACAGACAGGTTGCGCTGAAGTGTCGGAGGATATATACGTCGATGTCGTCTTTCATGCGTCCTCGCAGAAAATGAAGCAGAGGGCGTGACTTTGAGGTTGAATATTGAAAAGTGACGTCGCCGGCCCTCATGCATCTCCAGCATGATGACAGATGCGACCGCGAATGACAAATGGTCCTCAGACAGATCCTGCGATATTTTGAGTTCATGCGTGTTCATCTATGAAACAGCGAGGTAAAGTCGCCGGTGCGAGGCTTGCGCCCGCCGAGCTTGGTGGCGCTTGATCCGACATGTGCCGCCATCGTCTCAGCTGGCATCCCACCAGCCTCATCCTCGCCTCTGTTCTTTTTCACTCCATACTCCTCCTACCGGAATGTCTTTTTCAAAATATACTGGCTCCTACACGTCAAATTGGCAGCGTACAATACCCAGTGGCACCACGCTTACCATAGTTATCGCGCATGTCACCACTCTCGAGTTCGAGTACGAGGCGTCGGATGGCTGAACCTGGTGGATAATTCGCGGAAGACGATGGAGGATGAGGTAGGAGATATGGTGTGGGGAGGTTTATAGAAATATTTAATAGGCTTAACGTGCCGTGCAAGGTACGCCGACTATCGTCTGCCGCTGCCTGTATGCAGCTCATCCGTACCACTGTGTTTTAGTAGTTCAGCATATACATGACCCTGCAAGTCAGTCCGCAGCATCAGTTCTACAGTTCCCAGAACCCAATCAACTCGTGGAACAAGATTGCGGCTAGTGCCGACGAGCATCTGACCAGTTGCGTTGACTGCATGCGGCACATCATTCGCGCTGCGCGGCTTGTGTCTCACCCAGGCTGACCTTGTTCTACGATGGCCCAAAGCGTTATCGAGAATGTTGCCACCGGAGAGTTGGTCGACTATGTCGTTGCGCATGGGCGTAGTCAATACAGCGGCGCTGGCGGCCCATCTGCATGCGGGCTCGCCGCGATGAATTGCGCGAGAGTTGTCCTTCTCAAGGAACGCGCGGGCCTCCGCGGAGACGCACTCCTAGAGGAGATGATGAAGGAGTCCACAGCTGATGTGAGTGTGCTTAGTAGACGTCCGCGCTGCAATGGTCCTTCTCACTAACCTCTTTCGCGCAGGAGGTGCTGAGCGTCTGTGAACACTGGTCGAGTGCTTCGCACCTTGACGTCGAAGATATTACGAAGTCACCCATGTTTAATCGGTCCTTAAACCTTCTAGTGGTAGATTATGGCCAAAGCCGCTACAGTGGCTTCGGGAGGCTGCTAGAGTTAGTCCTTGTGCTTTAAGACGATCGTATGCTCACCTTAAATCCAGGCGCCTCAAGAACGAGAGTATCAGGCAGGGGGGATCTTCCTGTGCGGTCATCACTCGCCCGCCGGAGATCATTGCCTGCTTCTGCATCTACCATCCCAAGGGAGAGTTCTACGTCATATTCGATTCTCATCCACGTCCAGACGTTCATCCAGATAGTGCGGCGTTCATATTCAACAAGTCGGCCTATGCCACAGCGAGGTACCTGTCGAACTTACTCAGTTACGATTCCTCTCTCGTCGCGGACCGGGGCTTCGAATGGCAGGCTCAGCTGCTAGGCAATTTCTCGGGGCATCTATTCGTCGCGCGGACTGACTCAGCGCAAGAAGGGGCGGAATACTGGACCAACGCAACCATGGAAGCAAGTCTCGAGAGTCTCGCACTTCATGCTGACCAGGCGCAGCTAAAGGCCGAGAACGAGTCGTTGAAAGCGGATATCGTGCGGTTACGAGATCAGCTGACCATGCTCCAGAGGCCCCAACGTGCACAAAGTGTCTGGTGGGAGGCGAAAAGGTCGTATCCTGCAGCACATCCTGGCGGCCCGCAGTCTGCGAAGCGAGATAGTCTCATCTCCTCGCTCGTTCATCGGAGCAGCAGCGCCATCACTGTCGCTCGATCATACGCTTCCTCTCTATCTCTTTCGCCGTCCCAGCCACAGCCAAAAGACTACGACGCGGCCTTAGCCGTCGCTTGGACGCCCAGTCGCCAACAACCCCTCGTTATCAAGCCCCCATCCACGGACCCAGGCTGTTATCCTAACGAGGACGGGAAAGCGCGCGAGTCGAACAGCCGGTATGCCGACAATATGGACGACCTCGTATTCGCGCTTGCGCAACAGCGAATGTACGATGAAGAGCTTCATTCGGTGCAAAATTTCACATGCAACATCTGCTTAGACAAGCACTCCGTTGAAGACGTTGCTCAAGTCGATGGTTGCGGACATATGTTCTGTCGAGACTGCATCCGAAGTCACATCTCGTCCCAGATCGCACAACATCTGTATCCCATCGTCTGTCCCCTGTGTAGCGCGACAAAGAGCGAACGAGACCCTACAGGTGCGTCACCAGTTAATCGTCATATACGGGGAGCTCACAAGACAAATACTGTGACAGTGCTCAGCAATGAGTTTGTGCAGCAAACTGGGCTGTCTGAGGAGGAGTTCGCCACTTTTGTGGAGCTGGAGATGGCATCGTTCTCAATTCTAATGCATTGTCGAGGGTGAGCATCTAGCCGCTGTCGGACTTATAAACGATACTAGACTTATCTGTCCAGCTGTGACAAGTCGTTCTTCGTGGTCAGAGACGAGCTCGACAGCGTTGCCGTCATCACATGTCCTCTCCCTGGATGCGGAAAGTCCTGGTGCAAGGCATGTAGTCAGATCATCGACAGCATAGGCCAGACGCATACTTGTGATGGCACGGCGGAGTTCCAGCGGTTAATGGGAACCCAAGGATGGAAGTACTGTCCAGGTAGGAATGAAGCTGCTTATGACTCGGGGCTTCACTTATTACGACCTTAGGTTGCCAAACGCCCGCAGAGAAGATAGAAGGGTGTAATCATCTTAGGGTAAGAACACTTCAGCCTCGGTACATTTTCCCGGTACGCTAAACTGGCTGCAGTGCACGTCTCCAGGCTGCTACACGTGAGTATTGTTGTTCTGCTAAGCCGCCATCAAGTCTCACTGGTTATCTAGGCACTTCTGTTACGTGTGTGGCATGGCTATCATCAGGTCCATCAAGTCAGCGGAGATTGAACGAGCGGTGGCTACGCACTACCAGGGTTGCCAACTGTTCGAAATCATACCTGATGTTAGTGTCCCGCCGTAGCTCTTCATATAACTCTGCAACGCAATGCAAGACCGGAGCACAATATATATTCATTCCATTGCAACTCAGCTTGCTACCTCGACATTGACCTGGAATGCGGAGATTTTATCAACAATCGACCAAAGAGCTCAGTAAGTTTGCGCACATACTCTGATAGTTCGACCGAACGTTGGCGTCCGAGCATTACACCATAGGATGACGCCCCAGCTATCTAACGTTAATCTTTCCAATCCTCGAACCTCAGTCCCATGATAATTCCTGGGGCCTTCGGCATCTCCTTGAATCCAACCCTGGCATAGAACTTCTTCGCCTCCGCGTTTCTGGGGTCCAGCCCGAGGAAAACCGCGTCTAGCCCCTTCTCGTCCCTCAAGGACCGCACCACCTCACCGATGAGCCTCTTTCCCCATCCTTGGCGCTGGTATGCGGGCAAGACATTGATGTGCAAGTGTGCCGGGCTGAACGCGATGCATATATCCGACTCGGCGCTAGTGCTGTGAACACGCGCGATGTACCGCTCGTCGTCCGGCGTGAAGCTGCGCGGCGTGGCGTCGGACTGCAGCTTGTCAGTGGGGGGCGGATACTTCGCTCGGTACGGCGGGAGCCACGTCTCCTGCATGCCGCACTCAAATGCGCGCGTGTCCCACGTACTCAGGCAGTACCCCACGATCTCCCCCGTCCCGCCCTTGTTCGGGTCGACGAGCACGAAGCCGAGGCCCGTGGGGAGATGCACGTACGGCCCCGCGAATATCAGCCCCGGAAGTTCTCTGCACGAGTGCAAACCCTCGGCGGACTTGCCGGCGTCCGCGGTAGCGAGGCAGATGTAGGACAGCGCGGGAGCGTCATCGCGCGTTGCGCGTCGGATGTATGGCGCAGTGGACTTTGGCGGAGACGAGTCAGCTACCATGCTGGCGTTGCGGAGGACTTCGTGAAGGTCGTGCGCGAATGCTTCACATAAGTACCCGTGCACTAGTGCACATATGTAGGTTGGCACGTACAGTATCGATCATTATCGATTATCAGCTGACATAGGCGGACGAGCACTGCGGGTAAACATCGGAAAAAGTGCGAGCCCACTTGGATCTACGATGCAGGCCTGCTAAGCTTCTGTAGTTCACGCTCAGGGATAACGCGAGGGTATAAATTAGGGCAACCAACGGGTGACGGTGCGGTAAGTCTAGTCTAAATATCAGGTACCCAAAGCGTCTTAATTTGAGATCTCAAAGTGGCTAGACCCATACATATATTCTGAAGCCAAAATGTGATTCATACAAAAAGGCGAAACGAGACTTACCGTTACACAAGTGAGTAGTAACCCCATGTTCATTCATCGTCACAGTCCATAGTCAAGTGCGAGTCGAGCGACTCGGACTTCGAAGGCGGGGTCTGTGTCAGCTTGCGCAGAATGGCATTGACCTCCTGCCAGTCCGAGGTCTCCTGGTCCCACGCGACGCTCGTCCCGTCGTGTATATTCCGCAGGTTCGGAAACAGGCCGTGCAAGACCTGTGCCGCGACGGAGTGGTTGCTCACGGGTGTGCTCCGTGCGCCAATGTTCAGTTTCCGCAGCGCCAGGCCCACGCTCCGGTCGTGCGCGCACGCCGCCTCGAGCACGGGCATGTCAAAGCGTGTCGTATCGAGGCTGATTGAGAGCCCTGCGAGATGCGGGCAGTGGTCGCGCAACGCGAGGAGGGCGCTCATCGTCATCCGCGCCGGCGCGAGCTGCACGCCACGGGGCGCCCACGAGCCCTGCACAATCGTCAGCGAGCGCAGCTGTGGCCACGCTTCGGCCATCGCGATGACGCCGCTGTCTTCGAGGTCTGTCTCAAACCGCGCACCATCGAGCGCATTGAGGCTCAGGTTCTGCAGGTTGTTGAGGGAGAAGAGCATCGATATCGTTCGGGTATTGATGCTGCTCTGTCCATGTGGTACTGGCGAAAATATACTGGTCGACGCCGACGCAACACAGACAGTCAGCTCCCGGATGCATCGTTGTTGGGCGATAGCTTTGAAACACTTCTCGACGACGGAGTCGCTCTGCCACATAACGCTGGTGATGCGGAGCTTGTGTAAAGAGGGTGATCCGAGCAAATTAAGGAAGCCCGTAGCAAGATCGAGCTGTTTGACATCTAGGAAGAGTGTCTCCAGTGTGTGAAACCGAGGAGCAGCCGTCAGACTCTCGGATGGGAATGTATTTTCTGTTGGGCTCATGAAAAAGGCGAGGGATAGGTGCTTGAGCGTAGGCATGGCTGCCAAATGTGCAATGTGTTGTTTCTCCAGAGTCATGGATGTAGTGAAATGCTGCAAGTGCTGCAGCTTGCCGAGTAAGGTACCGACTCCGTTACAGGGATCATGGTTTGGGTGCTCTCGCGAGTCGCGGATGGAGATGTGATGAAGATTGGGTGACGTAGATGCAAGCAATGGCATAACTCTTGAAAGCTCCAAAGTATCTATCGGCGTGGTGCCATCTGGACCACCGTCGCAGAAGAGATGAAGCTCTTGTAGTGCCCGTCCGGCAAGGTAGGGGAAACATTCTGTGACGTAGACCTTCCTGCGGTCGTAGTACTCGACGTGCAGCGCACGGAGACCTAAACAGAGCGGCCCTGGAGAGCCACCGGGGCGCCTGCGAACATATCGTGCAAACGCAGCCAAAGCTGCCCACGATACGCGATAGAGGGCCCCCGATTCCGTATAACGTTGGTAACTGAACGTGAGCTTTTGAACCCGATTTGAATATGTATGGATCCTTTGCCAGTGTGCTGGCTGTGGGGTGCCCACTAATTGCTGATATGAACGCGTCAGCAATTCGGGGTCTGTGGTAACGGAACATGCACCTTACCAGGGTCGTTACCTGCACACCGCCGGGTGCTGCTGCCTTCGCTTCCGTCCAGAACTGGCTTGGGAGACACTTGATAAGGGGTGAGACATCATCTAGCTCTCGCCACAATATCTCGAGGGCGGCGTCCTGGAATGCACGACACGTCCGTGCGAGGACAGCCAGCGCACGTGGCTCGCCGAGGGCACAGAACTCGAATATGAGCATCTGAAGTTCAGATATCTGGAAGCATCGATGCATGGTGGGGGAAGGAAAAGTGGGAGGACGGATATGCAGGGCGGGTCTGTGGTATTTGAATGCGTAGGAACAAAGAACTCGGCGTCAAAGTGCCGTGCCATCCCAGGTATTGCGTTTGTGGCGCGGAGCGCGCTACACAGCTTGCACCGCCCATGCTAATACCTGCCAGTGCTGTGCCCGCGGCCGGAGATTATCAGGGATTATACTACTCGACATTCTCAAGTAATATTCTGTCGGAGGCTGACTTGTGCTGCTACTCAAGCTCAAGCTCAAGGGCTGTGACGTCACGGTAGAACGGAATTTTTCTGAATTGGGAGCGCCCGCCTGAGGGTTCAGTCTTCCTACCGGTAAGTCCACTCTTTCCTGTGCTGTACATTAGCCACGTCTCACCCAGGTTATCTTTTGATCTTTTAAGGAACCAGACGCATCGAGTGTACTGAAAAGTACACCATTCCGTCGTTAAGCTCATGCCCGGTTCCTAGTGTGGAGTAGAGGGCGGAAACATTTAAATTACGCCTGCTCAGTGCGATGGAGCGCACCCTATATGCATCCTTGTTCGGCTCGTCGAAGGGCATGGCGATCAGGAGTGGAGGCTGACGTCCATGCCAGCCACGAGCGTATAAAACGATCCGCTCGTCCTCTCGAGAACCGCGAGTTTCCCTCTCTCAACGTTCAACGTTCAACACCGATATCCACGCTGCCAAAATGTGCGTTAATCCCGGCCTCTTGTCTTTGCCGTCGAGCTAATCGGTCGATATGCCAAGGTCCTCACAGGGCATCGGCAGCGCCAACAGCGCCTCGACGGATACTTTCGTCACCGCGCTAGTCTTCAACCTGATCGTCTTCCTGGCAGAGCTCGCAGCTTTCACCCTCATAAGACCCCACTTCCCTGCGATATATCAGCCAAGGACTTATATTCCCACCGAAGGGCAAGTTTCGTCCATCCTGCATTCGCCTTCTCTCCCTTTGACAAGTCGTTCACACAGAATTCAGGCAAAATCGCTCACGGATCGCTGGTTCGCCTGGCCGCTTGCGGTATTCAGGGCTGACTACGAGCTAGTGAAAGAACACAATGGAATGGATGCCTACTTCTTTGTTCGTTTCCTGCGCATGACAGTCAAGATACTACTCCCTATCTGGATACTGTCGTGGATAGTCCTCATGCCTGTGACTTCCGTCAACACTGGTGTCGCTGGGCACTCAGGTCTCGATATCTTCGTCTTTGGCAATATCTCCAATACCGACCAAGCACGATATGCTGCACACATCATAATGGCTTGGCTTTTCACGTGTGAGTGTCCATACGTGCGAATATCCGGAGCATACTAATGGCGGACACCCAGTTTGGATCTGGTGGAATTTGCGTGCCGAGATGCAACACTTTGTTGTTACTCGTCAACGATGGTTAATTGATCCGCGGAACGCAAAGTCGGCGCAAGCCAGCACAGTGCTGATCACGGGCATTCCTCAGAGGTACCTCACAGAGGCTGCGTTGACAGATCTATTCTCGGTCTTACCCGGTGGCGTGCGGAAGGTTTGGCTCAACAGGTGGGCACCTTAGCATTTGCGCGAGCCATATCTCATGGTCAATGTAGGGATCTCAAGGATATGCCGAAGCTCTACGAGCGCCGTCTGAAGGCATGCAACAAGCTCGAATCTGCAGAGACAGCACTGCTGCGCAAAGCGGTCAAACTTCACAACAAACACATCAAGGCGGACGAGAAGGCGGCAAAGAAGGAAGCTAAGAAGGGCAAGAGGCAGTCTACCGACGACCGTCCGCTCACTGACACTTCTACCATCGACACTGAGCGAAACGACATCGACACTTTCGTTCCTCGCAAGAAGCGACCGAGCCACCGTCTTCCGCCGTTCTCGTTTCTGCCATTCTCCCTTCCGCTAATTGGCAAGAAGCTAGACTCAATAGAGTGGGCCCGATCCGAGATTGCAGATACGTCTTCCGCACTCGACGAGCGGCGGAACACCCTTGTCAACGACGTCAGCAAGTCTTCGAGCATGGCTCCCGCTCCATCGAGCAAACCCGATGCGTTGAAGCCGATGTCGGAGGATCAGACATACCCGCCCTCGAACGCTGCGTTCATCCTTTTTAACAACCAGCTCGCAGCGCACCTCGCGGCGCAGGCCCTCACACACCATATGCCGTACCGCATGTCCGCGCACTACATGAACGTCGCGCCTGCAGACGTCATTTGGGGCAACCTCGGCATGAACCCGTACGAATCCCGTGTGCGCGCTGCTATTAGCTGGGCCGCCACTGCCGCACTCATCATCTTCTGGGCCATTCCCGTCGCATTTGTCGGCGCAGTGTCAAACATTCACGCACTGTGCGACACCGCCAGCTGGCTCGCATGGATATGCAATTTGCCCGGTGTCGTCGTCGGCATCATCTCCGGTATCCTTCCCCCGGCACTCCTCGCTGTCCTTATGCTGCTCCTGCCGATTGTGCTCAGGATGCTGAGTCGCTTCGAAGGCACGCCTACGAAGACCGCCATCGAATTGAGCTTGATGACGCGATACTTTTTATTCCAAGTTATCGTGAGTGTTCATGGCTTTAGATCAAGCAGGGCCTCTGACGAAGAGATGTAGCATTCTTTCCTGATTGTCACTCTGGCGTCCGGTATCGTCGCTGCTCTTCCGGGACTTATCAACAACGTCGGCTCTATCCCGACACTCCTGGCCCAAGAATTGCCTAGTGCTTCGAACTTCTTCCTGACGTACGCACCACGATCATTTGAATCACATCTTTATTACTGACTTTCGTCCGCAGGTATATTGTCCTGCAAGGGCTCTCCGGGACGGCCTCCGGCTTCCTGCAGGCGTCGCCCCTAGTGATGTACTATCTGAAGCTCTTCATCCTTGGCAGCACTCCTCGCAGCGTGTACAAGGTCAAATACGGTACTCGAAGCGTCTCATTCGGCACACTGTTCCCTAGCACTACACTACTCGTCGTTATCAGTGAGTCCCGTACCTGAAAAATAAAATGCCATGCTGACTATCGCTCTCAACGTAGCTATCACCTACTCTGTCATTTCCCCCATCATCAACGGTCTTGCGTTCGTCACCTTCTTACTCTTCTATTTCCTCTGGAAGTACCTGTTTCTGTGGCAGCTGGACCAGCCCCGTTCCGGCGACTCTGGCGGCCTCTTCTACCCGCGTGCACTCCAGCACGTCTTCGTCGGCCTGTACTTGCAGCAAATCTGCCTCGCTGCGCTCTTTTTCCTCGCACGCGACGAGAACGGCAAGCCGAGTGCCCTCCCCGAAGGTGTCCTCATGATCATCCTCATCGTGCTCACGGTATGCACCTCTCTTGCATTCTGAACTCGCCATGGTAGCTAACATGACACAGGCCTTCTTCCACCTCACCCTCAACAACTCCTACTGGCCGCTCATCAGTGCAATCCCGCTCAGTCTCGCGGACCAAACGCAGGCTCCCGCAATCCCCCGCGCGCAGGACGCCAAGCGCCCAGGCGAGACGTATACCGACGACGGTGCTGTCGGTGGCCCGGACGAAGACCCCTCGACATACGAGGACTTTGCGCATCCCGCGGCCGTCGAGTCACAGCGCGTCGTGTGGATTCCGCGCGATAAGCTTGGATTGTTTGCGATGGAGGAGCGCGAGGACAGGGCGCATGGTATTGAGGTTAGTGATCAGGGGGCGCGAATGGACGCGAAAGGGCATGTTGATATCGAAGGGCCGCCACCTGGGGAGAACGTGCGGGTATAGTTTGCCCATTTTTCGTGTGCTAGGAACTCGATATCACAAATTTTGACTTTGTATCATACACGATTCCCTTGTCATAACGATACCTTGTAACGTAGTAATCATCAGTGAGTGTAGGTTTACGCGCATCTGGCTCATGTCCCGAACAAATCTCAACAAGCAAGGAGCAATTTGATCGACTACAACTTATGGTACACAGGAGGAAAGGTAGAATACAACATTTATTTGCGGTAGAACTGAGGAAGTGGTCAGAACAGCTAATCACAGCAGAGTGATGGAGGCTTACGTTGCGCCTAAAGTTAAACCAAAGCGAGAGGCATCCACGGTCAAAGCTGCTTCGGAAACCACTGCACCAACCACAGTCAGCATCATATAAGCATAAATAGATCTAGAGATGTACCGTTTGTGCGAGAACTCCCACTCGCGATTGACAATCCTAAAAGCGATGTCCTCGTATGGCGGGCCAGCACTGAACTGCAGGATGACCGTCTCATCGTTGCCGGGTTCCTTGATAATCCTGTAAGTCGGCGCCTTAGACTTATCGATGAGGTCCGGATAGAAGATGTTGAATTTGTATCCCTGCACGACCTTCGGCGGCGGGTTGTCTGTGTCGTAGTGCGTCTGGTTGTACTTATTCCACTCGTATCCGGTGTGCACGCGGTTGAAGTACCGTGGCTTGCGGGGTCGGTACTTGTCCTCCCAGTTGTAGCTCGTAGGGTTCGGCAGGCTCTCCTCAACATTGAAGAGCTCTTCTTCTTCGTCGAGCTCGCGCTCTGCTTCGGCGCGATACAATGCTTCGGACGCGAGGTCGGCGTTGCTTGCAGTCTCGCCTGTCTCTTGCGTCTCGACGATTGGTTGGGCTGTGCGTGGGACGAATCTCGAAGAGGCGACAGAGCGGCGTTGGGCAAGCTATGGGGATTGTTCAGCAGGGACCGCACGACAGGTAACGAAAACACCACTCACCAATATACGCAAGTCCTCAAGCTCAGTAACAATGTCGATTTGGCGTTCCTCGTATGGAAGTTTGGTGATATCAATGAGGTGTGGGCTCATCGACCTGTCGTACGGCTCCTGATCCTCGGCAGGTTCGTTAACTTGCTCCGCGTTCTCGGTGACAGCGTTTGGCCGCTCGCCACGAGCAGCAGAGCGTGCGACACCTGCGAGGAGCTCCTCCTGCGCCTGCAGGGCCTCGTCCCGCTGACGCTTGCGCAGCTGCTCGAGTCTGTTGCGTACAACAACCTCGTGCAGATTCTTCAGCTTCGCCTTCGCCTTCCAGACAAGCAGCTTCTTGAGTAGACTCTCCCAGTACTCGAAGTCAATTGGCTCGCCGCTCGTGAGTTTTGTCTGAATAGACTTTTGCAGTGCGACAAGGTGATCGTAGGACTTGCCCTGAAGGAGAGCGGTAATATCAGTTTCTACGGCAGCTGCAACCTCTACTCCAAGCCGCTCGTTTTGCTTGATGCGGTCTAGCTGATCTTTGATCACGACCATCATGTTCTGTTACACAGTTAGCATGTCGTTCGCTTTTGAATTCGAGTATCGGCTTACCGTCCAGAACTCGATGTTGACTTCTGACTTCTCCAAACTTAAGTAACGCTCAATATCGTCGTGAAGTTCCTCTACTTGGGTAGGCGTAAGGTTCTGCAACTCTGTGAGTCGTGAGATACTGGAGGCAGGGCAGAATGACGTACCTCCAGGATATTATATGGTTCATCCAGGTCGATTTCGAGCTCTTCGTCATTGACGTCATCATCCTCGCTGTCGGTGGGAGGGTTGACATAGCGCAGGTTGAGAGAAAGAAAGTCAATCGCTTTTGCACGCTTTTCCTTGATTCTAACAGTTGCCCGGACTCGCTCCTGTTCGAGCTCAAAGTCGCCCTCCTTTGACAGCCACTCTGACATTTGGGCAGACTCGGCCAGCCGCTGCATCCTAATCTCCTCCTCTTCCCTGATCCTCTGCTCAGCCTCCCGCTCCGCACGCCGTCTATTGAGTCTTTCCAGTTCGTCTTTCGCTTCTTGTCGGCGTATGGCGTCACGGCGTGCGGCTTCGGCAGCGGATAGACCTTGTTTGCGTTCTTTTTCGTTCTTCTTGTGCCAACGGAATTGCTGCCCGAGATTAACATCGTGGAAGGGGTTGTCGGTTGCGCTGTACACGCTGAGCTCGGCAACCTGGCGTGCTTCGTCCTCCTCTTTGATGCGCTTCTTCTCTAGCTTTCTGAGCCTACGCTCCTCAGACTTGTCGCGCTTTCGTCTACGGTACTGTCAGAGACAAAGACGTGCACAGCAGGCGAAAGACATACCTCTTCCTGTCCGAGTCTCGACTGCCACTTCTGTCCCTCTGCCGTCTCGAAGGCTCGCCATCTCTATCTCTACTCCTCGACCTGCTTTTCGACCTGTGCCGCCTGCGGCTCCCGTGCTCGCCATCGCTGTCGTCGTATCGCCTGTCGCGCTTGCTTCTCTCTCCCGACCTCGACCTGTAGCGGTCTCTCTGTTTGTCCCGGTCACGGTCTCGAGCTTGCGGCGATGCTGAACGCGAGCGGTGTCTTACCATGTTACTACGTGTGCTGCTGAACGTCGTAACAAGTCGCACTCACTATCAAGCCGGTGTCGAGACGAGATGGAGGTATGGGGCGCGAACGCAATCCGCGAACGCCAGCATATACTGCGGACCCCAAATACCAGTGAATGTGCAGGACCTATGGTACCACTCTGTACAGACGAAGCGCCCGGTCTATTACCCCGCCTGAGTTGCATTGACCCGTCACCGAGGACCAAGTTCAGGTCCTGGGTCGACCCTCTAGTCCATATCTCTCTACTCTTCGCTGGTTGTCTCAGTTCATTGGTTGGCATGCTGTTTTCCCAGCGTCGCGTCACACAGACCGTTACCGCGGCGTGGCGGTATCGGCCGTACAGACGTAGTGCGCGTAATGTTCAGACCCAAGCACAGTACGAGTATCCCCCACCAGAAGATCCAGCGGATAGCTCCATACATGCCATACCGGCCGGGCTAGCGACCCCAAGACAGGTATTGAGGTTTCCCCCTGAGTGCGTACCGAGAAGAACTGGCGTTAACACGGGCTGGTTAGCTTGTGCGTTACCTGGATGACTTTGTCATCGGCCAGGAAAACGCTAAAAAGGTTCTATCCGTGGCGTACGTAGGCTTTAGTGTTTCCATCTCTTATCCACGTCTGAAAGCGGTGTATCAGCGTGTTCAATCATTATAACCGTGTGCGAGCCAATCTCGCAGCGACGAGGCAAGATGAGCTAGACTGGGGCGAACCGGACAGCCTGAGCATGGAAGATTGTGTGTTTCTCACTCTCATTTGACTTTTTATGACCTAATGCGGGTCATCCAGCATCGCAGAAAGTCGCTCCTGCTCGAGTATTACCTCATCCACAGCGGTTGCACCCATCTTTCCCTCTGCAAGCTCGCCACCCTTTCCCCCTCTTTGAGAAGAGCAATGTGCTTGTCATGTATGTGGCCACTGCAGTGTTACAACTTCTAGATTTAATTGCCTAGCATGTAGAGGTCCGACCGGCTCTGGTATGTCTCCCGCGGATTTTGTGAGGCATCTACAGCTCACTTCTGTTCTGTCTTCAGGCAAGACCTTGCTAGCAAAAACTTTGGCCAAGGTTATTGATGTCCCCTTTTCCGTCAGCGATGCGACGTCGTTCACACAGGTAGGTGTCAATTCACTTTGTAAAACTGTGTCCTAACGCTTGTCGTAGGCAGGATGTTAGTACATACACTTTAACGCGCTATTCCGGAAACTTATCGCATCTGCAAATATTTTAGACGTCGGCGACGATGTTGACATGTGCATACAACGTTTGGTAAGCCCGTTCGTGGTACTTATTGAACGACCCGCTGAAATAAGGAATAGCTTCAAGCTGCCAGCTGGGACCCGTATCGTGCGAGGTATATCAGCCGTATGCCACGACTGTCTTCTCCTAATGACTTTTTCAGCATGGGTATCGTCTACATTGACGAAGTAGACAAGATCGCGCGTAAGAGCGGAGGGTCGGGAATGGACAGCACCCGCGACGTTGGTGGTGAAGGCGTGCAGCAGGCCTTGCTCCGGATGATGGAAGGCTCTGTCGTCACTGTACCCGCGAAGGGTGGTATGGCGGAAGCACCAATGGGTGGCCAGGGTAGACGTGGACCTCGTGGACCAAACGCAGGACCTCGTAAGCTGCTTCAGGTTAGTGGTCTCAATATTGATATCGATGATTATGCATATGACAGCGAAGTCCGATTCGTATTCCATCGATACCTCTAATGTGCTCTTTATCTTGAGCGGTGCATTTGTCGGCTTGGATAGCGTCATCAAGCGGAGGGTGGCGAAAGGCGTATGTGTCATATTGCGTGCCAACTCCACAGCGGCTGATAGCTTTCCTTCCAGTCTATCGGGTTTACGGCTCAGCTGTCGTCAACAAGTTCAGAAGAGAGCTCCAACGCGTTCATGCACTTCTTCACGCCAAACAAGACGTCTGGGAGTCCTAACATATTAGACTTCGTTGAACCATCTGGCAGGTCTTACACTCCTCTGTGTCGGAAAGCACAACTAATGCTCCCTCAGATCTCGTCAGATACGGCTTCATCCCTGAGTTCATCTCTCGACTCCCGTCAATAACGACGCTCGCGCCGCTGACCCCGCAAGACCTCCGCCGCGTGCTGACAGACGTCAAGGGGTCGCTCATTTCCCAGTATACAGCACTCTTCTTGTACTCTGGCGTTGAGATCCGCTTCTCAAGCGGTGCTCTCGATGAGATATGTCGGAAGGCTGCCGAGCGTGGCGGTGGTGCGCGAGGTCTTAGAGGGATTATGGTACGAGTCTCTTAATATCAGGCGTGAATTATATCGACTAGTATTCTTGACGATCGTAGGAGCAGCTTCTATTGGAACCGATGTACGAGGTGCCGTAAGTTAACCTCCCTGTTTCGTTCTCACGAATAACATTAACGTACGGCGCACCAGTGGATCGAGTGTCCGGCACGTACTCATCACAGAACGTGTGGTGCAAGGTCTGGACAAGCCATTGTATTGGGGCAAGGGCGAGGGTTCCGCATTATGGGCAGCGTGGGCAGAAGAAGAGGAGAGGCGGCCAGGAAGGGGCGTTTGACGACGGATACTATCGTGTATGTGTGTATCATTAACTCATCTGGTCACCTAGAAGCCGGACTCTTGTAGCATGTATATGGACATGTGCCAAGCGGACCGATGACCGAGTGAGATTGCTGAATCAGTTCGGTTGAGCGTACCGTATCCAAAGACGAAGACTAAACGTAAGGTAGTGAATCTACTATATGGGCGTCAAACGCTGACTGTATACAGCAGTATGTAATACAACCAGACACGAAAGGTGCAAGAAAGCGAGCAAAGCGAGTTGGGGGCGACGTGCTGGTCCATTTATTCCTCGTGTTTCTCCTCTTCCTTTGCCTCCTCGCCAGCGGCCTCTTCGGGCTCTGGCTCCTCTGGCTCCTCAGCGTTTTCCTCGGCATTGAGCTCATACCCCGCTGACTCCTCAGCCTTTGTCGGCTCCTTGGACACGAGTTCTGAGTTGCTCTTCTGGGCCTTCTCAAAGGCCTCCTTGAACTGGCCAGCGTCTGACAGTCACGAAATTTCATCAAGGATTTTCGGCGGCGCATAAAACAGAGCTGGACGTACTTTCAGCGTTGGCAAACCGGATGGCAAGGGTCTCCGAGGTAGCGGGGGTTTCAGCGTAGTCCGCAGCGACCTTCCATACCCAGCTGCGGTCCGAACCGATGTTAGGTTGAAGCTTCATGTCCGAGGTGACTACTCGGAACACTCATTAGCGACACAAACGCGCACAGACGAACGACGCACTCATGTGGTTCGCACAGACCTTGAGGGTCTTATCGCGCCTCATCACGAGACGGACCTTCTGGGTCTCCTTGTTCTGCAGCAGCCGAACGTCGCCCGTTCCACGCTCCTTCCACTCATTAGAGTCCGACGCGAAGCGGAAAAGCTTCGCGCGCCTGGGGGGACGCGTCAGTCTTGCGAGATCGAGCGCGGACGCAGAGGGATTGGACGTACATCTTGAAGAGCATCTGTTCGTCCTCTTCGCCAGTCGAGGTCTCGACCTGCTCAGTGAGCTTAATGACGGGCTCAAAGTGGGGATCGTGCTCCTCATCCTGTAAACCCATGCGTCAGAAAATGTGGCCACAAAGAGCTTTGAAGTGGCGCGAGGATGGCCAGGCCATCGATGGCCTGCGTGTGGCCTCGACGCGAGACAAGAGCCACAAACATACACGGGGCGTAAGAGCGTTCTCTGCTTCAGCCATGACAGGATACTATTCGTAAAGGGGGGAAATGAGAGCAAGAGCAGGGGGTGGGCGGTTGAGAGAAAAGCAGTCGTCGTCGCGTGCAAAGGGCCAGAGCAAGATCAGCTATGACGAAGGACCCCGAGACACTTCAATCAAGCGCCCTCGGGGTCTCTCCGCTGCTGTTCGCCTAGCGTCTCAGTCATTGCAAACTCACAACGACCATGGCTCGGACATATACCCAGGCTGCCCTCACACTCTGCACTCTCCTCCTACTCGCATGGCCGACACTCGTCTTAGCGCACATGGTTGAAGTATCTGCGGGCAAAAAAGAATGTTTCTTCGAGGATCTGCATGTCAATGACAAAGTGCGGCAGCACCTTACGCGTTCGTATACGTTGGCTCACAGACATCGTGATTCTAGATGACCGTCACCTATCAAGTTGGCGGTGGGGGACATCTGGACATTGATTATTGGGTATGTACGTTGTGAACGCGCTTGTACATCCACTTCGTGCGCTTACGCCGACGTCCATTAGCTGGCAGATCCAGACGGCCACGCATTGCACAAGCACATCAAGCAGTCCACAGGAACAGTGTCTATCACTGCTACCAAGGACGGCAGACATGAATACTGCTTCTCAAACCAGATGAGCACAGTGGTGGACAAGCTTGTTAGGTACGTGATCGTTTCATCCTTAGATGAAACCTTGCCTACTTGGAACTGTAGCTTCAATGTCCACGGTGTCGTTTATGTCGACTATGATGGTACGCACATATTATTCTAACATGAATTGCCGCCTTAGCTTCTCGTTCCGTCAGACACTGTTGCACCAATCGAGCGCGAGATTCGTACCCTCGCGGCCGGTCTCACGGCCGTAAAGGACGAACAAGAATACATCGTCTTGCGCGAACGTACACACAGAAACACGGCTGAATCAACAAACACTCGCGTCAAGTGGTGGTCGTTTGCTCAGGTGGCCATCCTTTTCTGTGTGGTCGCATGGCAAGTGTATTACCTCAAGGTACGCACATTATGAAGCAGCTTACACTGCGTTTACTGACTACGGTCCCAGTCGTTCTTCGAGGTCAAACGGGCATTCTAGATTAGTTGTGTATTGGGCCGCAGTTTATCATCCAACACATCCTGGCGGGCTCCTGGGCTTTGTGGAACATGTCTTCAGTAATCTAATTCACTATCGTTTGCATAACGTTAACCTCGGTATCTGCAAGCGAATGGTAGCGTGGGACCCTGGCAAGCAAATCAGTATGGTAATCACTGTACCATTAACGTTTGGGTGGTGAGCGAAGGATACAAATTTGCTGAGCTTATAATGCTACAGATCCAGTGTGATCACGTAAACGCCACAAACTCCGCTACAGGGTGCCCGGGTAGAATGAGTGAACATCAAACGGACACGCTATGCGTGATTTTCGAGCAAGTGTATCTTTGGAAATTTTACAGGCATGATTCTGCACTGACCAGACCAGGAGCGCAAGGGAGCTTTTGATACAAGTAATGTCATTTTGGGCGGGTGAATGAAATAAAGCGAGCCATGCTCTCCACGACTTCTCTATCCGTCTATTTAGTAGCACCGAGAGTAGTAAAGCTAGATGCGTACGCAGTCGGCCCACTGTATCCAGTCCCACCACACCGAACTCGATCTCAGCCGCGCACTGGACATCGTCGCACAAGTGCCGCGGGCGACACCAGACGACAACACATCCTTATCCGTTGGGGTAGTCAGAGTCTAGCCACAGCATGCTCGCCGCATGTCCCATACCGACAGCGCAAGAGGTGCCTCCTTGGGCACGATCTGCACGACCCGGAGGGCTAGCGCTGGATATTTGGGAGACCGGTGAACGGACAGGCAGACGGAACGGGTGCTTGTGAAGTCTCATGAGACGTAGTTACATGTTCAAAACATCTCTAGTATCTAGAGCAATGACAATGCCTGCCAGGAAACAAATGAAAACAGCAGGCGTAGTCAAGAGCAGGAACATCGGGTCGTCGTACTGTCGCGCGCCGCGTCGCAATGCCAGTCCTTGCAAACGCAAACGGCAGGTGCTGCAGTTCGCCTCCTCTCAGCTACCTCAACAAGAGATTTAACGATCTTGACAAGCTTTACGTCGTGTATAAGGCCTAAGATCTCGAGTTACGTACCCGCGCCTCGCGCCCTCCCGTTATATAGCACTACTAGTATACTACTAGCTTCAGGCGTCACAACGCTACGCCAACTTCTCGTATCCCTGCTGTCTATCCAGCGCAGCGACAGTTGCCTATACTCCCAGTCAGCTACAAACATCTCGAGCATCATCCTATGTCATCTGGAACCCCTTCCGAAGTTTCCGATCTATCTATCAGCGATACCGAGTCTTTCGCAGATATACACGAGATATCGTCCCCCACATCGCCCACGCCAGAAAGTGCAACACCTTCTCTGGCGACGGAGACCGGTGGCTCTGCTACTTTCGTCAGTCGAGATCCTCCGAGCCAAAACAAGCATCCCAAGTATTATTTCGATGATGGTTCAACCGTGTTTCTGGTGCGTATACTTGTACTCTCGCACGGTTGCAGTCTAATCCGCACCTAGGTCGGAGGGTTCAAGTACCGCCTCCACCAGTACTTATTCTCCAGAGACTCTCCCTATTTTGCAAGCATTTTCGCCCGTTGCGTGCCCTCCGAATCTATCGACCTGGCTGACAAGAAATCCTCCGATTTCGACGCTCTTCTGTCCGTGTTGTACTCGACGTACGTGTTGGCATTCCCAGTCACTTCTGTCGTTGCCAGACTCAGTAGTCGCTTAGGTGCTATCGTTTGCCCGACATCACTACTGTGGATGAATGGTCGGCTGTTCTGCGCCTCGCCACCGAGTGGTCGTTTGACGGCATCCGCAACCTCGCCATTGAACGCCTCGAGCCGATCGCTAGCCCTACCGAGAAGATTGTTCTGAGCCATTCACACTCGATTGCTAGTTGGCTTCCGGCAGCATACATCTCGCTGTGTCAGCGTCCCCACCCACTTACGGCTGCGGAGATCAGAGCTATTGAGGCGGAAGACGTCGAGGTGGTGATGTCTGTCCGGGAGACCATGCTCCGTGCAGGGCTTCCATCTGAAGTGAGCGATATTTCTGCTCACGTCGCCGATGCGATGAAGTCTGTCATGAAGGCGGCGACCTTCACACCTCCCGATTTTATTCCAGAGATTGCAAACATGACGTCTTTTCCACGTTCCGATCCTATCCCAGAGGACACAAAGGTAGAGGCCCTTCCGCATGTCGATCCTATTCCACCTCCAAATCCTCTTGCAGAGGTCATGAAGATGGCGGAAGTGACATTGGCCGAGCACGGGACTGAGGCCGCGAAGGTTCAGAAGCTCTACTTCGAGATCCATCGTCAATTCGACTCTGCCAGTCTTCTTCTTCTTGCCTCCGCAGACAGCACGCGGAATGTCGCTTCTACAACACTAGCACACATTCTGTCCTCGGTAGTTCATACAGAAGTCGCACCCCTCCTCGAGAAGATGACACCAGATAACATCGGCCCCATCGCACGCGAAATCGCCCAGTGGATCGACCTTACAACGCGGGGTAATGACTGTGTGACTCTCCAGCAGATTATTGACCTGGTCTACGACAAGGCAACAAGTGATCAGGAATCCGCACGAGTATGCAGTCTACTATGCCGACAACTTACAGGCAAGATCCCGGCAAAGTTCCGACGTCCTGGAGACAGAGATTACGTGGGGGGACCCGTGTTCCGTAACCACCTCCTTGGTGAATGCCTGAGAGAAGCCGAGAGCATTCGCCTGAAGATAGACTCGACGACACAGGGCTCGGAAGAATCAAGTACGTGTATGGCCCATACAACTGGCTCTCGGCGCGTTACTGAAATTATCCTGCACTCAGGTGCCACAGAATTACCAAGCGGCGACGACGAAGACACGCTTTCCGCCGCACACGAACGCGAATATGCCGCAGTGCGCTTCATTGGCGAGCTGGTGGTAGCGGGCGCCTTGTCCAACGACGACGCCTTCCGTTGTCTCAACCATATATTCTCGGAATATAACTTGCGATATGTGGCTCCTGGCGACCAACAGGCTCGATTCGTCTGCGCGTTTTTGTTGACGGTCGGGCCATGCCTTCACCGCGCCGACGACAACATACGTACGCGCATGGATCAGTACATTTATTCCGTTCAGAGAATCAATTCTATGAACTGTAGTGCGCGGACGGCCGCTTTGGTGGAGGTATGTCGCTGCTGGCAACGTTGAGGGAGTCATATAGCTCATTATCCTTTTGGTTTTATTAGGAACTCTCGCAGATGCAACGTGACGGCTGGCCTGCGGCAGCATAGTATAGAGCGCAACACAGCCTCTGAAGCAATTCGAGGATGCGGGAAAGAAACCACGGTAGAACCGGACCGCGCGGACGGCCGAGAATACTCAGATTGGGCGGTAAAGAACGGGAACGGGATATATTCCTTGTTCCGTGAGGGAGAACCGAAGAGACGGGACGAAGGGGGGATGGTATGTATATCAGGGCGAAATGAGAGTCCTTGAAGCACGAGCGGAATGTGAAAAGCGAGTCCGAAAGTAGAAGCAAAATATCCATAATAAGATGAAAAGTGGTGCTGTCGAACGCCACCGAGGTGTCCGTCGGGGGAGTCGAGCACCGCTATCCTGCCCGTGTAACCGTCGGGTTACACACGGCCCATACACCAGCTGAATGCTGTGTATTCACACGCGAAAACAGGGCACATTCTACTCGCCTTTGAAGCTGAAGCCTTCAACCGTCCTACACCGACGGCGCAAGAGATGCTTCCTTGCGCGTGTTCCACACGACCCGGAGAGTTGGATATCTTGGGAGACTGGCGAATCTGCGCACAGGCAGGCCAGTGGGTACATGCGAAGCCTTATGAGACGTAGTCGCATAAGTCAAAGTATCTCTGGTGTCTAGAGTAATGACAATGTGCGTCAGGAGAAGAGAGAACAACAACCGCAGAGCAGAGCATCCGAGGGCCGTCGCGCCCTGTGACTTATCGAGCGCCAAGCGGTGCCACGTTGTGATGCCTGTTCTTGTCAGGTGCTGCAGTTCGCCTCCTCTCAACCACCCCGATCGGAGATTTGACGATTTTGGTAAACATCACGTTGTGTAGAAGAATCTAGAGTTACCCGCGCCTCACGCCTTGATATCACCACTTTAAGCTTCAAGCCCTGTTACGACGCCACGCCAACTTCTCATATCCCTCCTGTCTGTCCAGGACAGCGACAGTTATACATACTCCCAGTCGGTTACAAACGTCTCGCCCATCGTTCTATGTCATCTGGAACTCCTTCCGAAGTCTCCGATCTATCTATCAGTGATACCGAGTCTTTCGCGGACATACACGACATGTCGTCCCCTACATCGCCCGCGCCGGAAGGTGCAGGACCTTCTCTGGCGACCGAGACTGGTGGTTCTGTACCTTTCGTCGATCGAGATTCTCCCGATGAAACCAAGCATCCCAAGTACTATTTCGATGATGGTTCAATCGTGGTTCTGGTGCGTGACATTTGTACTCTCGCGCGGTTGTGGTCTAATCAGCACCCAGGTCGGAAAATTCAAGTACCGCCTCCACCGGTACTTGTTCTCCAGAGACTCGCCCTATTTCGCGAACATCTTTGCCCATTGCGTGCCCTCCGAGCCTCTCAATCTGGCTGACAAGAGATCCTCCGATTTCGACGCTTTCCTGTCTGTGCTCTACTCGACGTACGTGTCAAAGTTCCCGCTCTCTTCTGTTGCTGTCGGCCTCATGAGTTGGTCAGGTGCTATCGCCCGCCCGATATCGCTTCTGTAGATGAATGGTCTGCTGTTCTGCGCCTCTCCACCGAGTGGTCATTCGACAGCATTTGCAACCTCGCCATTGAACGTCTCGAGCCGATCGCTAGCCCCATTGAGAAGATCATTCTGAGCCATTCACACTCCATTCTCAACTGGCTCCCAGCAGCATACGTCTCGCTGTGTCAGCGTCCCCACCCACTTACGGCTGCCGAAATCAGAGCTATTGAGGCGGAAGACGTCGAAGTGGTGGTGTCGGTCCGGGAGACTATGCTTCGTGCTGGGCTACCGTTAGAGGTGAGCGAAATTATTGCCCTCGTCGCCAAATCAATCAAGTCTGCCACGAAGGCGGCGACCTTCACACCTCCCGATCCTATCCCGGAGGTCACAAACATGGCAGCTTTTCCACGTTCCATTCCAGCGACCACAAAGACAGACATTTCCTCACGTGCTGATCCTATTCCACCTTCCAATCTTATCCCAGAGGTCAATGACACGGCGGAATTGACATTGGCCGAGCCCGGGACTGAGGCCGCGAAGGTTCAGAAGCTCTACTTCGAGATCCATCGTCAATTCGACTCTTCCAGTCTTCTCCTTCTTGCCTCTGCAGACGGCACGCGAAATATCGCCTCTAGGACACTAGCACACATTCTGTCCTCGTTAGTTCATACAGAAGTCGCACCCCTCCTCGAGAAGATGACACCAGATAACATCGGCCCCATCGCACGCGAAATCGCCCAGTGGATCGACCTTACAACGCGGGGTAATGACTGTGTGACTCTCCAGCAGATTATTGACCTGGTCTACGACAAGGCAACAAGTGATCAGGAATCCGCACGAGTATGCAGTCTACTATGCCGACAACTTACAGGCAAGATCCCGGCAAAGTTCCGACGTCCTGGGGACAGAGACTACGAGGGGGGACCCGTGTTCCGTAACTATCTCCTTAATAAATGCCTCAGAGAAGCCGAGAGCATTCGCTCGAAGATAGACTCGGCGACACAGGGCCCGGAAGAATCAGGTACGTGTACAGTCCTTACAACTGGCTCTCGGCGCGCCACTGATCTTATCATGCGCTCAGGTGCCACAGAAATACTAAGCGGCGACGAGGAAGACGCGCTTTCCATCGCACATCAATGTGGATATGCCGCAGTCCACTTCATTGGCGAACTTGTGGTAGTAGGAGTCTTGGCCAACGACGATGCCTTCCACTGTCTCAACAGCATAGTTACCGAATATGAGATCGAATATAAAGCCCCTAGCGACCAGCAGGCTCGATTCGTCTGCGCGTTTTTGTTGACGGTCGGGCCGCACCTTCACCGCGCCAACGACAACGTGAATAAGCGCATGAATCCGTACATCACTTTCGTCAAGAGAGTCGATTTTGCGAGCCGTAGTGCACGGACGGCCGCTTTGGTGGAGGTATGTCACTCTATCGACATTGAGGGGATCATATGCTCATTATCCTCTCAAATCTGTTAGAAATTCTCGCAGATGCAACGTGATGGCTGGCCTGCAGCAGCATAGTATAGAGCGCAATACAGTCTTTGAAGCAATTCGAGGATCTTGGAAACAAATCACGACCAATTTACCAGCTAAACGTTGTATATTGATACGCGAATACACGGCACATTTTATTCCCCTTCGAAGTCTTGTCTCATTGCAGGAAGCGTACCCAGAAAAACACGATCCATTAGTGAACTTCAGGCAAACGAGAAAACTAAGATTCAACATTCATTTATGTAGTTTTCCATCAAGAAACAGGTTGATCCAATTTAGTGGCCAAACCTAGTACTACATCATACCACCGAATCAGGGGAAGCATGTAACCGCTGTTGCATAGAGGAGAGGCAATGAAGCTGATGAGAAGTGCTAAGACCTTGCTCCACCATCGAGACGTGCTACTGCTCGCGTTTTCTTACCTGACTCGCTGTCGGGCTTTGCATCGGCTTATGCTCGGATAGCCATAAGAATTTGCCAGGGCTTGGATGACGGCCTCGGCGGTTCGATATCTTGTTCCAGCCTGCTATGCAGGATCCGACTTCTGCCACTTGTTTCCACTCTTTTTTTTCTTGTATAACAGCAACAATGCTCGAACCGGCCGCAAGGCTGTACAAAACGAGAGGTAAATATCGACCTGCACCCGGAACTTCTCTTGGTCGTCTGACCAGGTAACGCCGCACGTGGGTAACCACGAAATCGATGCAGCGGGTATCTTCGTCCTCCCACCTGTGAGCTATAGGAAGCGTACTCTGCGGTGACTCGTGGGTCACCCTTCGTGATGTCATCTCTATGTATGAATTGATCTGTCACAGTCTCCTCCGCATTCAGACAAGAAAGCAGCCCTGAAGTGCACATGACCAATAAATGTCAAATCTGCCGAGTGCGTCTCCCCCCTCTCCTCCTTGACTCACTATCACTCGAGTGATAGCATTTACAGGTGCTGCTTTCGCAGGTACTCTACGAGCTCATATCCCGAAGCGCACTGTAAGGCGAAGGCGTATACAAATTGTTGCCCGAGGTTACAGCGCAATGGCGAGAAGTTGCTCCTTACTTCTGGCACGCTATCCCTTTGCCATTTTCGTCCTTTTACTGCTCTGTCTAACCGCCATTCCGAGATTTTTCTGTCCGACATATATCCCGAGGTGCACGTCCTCGGTGGCCACATTGGATGAACGGGATCCGGTGCGACGCAGTAGCCATCAAAGTCCGGGTACTTCGCAATCAAAGGCTTGGCAACACGATACAGATACGCGGACTGCCGTTCGTCCAGAATGTCGGCTTAAATCCGCTGGAGAGTCTTCTTGTTTGTCCGCATCTCCTCACGCGATGTGTGCAGTGCGTTGTCTGCATGTGTTCTCTCTGGTGCTGTGCGCGAGTTTTCGAGGAACACGGCGATGATAGGCTGCAGATACCCGGAGTATAGTCGCAAAAGGTCTGTCATTCGCGAAAAACATATGCGCCTATGCTCACAGGGATTGCTCTGGTTTTGCCTGCTAGACTTTTTCTCCAAGAGGCGTAGCAGGCTCGAGCGTATATAAACTGGAACACAGATATGGTTAACAGCCAGAGCTCTACCGTCCTCGCAAGTCGATCCAGCTCTACGTCAGTTCCCCAGCATTTTTCGACAGCTGAAACCAAATCTGATTCTTAACAGCAGAAGTAAAAGACATCCGCCAAGGTCTACAGGTCAACGACCATCGACCTGATCCTTTCGGTGAGTCCATTCGTACCCGTCGTGCCCACACGCCTCCCGGACGACACTAACTTGTCCCCTGCCAGCCAGTCACAATGTTCCACAAACTTGCCCTCATCTCGTTCACTCTCGCCGCCATTGCCGCCGCTCAACAAGCCGGCACGCAGACGCCAGAGACCCACCCGACACTGTCGTCCCAGAAGTGCACCACCGCCGGCGGGTGCGTCAACCAGAGCACCAAGGTCGTCCTCGACTCCAACTGGCGATGGCTGCACAGCACCACCGGATACACCAACTGCTACACCGGCAACGAGTGGGACGCGACACTGTGTCCCGACGGCGCGACGTGCGCAGCGAACTGTGCGCTGGACGGTGCGGACTACACGGGGACGTACGGGATCACGAGCTCGGAGTCGTCGCTGACGCTGCAATTCGTGACGGGATCGAACGTGGGGAGCCGTGTGTACCTGATGGCGGACGACAGCCACTACGAGATGTTCAAGCTGCTTAACCAGGAGTTCACGTTCGACGTGGACATGTCGGATCTGCCGTGCGGGCTGAATGGAGCGCTGTACCTGGTGGAGATGGACGAGGATGGAGGAATGAGTCGATTCCCGACGAATAAGGCTGGAGCGAAGTATGGGACTGGATACTGCGACTCTCAATGTCCTCGTGACATCAAGTTCATCAATGGCGAGGTATGTCGTACAGTCTCCCGTCTGGTGCTTGGCAGTAACTCGAACGCTGACGTCTTCCCTCTCCCACCCCACCCTCAACCCTTCGCCTAGGCCAACGTCGTCGGCTGGAATGCGACGAGCGCGAATGCAGGCACCGGCAACTTCGGCACGTGCTGCAGCGAGATGGACATCTGGGAGGCCAACAGCGACGCCGCCGCATTCACCCCACACCCGTGCACGACCGACGGCCAGACACAGTGCTCAGGAGACGACTGCACACGCGACACTGGCCTGTGCGACGCCGACGGCTGCGACTTCAACTCGTTCCGTCTGGGCAACAAGACATTCCTGGGCAATGGCCTGACGGTCGACACGTCCAAGCCGTTCACGGTCGTGACGCAGTTCGCGACGAGCGACAACACGACGACAGGGACGCTGAGCGAGATCCGTCGGGTGTACGTGCAGGGCGGGAAGGTGATCCAGAATAGCGTGGTCAACGTCCCCGGGATCGACGCGGTCAACAGCATCACGGACGAGTTCTGCACGGAGCAGAAGACGGTGTTCGGGGACACGGACTACTTCTCGCAACACGGTGGACTGCAGCAGATGGGCGAGTCACTCGGGAATGGGATGGTGCTCGCGCTGTCGGTGTGGGACGACTATGCAGCGAGCATGCTGTGGCTTGACTCTGACTATCCGACGACCAAGGATGCGTCGTCGCCTGGTGTCTCGCGCGGCACTTGTGCGACGACGTCCGGTGTGCCAGCACAGATCGAGTCGCAGGCCCCGAGCTCGAAGGTGGTGTTCAGTAACATCAAGTTCGGTGACATTGGGTCTACATTCAGTGGTGGTACGACATCACTTCCTCCTCCGCCGCCCCCGGCATCTGGATCTGGGTCGTCTGCTGGCCCTGCACCGACTGGGAGTGTTGCTCAGTGGGGCCAGTGTGGTGGGACTGGGTATAGTGGGCCGACCGTGTGCGCGTCTGGCTTCACTTGCCACGTTCTTAACCCTTGTAAGTGGCCATTAATTTCACTGCTGCCGGGTAGCGCTAATTGCCGCTCGCACAGATTATTCCCAGTGCTACTAGGTGGCGGACAGAGAGTTGGGAAGGAAGATCTTTAGGGGTGGATACAAGTCAGTGCAGCTCAAAGGAGCGAGGAATGGTCAGAAGACAAGTCTTGAACGATTGCATCGAAAGCCAGACCTCAGTGTTCAGCATTCATCCGCGATTGGTCAGGGGACTTGGGTTTGGATTCAATTCTTGGCAACGTATACGCACTACGTCTCCTCATTATAGATGGCCAACATTAGCGTACTCTCCGCGCTCCCTCTTTACGAGTCCTATCAAAATGTTGAATCGAGTCAGCGCTATGGGATTAATGCCAGCACTGGCCGTTGAATGGGTTGTGCTCGTGCAATCGGGCAGTCGACTCACTTCGGGGCGAACGTGCGCACTCAACTGGCCACTGCAAGGCTGAATTGGCCAAGATTCCCAGGGCGCGCACTGTTGTCCCCGGTGAACGTCCTGAAGATCAGTAGCGAGGTGTTGTATTTATAGACACATTAACCTTGCGTCCGCTCGGCATGCATGATGCGGCAGGATGCGGCAGATAGGTCTAGTCCAGTGAGGTCACTAGAAGACTGATGATGACGGTTATGAGACTCTAGCGATGATCAAAGGTACTCACACAACGTTCCACTAGCTGGCACTCTCGCCCACATTGCATGGGGTGAGCTCGGGGGCACAAAAGCTGCAGCCACGGCACCAGGAGCAGCTCTCTGCAACGATGCTGGAATACATATCTATAACTTAGCCTCTGTGAGACCCTCTTAGGCCTCAGGCCTCAGGTTCACAGGTCGTCGGGAAGTGTGGTGGTCGTGTGGGCAAACACCCGTTCGCGTAGACGCCCGTAATTAGGGCGGTCGTGTGGTAAGACGCGTTTCAATGGGCGCTTTCGCTGGTTGGACTTGTGCGTGGCGACGGCCAGCTTTTGCTTCCGGCCATCTTCTACACACAACGCCGACGCTGCATATCACGACGCCGACGATCCAAATAACGACCCCGAGCGATACCTACTCTTTTTGCGATGGTTGCTGCTGGCTCCATCACCGTGGCTGTACGTCTCAGGCCGCCTACTGCATGGGAAGCCGCTCGTCTGCCTGAGCCCATCGCCGACGCTCCCATTCGCTGCGATGCGGCGCTGTCTACGCCGCTCAAGCCCGTTACCTCGCAAACTAACTTACGTCACATTGTGCAAACCGTCGACGACCGTGTTCTGACATTCGATCCCGAGGAGCGTGATCCGTCCAGGGCATTTGTCGAGAGGGGCTTCTTGCCTCCAGGAACGAAGCGTTACAAAGACCGGAGGTTCATTTTCGACCGTGTTTTCAGACACGATGCGCGGCAGGAGGATGTCTACGATGGGACTGTGAAACCTTTGTTGGGAAACCTATTGAATGGCTACAACGCGACTGTGTTTGCTTATGGCGTAAGCATTTCCATCCTCTCGTTTTCTGGTGCGGTGCAGAAGAAGGTCCTCTACAGGCTACGGGATGCGGGAAGACACACACTATTAGTGGTACAGAGGAGGACCCTGGCGTCATCTATCTAACCATGGCAGACCTCTTCCGCCTCATCGAAGATCGCCGAGAAGACCACATCGTCGACGTGCAGGTGTCCTTCCTCGAGATCTACAACGAAGAAATTCGAGACCTTCTCGTAGAACCAGGCAGCGCCACTCATCGCGGAGGCCTTCAAATACGCGAAGACAGTAACAAGTGCGTCAAAGTCGTAGGCCTCACAGAACTGCGCCCGAACAATGCAGACGAAGTCAAGGAAATCGTCCTCTTGGGGAATTCGCGGCGGACGCAGTCGCCAACACTTGCTAACGCGACGTCTTCTCGGTCACATGCCGTCTTGCAAGTGCACGTTACACAGGCCCCCAGGACGGCAGCTCTGTCGGAAGAGCGGACAGTGGCCACGTTGTCCATTATCGATCTCGCAGGAAGCGAAAGGGCCGCCGCTACTTCCAACATGGGCCAGCGTATGGTCGAAGGCGCAAATATTAACAAGTCTCTCCTTGCTCTTGGCAACTGCATCAATGCACTCTGCGAGTCTGGCGGCGCCATTCGTCATGTTCCCTACCGCAACAGCAAGCTTACTCGTCTGCTGAAGTTCTCCCTTGGAGGGAACTGCAAGACAGTAATGATCGTCTGTGTCGCACCTACATCTGCCCACTTCGACGACACCCACAACACTCTCCTCTACGCCGAACGTGCAACGAAGATTAAGACCAAGGTCGTCACACGCAACGTCGTCAATGTAGATCGGCATGTCGGACAGTATGTCGAGGCCATCAACAGGCTCAACCTCCAGGTCGAGGAACTCAAGGCTAAGCTCGCCGGGAAGCGTGATGCGGAAGCAGAGAAAGAGAAGAGATGGAAGAAAGAGGCGGCCGCAGAGGTTGAGAGGGCTAAAACGGACATGCAGGCCAAGACAGACCAGACCCAGCCTTCTCTCGTCGACGGCGCGACGTGCGCCGGCAAGCTGTCTGTTGCGGAGGCTAAGCTAAAGGTTATCAAAGCGCGTCTGACCGAGCTCGACTCACAAGCCGTCTCTGGTCCGCTGCCCGCAGACCTTGAGGCAGAGCGCGGTCTCTTGCGCGCACTCGCTGCGCCGGAAGAGCAAGTGCTGAAGCCTGGCTCAGACTTGAATGCGCGTATGCAGCGGTCGGGGAACTCGGGAGCGATGTTCGAGGCGACGCTGCGTGCGGTGAGCGAACGCAAGTCAGACAAGGTCGACGAGGTCTACGTGGACAACATCAAGCTTGATGCGCGGTGGCGCAAGGCTGAGATGGAGCGCGTCAAGGCAGAGGCGAAGCGCGAGGCTCTGAGGGAAACGGTCGAAGCACAGACGCGGACGGTCGTGAACCTCGTAGGATTGCTCGGCAGATGCACCGTCATGCTTGGCGAGGCGAGTCGAACGCTGCTGGCTTCGACCGAGGGGAAGGAAGACTTGGGAGGCACCGTCGAAAACATCGCGGCATCGCTCAAGAATGTCGCAGACGGGAACGACAAGGCATTCAAGTCTATTATCGGACACGCCACTTCGGAATACCTCGTAGGACCTCCGACCACCTCTGCATTGAACAACTTTAAAGGCTACTCGTCGATTTTCGCTCCTGTTAGTGGCACGAGCCGCGTTGCGTCGGGGCCCGCACGTCCCTCTGATGTCAGCTCGAGAATTTCAAGGCGTACCTCGTCGTATGGTGCCCTCTCCCCCCGTAAGATGAGCTTCAGCCGCTCTCCCCGGAAGTCTCTCCGCTCCAGCATGGCGGGTTCAGCACCATATAGACGGGCGTCGGAGACTCTTGGAAAGGGGCAGAAGAAAGGGGTTCAGTGGCGAGACGAAGCGGGTCAAGGAGACCTTGACGACGGCGGCATGGGACCCAGTTCCCGGCCAGCCATCACTGTCATCACGCCAGCTTCCCCTGCCTTCGACGAGCCATCCATTCTCAACGACGCATCGCCATCCGCGTCATTGCCCGGTTCAGAGAGCAACAGAAACACACCCTCGCGCACTGGCTCGGAAAGTGATTGGGAGGACGAGAAGACCGACGACAGCTTCAGTCTTTCCTCCATTGCCGGGCCTTCGCGTGCGCCGGCGGTGACATCGAGCGGCGGTCGCACCGGCAGCGCCAGGCGATCACGCGCAAGCCACCTCACCGCCGGCTTCCTCAAATTGCGCACGCGGCTGTCAGCGCTCGGAAGCGTCGCAGAAACGGACGAGGAGCGCAACTCGCCAAAGAAGCTGCTGAATCCGCTCGGCGACCGCAACATGAACCGCTCGGCGTCGCCCACTCCTTCCAGCAGTGGCTCGAGCACATCGACAGTGGGGAAGGGCAAGGCGCTTGCGAGCCCCGTGAAGCGCAGTGCGCTCCCGCCCAAGTTGGGCGGCGCGAGCAAGAGCGGGCGCCGCCGCTCTGCTGTCGGGCCCATGCGCGTCGAGAGGCCGCGTCGCAGGTCGAGCATGATCCCGCAGCTGTCTCCGAAGCTCAACAGCGGCGCGCAGAGCCTCAGCGCGGGCCCGGGTGAGTCGTCAGCACTCGCAAAGGGCACGGACGGTGCAAGGCGCGTCGCACTCGAGCGGTCACCCGCCAAGCGGCCGAAGAGGACGAGCACGCTCACGTTGTCGTCGCTGTCGCTGCCGCCATCGCGCCTTGTCTCGAGGCCAAGCGACTCGAACCTGAGCGGGGACATCAGTTTCAAGGGCTCGGCTAAGCCGACGTGGCGCTAGAGGGCGTTACAGAAGAACAAAGCTTGGAATGTACGATATCTCAACTCTAGTATAGACCACTCATTCGTGTATTTTGTTCAATGGCTCTTCATCATAGTATAGTTGGAGGACGATAGGTCCGCAGCCCTCGAGGTTTACGCATAATATCACGATCCACTCATGACATGTTTTTATTTTCTGAAATTTTGTGGCTCTTATTTGTGCTTGTCTGTCTATTGTTTGAGATTGCTTGCGTCGCTCGCAAACATCGTGTACGTTCTCTCTGTCGCTTAGCTGCGTGTCTGTTTATTTCGTTCATGTATACAACCAATACGCAAATGGCTTATTCCAACGTTTTACACCCTTTAGCTCCCAAATAGTTCGAAGTACTTGACAATATCTGAGGTCGCGTTCTGCGTAGGCGGATAATCCGGGCGGTTGAACTCATGCCAAGCCCGTCGTGGCGCTACTGACTTTACAGCCGACGCTGACTGACGGGCCAGCTCCGAGGTTTCTTCCTCCCGAATAATATCCCGGAATGTTTGACTCTGGCGGTGCAGATGATGTATAGCGTCCGGTGCGACGTCCTATCCATCATCCCCGTCGCAAGATCTGCGATCGAAGGTCTTGGCATGCAACTAAGTACGTACGTGTCTGGAGTGTGCGCGTGTGGAATACCGGCTCAAGTCTGCGGGATAGCCTTCTTGTTTGTCCGCGCTGCCTCACGAGGTCGCATTTTGTACCATAATCGAGGGCTCGTGCTGATTTATGCTGCTAGATCTTCGAGGAAACGTTTCCAAAGGGCTGAAAATGCTCGGGGCAAACTCGCCAGGTGTTATCGCTCGTTTGCAACGCGCGCACGAGAGCTGTGGAGGCTACATGCTTGATACTTCTAGTTCCAGTGCTTTTGTGTGCGGGGCAAAGCGTATATAAACTGAGCACAAATTATGTTAGGAGCCAGAGCTCTACTGTCCCCACAAGTCGATCCAGCTCTACGTCAGTGCCCCAGCATTTTTCGACAGTTGAAAGCGAACCTGATTCTTAACAGCAGAAGTAAAAGACATCCGCCAAGGTCTGCAGGTCAACGATCATCGACCTGATCCTTTCGGTGAGTCCATTCGTACCCGTCGTGCCCACACGCCTCCCGGACGACACTAACTTGTCCCCTGCCAGCCAGTCACAATGTTCCACAAACTTGCCCTCATCTCGTTCACTCTCGCCGCCATTGCCGCCGCTCAACAAGCCGGCACGCAGACGCCAGAGACCCACCCGACACTGTCGTCCCAGAAGTGCACCACCGCCGGCGGGTGCGTCAACCAGAGCACCAAGGTCGTCCTCGACTCCAACTGGCGATGGCTGCACAGCACCACCGGATACACCAACTGCTACACCGGCAATGAGTGGGACGCGACACTGTGTCCCGACGGCGCGACATGCGCGGCGAACTGTGCGCTGGACGGTGCAGATTACACGGGGACGTACGGGATCACGAGCTCGGGGTCGTCGCTGACGCTGCAGTTCGTGACGGGATCGAACGTGGGGAGCCGTGTGTACTTGATGGCGGACGACAGCCATTACGAGATGTTCAAGCTGCTTAATCAAGAGTTCACGTTCGACGTGGACATGTCGGATCTGCCGTGCGGGCTGAATGGAGCGCTGTACCTGGTGGAGATGGACGAGGATGGAGGAATGAGTCGATTCCCGACGAATAAGGCTGGAGCGAAGTATGGGACTGGATACTGCGACTCTCAGTGTCCTCGTGACATCAAGTTCATCAATGGCGAGGTATGTCGTACAGTCTCCCGTCTGGTGCTTGGCAGTAACTCGAACGCTGACGTCTTCTCTCCCACCCCACCCTCAACTCATCGCCTAGGCCAACGTCGTCGGCTGGAATGCGACGAGCGCGAATGCAGGCACCGGCAACTTCGGCACGTGCTGCAGTGAGATGGACATCTGGGAGGCCAACAGCGACGCCGCCGCATTCACCCCACACCCGTGCACGACCGACGGCCAGACACAGTGCTCGGGCGACGACTGCACTCGCGACACTGGCCTGTGCGACGCCGACGGCTGCGACTTCAACTCATTCCGTCTGGGCAACAAGACATTCCTGGGCAACGGCCTGACGGTCGACACGTCCAAGCCGTTCACGGTCGTGACGCAGTTCGTGACGAGCGACAACACGACGACAGGGACGCTGAGCGAGATCCGTCGGGTGTACGTGCAGGGCGGGAAGGTGATCCAGAATAGCGTGGTCAACGTCCCCGGGATCGACGCGGTCAACAGCATCACGGACGAGTTCTGCACGGAGCAGAAGACGGTGTTCGGAGACACGGACTACTTCTCGCAACACGGTGGACTGCAGCAGATGGGCGAGTCACTCGGGAATGGGATGGTGCTCGCGCTGTCGGTGTGGGACGACTATGCGGCGAGCATGCTGTGGCTTGACTCTGACTACCCGACGACCAAGGATGGGTCGTCGCCTGGTGTCTCGCGCGGCACTTGTGCGACGACGTCTGGTGTACCAGCACAGATCGAGTCGCAGGCCCCGAGCTCGAAGGTGGTGTTCAGTAACATCAAGTTCGGTGACATTGGGTCTACATTCAGTGGCGGTACGACATCACTTCCTCCTCCGCCTCCTCCGGCATCTGGATCTGGGTCGTCTGCTGGCCCTGCACCGACTGGGAGTGTTTCTCAGTGGGGCCAGTGTGGTGGGACTGGGTATAGTGGTCCGACTGTGTGCGCGTCTGGCTTCACTTGCCACGTTCTTAACCCTTGTAAGTGGCCATCATTAGGCTCACCGCTGCTGAATACCACTAATCGGCATTCGCGCAGATTATTCTCAGTGCTACTAGATGGCAGACAGAACTCTGATTTGGTGACACGATGGAGAAGGTTTAGCTACGAAGCAGTTTTTTATTGAAAGACCATATACATGATAAATCTCATTTGCCTCAGGCTTATCGACAGAACCTTTTTTGGACACGCTTCATGCGGTGAGACAAAGCTTCAAAGGCGAGTAAAATTCATCGTGTACAGTATTTGTGTACGAATGTACGGCGTTCGGCTGATGTATGGGCTGTGGTTTCTTTCCAAGATCCTTGAACCGCTTCAAGGACTGTATTGCACTCTATACTATGCTACCGCAGGCCAGCCGTCTCGTTGTATCTGCGAGAGTTCCTAATATAATCAATACGAGGATAATGAGCTATATGACTCCCTAATGTTGATAACAGCGATATACCTCCATCATGGCGGCCGTCCGCGCGCTACAGCTCAGAGGATCGACCCTCCGAACGGAAGAAATGTACCAATTCATGCGCGCACGTATGTTGTTACCAGCGCGGTGAAGGCACGGCCCGACCGTCAACAAGAATGCGCAGACAGATCGGACCTGTTGGTTGCTGAGAGCTTTATATCCCGTGCCATATCCGGGAGCTAAGCTGTCAAGACAGCGGAGGGCATCGTCGTTGGCCAAGACGCCCACCACCACCAGTTCGCCAATGAAGCGCACTGCGGTACACCCACGTTCATGTGCGGCGGAAAGCGCATCTTCCCCGCCGCCGCTTGGTGTTTCTGAGGATGAGATAGTGACGCACCGAGAGTCGGTAGTGATTTATCAAGGAGACAGTCACGGAAAAGGCGTCTTCCCTCGATGTGGCCCGTACGACACGGGTCATCAGCCGAAATATTGTCCATAAGTTGTCGACATAGTAGACCGCATACTCGAGCGGATGTCGGATCACTCGTCGCCTTGTCGTAGACCAGATCAATAATCAGTATGAGATTCGGAGTCGCACGGTCATTATCCCGCAGCGTAAGGTCGATCCACTGGGCTATTTCCCGTGCGATGAGGTCGGTGTTATCTGGTGTCAACTTCTCGAGGAGGGCTTCGACTTTCGGGCGAACCACTGAGCACAGACTCTGTGTTAGCGCTCTGGAGGCAATGCTTCGCATGTTGTCTGCAGAGGCAAGGAGAAGAGCAGCAGTATCATACTGACGATGAATCTCGAGGTATAGCTTCTGCACTTTCGCGGCCTCAGTGGAGGGCTCGGCCAGTGTCATTTCCACTATGTCTGTGACCTGTGATATGGGATTAGGAAGTGGATAGAAATAGCACGTGAAAGAACCACCATCTCCGTGGCCTCTGGGATGGGATCGAAATGTGAAAACATCGTCATCTTTGTGACTTCTGGGGTAGGATCGACAGGTGGAATAGGACCCGCACGCGAAAGTTCCGCCATCTTTGTGGCCTCTGGGATGAGATCGGACCGCGAAAAGGCCGTCATCTTTGTGACCTCTGGGATAGGATGGGAAGGTGTGAAAGTCGCCGCCGCCGTAACAGACTCCATCACATCTGCGACGCATGCAGAAATATCGCTCACTTCGAACGGTAGCCCTGCACGGAGCATAGTCTCCCGGACTGACATCACCACCTCGACATCTTCCGCCTTAATAGCCCTGATCTCGGCAGCTGTAAGTACGTGGGGGCGCTGACACAGCGAGACATATGCTGCCGAGAGCCAATTGGGAATGGAGTGTGAATGGCTCAAAACAATCTTCTCAATGGGGCTAGCAATCGGCTCGAGACGTTCAATGGCGAGGCTGCGGATGCTGTCGAACGACCACTCGGTGGCGAGACGGAGAACAGCTGACCATTCATCGACAGAAGTGATATCGGGCAGGCGATAGCACCTAAGCGATTCATGAGGCTAACAACAACAGAAGGGAGCAGGAATAACACGTACGTCGAGTACAGCACAGACAGGAAAGCGTCGAAATCGGAGGATCTCTTGTCAGCCAGGTCGATAGACTCAGAGGGCATGCAACGCGCAAACATGCTCGCGAAATGGGGTGAGTCTCTGGAGAACAAGTACTGGTGGAGGCGGTATCTGAAGTCTCCAACCTTGGTGCAGATCAGACTACAGCCGTGCGAGCCTGAGGATGTCACGCACCAGAAACACAGTTGAACCATCGTCGAAATAGTATTTAGGATGCTTATTTCTGCCTGGAGAATCTCGATCGACGAAAGTTACAGAGCTACTGGGTTCCGCCGTCAGAGAAGGTGCTGCACTTTCCGGCGTGGGCGATGTGGGGGAAGACATGTCGTGTATGTCCGCGAAAGACTCGGTATCGCTGATAGATAGATCAGAAGCCTCGGAAGGAGCTCCAGATGACATAGAACGATGCCTTGTCTCAAGTGCTTGTTCGACCTGAGGTGTAGACAATTTTTGCCGCCGTGGACAGACAGTAGGGGGACGGGGAGTTGGCGTCGCGACGCTTGAGATAGTGGTATATAATGGCAACGCACGATGAGGTGTGGGTATCTCCAGATTCTGAGTCTTGTATACTGCTTTTAGCAGAATCGCACAGGCGGGAGATTCACGAGCAAAATAGTCTGTAAGTGAGATTGGGTACAAATGGTGCGGAGAACCAAGTTAATGAGCGCCAGCTCTCGTCTCTGGGCGCATCATTTCCGAGTAAGGGTGCCTCGGGCGGCGCCTGATGCGCTCCGCGGGCTGGCGCCCCGCTTGCCAAAAAACGACACGCCCGGACAACTCTGCTGTTGACACCCTTCGAGGAGCGCTTCGCAGGCATCTACTGTGTCTACCTGTGCGCAGGTTCGCCTGGCCAGTCTCCAAAGATATCCAGCCCTCCAGGACGTCCTATCCATCATCCGCGTCGCGGGATTCGAAGGTCTTGGCATTCAACCAAGTGTCTGGAGTGTGCGCGTGCGGAATACCGGCTCAAGTCTGCGGGACAGCCTTCTTGTTTGTCCGCGCTGCCTCACGCAGAGAGTCCGGGGGTTACGTAGGGTTTCTGTGCTGTCTACGTTGTCGGCGCTCTCCGTACCATCCGCGTTAGGTCAGACCGTTCTCTAGTAACGAGGTGCGCATTTTGTACTATCGTCGAGGGCTCGTGTTGATTTTTGCTGCTAGATCTCCGAGGAAACGTTTTCAAAGGACTGAAAATGCTCGGGGCAAACTCGCCAGGTGTTATCGCTCGTTTAGGACGCGTGCACGAGAGTTATGGAGGCTACAAGCTTCACACTTCAAGTGCCAGTGCTTTTGTGCGCGAGGCAAAGCGTATATAAACTGGAGCTCAAATATCGTTAGGAGTCAGAGCTCTACTGTCCCCACAAGTCGATTCAGCTCTACGTCAGTTCCCCAGCATTTTACGACACCTGAAACTGGACCTGATTCCTAACAGCCGAAGTAAAAGGCATTTGCCAAGGTCTACAGGTCAACGACCATCGACCCGATCCTTTCGGTGAGTCTATTTGCGCCCGTCGTACCCACACGCACCCTGAACGATACTAACTGGTTCCCTGCCAGCCAGTCACAATGTTCCACAAACTTGCCCTCATCTCTTTCACCCTCGCTGCCATTGCCGCCGCTCAACAAGCCGGCACGCAGACGCCAGAGACCCATCCGACACTGTCGTCCCAGAAGTGCACCACCGCCGGCGGGTGCGTCAACCAGAGCACCAAGGTCGTCCTCGACTCTAACTGGCGGTGGCTGCACAGCACCACCGGATACACCAACTGCTACACCGGCAACGAGTGGGATGCGACACTGTGTCCTGACGGTGCGACATACGCAGCGAACTGTGCGCTGGACGGCGCGGACTACATGGAGATGTACGGGATCACGAGCTCGGGGTCGTCGCTGACGCTGCAGTTCGAGACGGGATCGAACGTGGGGAGCCGTGTGTACTTGATGGCGGACGACAGCCACTACGAGATGTTCAAGCTGCTTTATCTGCGAGGCCAACAGCGACGCCGCCGCATTCACCCCACACCCGTGCACGACCGACGGCCAGACACAGTGCTCAGGAGACGACTGCACACGCGATACCGGCCTGTGCGACGCCGACGGCTGCGACTTCAACTCGTTCCGTCTGGGCGACAAGACATTTCTGGGCAACGGCCTGACGGTCGACACGTCCAAGCCGTTCACGGTCGTGACGCAGTTCGCGACGAGCGACAACACGACGACAGGGACGCTGAGCGAGATCCGTCGGGTGTACGTGCAGGGCGGGAAGGTGATCCAGAATAGCGTGGTCAACGTCCCTGGGATCGACGCGGTCAACAGCATCACGGACGAGTTCTGCACGGAGCAGAAGACGGTGTTCGGAGACACGGACTACTTCTCGCAACACGGTGGACTGCAGCAGATGGGCGAGTCGCTCGGGAATGGGATGGTGCTCGCGCTGTCGGTGTGGGACGACTATGCGGCGAGCATGCTGTGGCTTGACTCTGACCACCCGACGACCAAGGATGGGTCGTCGCCTGGTGTCTCGCGCGGCACTTGTGCGACGACGTCCGGTGTGCCAGCACAGATCGAGTCGCAGGCTGCGAGGTCGAAGGTGGTGTTCAGCAACATCAAGTTCGGTGACATTGGGTCTACATTCAGTGGCGGTACGACATCACTTCCTCCTCCGCCTCCTCCGGCATCTGGATCTGGGTCATCTGCTGGCCCTGCACCGACTGGGAGTGTTTCTCAGTGGGGCCAGTGTGGTGGGACTGGGTGCAATGGTCCGACCGTATGCGCGTCTGACTTCACTTGCCACGTTCTCAGCCCTTGTAAGTGGCTATTGATTTCGCCGCCACTGGGTAGCGCTAATTGCCGTTCGCACGGATTATTCCCAGTGCTACTAGGTGGCGGACAGAGAGTTAAAAAGGAAGATATTTAGGGCTTCCCACCACCTCCATTGCCTCTCCTCTGTGCCACAGTAGTTACATGCTTTCCCTGATTCGGTGGTATGATGGAGTACTAGGTTCGGCCACTAAATCAGCTGTTTCTTGATGGAGAACTACATAAATGTTGGATCTTAGCTCTCTCATTCGCCTGAAGTTTACCAATGGAATCATGCTTCTCTGAGTACGCTTCCTGCAATGAGACAAGACTTCGAAGGGGAATCAAATGTGCCGTATATTCGCGTATCAATATACAACGTTTAGCTGATGTATTGGTTGTAGTTTCTTTCCGAGATCCTCAAATTGTTTCAGAGGCTACATTGCACTCTATACTATGCTGCTGCAGGCCAGCCGTCACGTTGCATCTGCGAGAATTCCTAGAGATTTGTAATAATGAATCATTATGACTCCCTCAATATTGATAGAGCACATACCTCTATCAAAGCGGCCGTCCGCGCACTACGGCCCACATGATCTACTCTCCTGACGAAAGTGATGTACGAGTCCATGCGCTCATTTACGTTGTCGTTGGCGCGGTGGAGGCGCGGCCCGACCGTCAACAAAAACGCGCAGACGAATCGAGCCTGCTGGTCGCTAGGAGCTTCATATCTCATCTCATATTCGGTAACTATGCTGCTGAGACAGCGGAAGGCATCGTCGTTGGCCAAGACTCCGACCACCATCAGTTCGCCAACGAAGTGGACTGCGGCATATCCACATCCATGTGCGGCAGAAAGCGCATCTTCCTCGTCGCCGCTTGGTAATTCTGTGGCACCTGAGCGCAAAATAAGATCAGTAACGCGGCGAGAGCCAGTTGCAAGGACTATACACGTACTTGATTCTTCCGAGCCCTGTGTCGCCGAGCCCATCTTCAAGCGAGTGCTCTCGGCTTCTCTGAGGCATTTACGAAGGAGACAGTCACGGAACCGGGCTCCTCCCTCGTAATCTCTGTCTGCAGGATGTTGGAACTTTGCCAGGATCTTGCCTGTAAGTTGTCGGCATAGTAGACTGCATACTCGAGCGGATTCCCGATCGCCCGTTGCCTTATCGTAAACTAGGTCAATAATCTGTTGGAGAGTCACACAATCATTACCCCGCGCTGTAAGATCGATCCATTGGGCTATTTCGCGTGCGATGGGGTCGATATTATCTGGTGTCATCTTCTCGAGAAGGGGTGCGACTTCTGTATGAATTACCGAGGACAGAACGTGTGCCAGTGTTCTAGAGGCGACATTCCGCGTGCTGTCTGCAGAGGCAAGGAGGAGAAGACTGGAAGAGTCGAATCGACGATGAATCTCGAGGTAGAGCTTTTGAACCTTCGCGGCCTCAGTCCCGGGCTCAGCCAATGTTAATTCCGCTGTGTCTTTGATCTCTAGGATAAGATTGGAAGGTGGAATACTAGTAGGATTAGCGCGCGGGGAAGTGTCTGCCTTTGTGGTCGCTGAAATGGGGTTGGAACGTGGAAAAGCCGCCATGTTTGTGACCTCTGGAGTAGGATCGGGAGGTGCGAGAGTCGCCGCATTCGTAGCAGACTTGATGGATTTGGCGATGAGAGCAATCGTTTCGCTCACTTCTAACGGTAGCCCTGCACGAAGCATAGTCTCCCGGACTGACATCACCACCTCGACGTCTTCCGCCTCAATAGCTCTGATCTCCGCAGCCGTAAGTGGGTGAGGACGCTGACACAGCGAGACGTATGCTGCTGGGAGCCAATCTGGAATAGAGTGTGAGTGACTCAGAATGATCTTCTCAATGGGGCTAGCGATGGGTTCGAGACGTTCAATGGCGAGGTTGCAAATGCCGTCGAACGACCACTCGGTGGCGAGGCGCAGAACAGCCGACCATTCATCCACAGAAGTGATATCGGGCGGGCGATAGCACCTGGCCAACTCATGAGGCCGACAGCAACAGAAGAGAGCGGGAATGACACGTACGTCGAGTACAGCACAGACAGGAAAGCATCGAAATCGGAGGATCTCTTGTCAGCTAGATTGAGAGGCTCGGAGGGCATGCAATGGACGAAGATATTCGCGAAATAGGGCGAGTCTCTGGAGAATAAGTACTGGTGGAGGCGGTACTTGAATTTTCCGACCTGGATGTTGATTAGACCACAGCCGCGCGAGGGTACAAATGTCATGCACCAGAACCACGGTTGAACCATCGTCGAAATAGTACTTGGGATGCTTGGTTTCATTGGAAGAATCTCGATCGACGAAAGGTACAGAACTACCGGTCTCGGTCGCCTGAGAAGATCCTGCACTTTCCGGCGTGGGCGATGTTGGGGACGACATGTCGTGTATGTCCGCGAAAGACTCGGTATCGCTGATAGATAGATCGGAAACCTCGGAAGGAGTTCCAGATGACATAGAACGATGGCCGAGACGTTTGTAACCGACTAAGAGTATAGGCAACTGTCGCTGTCCTGGACAGACAGGAGGGATATGAGAAGTTGGCGTGGCGTCGTAACGGGCCTTGAAGCTTGAAGCTTGAAGTAGTGATATCAACGCGCGAGGCGCGAGTAACTCTAGATTCTGGGCCTTCTACACAACGCGATGTTTACCAAGATCGTCAAATCTCCGATTGAGGTGGTTGAGAGGAGGCGAACTGCAGCACCTGCCGTTTGCAGACAAGGACCAATTCAGGCATCGCAATGCGGCATCGCTCGGCGCCCGATAAATTACACCGCGGCCCTCGGATGCTCTGCTCTGCGGTTGTCGTTCATTCTAGATACCAAAGATACTTTGACTTATGCGACTACGTCTCATAAGGCCTCGCAGATACCCGCTGGCCTGCCTGTGCGCAAATTCGCCAGTCTCCCAAGATATCCAACCCTCCGAGTCGTGTAGAACACGCGCAAGAAAGCATCTCTTGCGCCGTCGGTGTAGGACGATTGAAGGCTTCAAAGGCGAGTAGAATGTGCCGTGTTTTCGCGTATGAATATACAATATTTAGCTGGTGTATGGGCCATGTGTAACCCGACGGTTACACGGGCATAATAGTGGTACCGTGACTCGACTCTCTGGCACGGACACCTTGGTGGCGTCCGATGGCACCACTTTTCATCTTTCCATGGACATTTTGCTTCTACTTTCGGGCTCACTTTTCACATCCTGCTCGTGCTTCGAGGACTCTCACCTCGCCCTTACATACCACTCCCCCTTCGTTCCGTCTCCAGTTTTGCCTCACGGAACAAAGAATATATCCCGTTCCCGTTCTTTATCGTCCGATCTCAGTGTTCTTGGCCGTCCGCGTAGTTCGGTTCCACCGTGGTTTTTTTCCCACACCCTCTAATCGCTTCAGAGGCTGTGTTGCGCTCTATACTATGCTGCCGCAGGCCAGCCGTCACGTTGCATCTGCGAGAGTTCCTGATAAATTTAAAAGGGTAATGAGCTATATGATTCCCTCAATGTTGCCAGCGGCGACATACCTGAATCATGGCAGCCGTCCGCGCACTACAGTTCAGGGAATTGATTCTCTGAACGGAAGAAATGTACTGATCCAAGCGCGTACGTATGTTGTGGTCGGCGCGGTGAAGGCACGGCCCGACCGTCAACAAGAATGCGCAGACGAATTGAGCCTGTTGTTCGTTAAAAGATCTCAGGTTCTGTGCGAAGTTGTTGAGATAGCTGAGGACATCGTTGTCGGCCAAGACGCCCGCCACCACGAGTTCGCCGACGAAGTGGGCTGCGGCATATGCACGTTCGTGTGCGGCGAAAAGCGCGTCCCCCCCATCACTGCTCGGTAATTCTGCGGCATCTGAGCACAGGGTAAGATCAGTGACGCGCCGAGAGCCACGTGTATGGGCTGTACACGTACTTGATTCTTCCGAGCCCTGTGTCGCCGAGCCCATCTTCAAGCGAATGCTCTCGGCTTCTCTGAGGCATTTATTGAGGAGACAGCTACGGAACCAGTGTCCCCCCTGGTAGTCTCTATCCCCAGGACGTTGAAACTTTGCCGGGATCTTGCCTGTAAGTTGTTGGCATAGAAGACTGCATACTCGAGCGGACGCCCGATCGCTTGTTGCCTTGTCGTAGACCAGGTCAATAATCTGCTGGAGAGTCACCCAATCATTATGCTGCGTTGTAAGGTCGATCCATTGGGCGATTTCGCGTGCGATGGGGTCGATGTTGTCCGGTGTCAACTTCTCTAGGAGTGGTACAACTTCTGTTTGTACCACTGAGGACAGAACGTGTGCCAGTGTTCTAGAGGCGATATTTTGCGTGCTGTCTGCAGAGGCAAGGAGGAGGAGACTGGAAGAGTCGAATCGACGATGAATCTCGAAGTAGAACTTCTGCACTTTCGCGGCCTCAGTACCGGGCTCGGCTAATGTCGATTCCTCCATCTTTATGACCTCTGGAATAAGATTTGGAGGTGGAATAGGATCGACACGCGGAAGGGCCTCTATCTTTGTGTCCTCTGGGATAGGATCGGAACGTGGAAAAGACGTCATGTTTGCAATCTCTGGAATAAAATTGGGAGGTGTGAAAGTTGCCGCCTTCGTGACAGACTTCATCACATTGGCGACATGAGCAGAAATCTCGCTCACTTCAGATGGCAACCCTGCACGGAGTATAGTCTCCCGGACAGACATCACTACCTCGACGTCTTCCGCCTCAATAGCTCTGATCTCCGCAGCCGTAAGTGGGTGGGGACGTTGACACAGCGAGATGTATGCTGCCGGAAGCCAACTAGCAATCGAGTGTGAATGGCTCAGAACAATCTTCTCAATGGGGCTAGCAATCGGCTCGAGGCGTTCAATGGCGAGGTTGCGGATGCCATCGAACGACCACTCGGTGGCGAGGCGCAGAACAGCCGACCATTCATCCACAGTAGTGATGTCGGGCAAACGATGGCACCTAAGCGACTAATGAGTCTGGCAACGACAAAAGTGGCTGGGAATGCCAACACGTACGTCGAGTACAACACAGACAGGAAAGCATCGAAATCGGAGGATTTCTTGTCAGCCAGGTCGATAGACTCGGAGGGTACGCAACGCGCGAAAATGCTTGCAAAATGGGGCGAGTCTCTGGAGAATAAGTACCGGTGGAGGCGGTACCTGAACCCTCCAACCTAGGTGCGGATTAGACTGCAACCAGGCGAGGGTACAAATGCCACGCACCAGAACCACGGTTGAACCATCGTCGAAATAGTACTTGGGATGCCTATTTTGGCTGGGACAATCTCGATCGACGAAAGGAGCAGAGCGACCAGTCTCCGTCGTCAGAGAAGGTGTTGCACTTTCCGGCGTGGGCGATGTTGGGGACGATATCTCGTGTATATCCGCGAAAGACTCGGTATCGCTGATAGATAGATCGGAAACTTCGGAAGGAGTTCCGGATGACATAGAACGATGCCCGAGATGTTTGTTGTCGACTGGGAGTATAGATAACTGTTGTTGTCCTGGACAGACAATAGGGATATGAGAGCGTGGCTTCGTGATGGGGCTCAAAGCAGCGATGTGACCGAGGCTCTAGATTATCATGATACACGACGGGATGCTTACCAAAATCGTCAAATCTCTGATTGAGGCGCAGCACCTGCCGCCATTCGGCGCCCGATAAATCACACGGCGGCCCGGCGCTCTGCTCTTGCCAACTGCAGCTGTTTGTTCTCTCTCTCGTCTCCTGACATGCACTGCCATTACTCTAGATACCAAAGATACCTTGACTTATGCGACTACGTTTCATAGGGCCGCTTCGCAGGCACCCGCTGCGTAGGCCCGTGCTCGAAGGTGGTATTCAGCAATATCAAGGTCGCGTCAGTGATATTGGGTCTACATTCAGCGGCGGTACAGCTTCTCTGCCTCCTCCACCCCTTCCGGCATCTGGATCGGGCTCGTCTGCTGACCCTGCACCAACTGAGACTGTTGCTCAGTGGGGCCAGTGTGGTGGGACTGGGTACAGTGGGCCGACTGTGTGCGCATCTGGCTTCACTTGCCGCGTTCTCAACCCTTGTAAGTGGCCATCATTAGGCTCACCGCTGCTGAATACCACTAATTGTTGTTTGCGCAGACTATTCTCAGTGCTACTAGAAGGCAGACAGAGAGTTGGGAAGGAAGATCCCTAGGACTTCTCTCCACCTGCATTGCCTCTCCCCTAAGCGAGAACTGTTGTCATCCTATGCTTCCTCTAATTTGGTGACACAATGGAAAAAGTTTAGCCACGAAGCAGTTTTTTATTATTAAAAAACCATGTATATGATGAATCTTATTTGCCTTAGGCTTATCGATAGGATTACGCTTTTTTAGACACGCTTCATGCGGTGAGACAAAACTTCAAAGGCGAGAGAAATTTACTGTGTACAGTATTTGTGCGCGAATGTACGACATTCGACTGATGTATGGACTGTGGTTTCTTTCCAAAACCCTTGAGTCGCTTCAAGGACTGTATTGCATTCTATGCTATGCTACCGCAGGCCAACCGTCTCGTTGCATCTGCGAGAGTTCCTAATAAAATCAACACGAGGATAATGAGCTGTATGACTCCCCAACGTTGAGAACAGCGATATACCTCCAGCATAGCGGCCATCCGCGCGCTACAGCTCAGAGGATCGACCTGCTGAATGAGAGTAATGTACCAACCCATGCGCGAACGTGTGGTGTTGTCGGCACGGTGAAGGCACGGCCCGGCCGTCAACAAGGATGCGCAGACGAATTGAGCCTGTTGTTCGTTAAAAGATCTCAGGTTCTGTGCGAAGTTGTTGAGATAGCTAAAAACATCGTTGTTGGTCAAGACGCCCGCCACCACGAGTTCGCCGACGAAGTGGGCTGCGGCATATGCACGTTCGTGTGCAGCGAAAAGTGCGTCTTCCTGATCACTGCTCGGCAATTCTGCGGCATCTGAGCACAGGGTAAGATCAGTGACGCGCCAAGAGCCAGCTGTATGGGCTGTACACGTACTTGATTCTTCCGAGCCCTGTGTCGCCGAGCCCATCTTCAAGCGAATGCTAGTGGCTTCTCCAAGGCATTTACTAAGGAGACAGCTACGGAACGCGGGTCCCCCCACGTAGTCTTTATCCCCAGGACGTTGAAACTTTGCCGGGATCTTGCCTGTAAGTTGTCGGCATAGTAGACTGCATACTCGTGCGGACGCCCGATCACTTGTTGCCTTGTCGCGGACTAGGTCAATAATCTGCTGGAGAGTCACCCAATCATTATGCTGCGTTGTAAGGTCGATCCATTGGGCGATTTCGCGTGCGATGGAGCCGATATTATCCGGTGTCAACTTCTCCAGGAGTGGTACAACTTCTGTTTGTACCACTGAGGACAGAACGTGTGCCAGTGTTCTAGAGGCGATATATCGCGTGCTTTCTGCAGAGGCAAGGAGGAGGAGACTGGAAGAGTCGAATCGACGATGAATCTCGAAGTAGAGCTTCTGCACTTTCGCGGCCTCAGTACCGGGCTCGGCCAATGTCGATTCCGCCATCTTCATGACCTCTGGAAGAGGATTGGGAGGTGGAATAGGATCAGTGCGCGGAAAATCTGCCATCCTTGTGGCCGCTGGGATAGGGTCGGAAGATGGGGAAACCTTTGTCTTTGTGACCTCTGGGATAGGATGGGAAGGTGTGAAAGTCGCCGCCATCGCGACAGACGCCATGGAATTGGCGACGCAAGCAGAAATCTCGCTCACTTCAAAGGGTAGCCCTGCACGGAGCATTGTCTCCCGGACTGACATCACCACCTCGACGTCTTCCGCCTCAATAGCTCTGATCTCCGCAGCCGTAAGTGGGTGGGAACGCTGACACAGCGAGACGTATGCTGCCGAGAGCCAACTGGGAATCATGTGTGAATGGCTCAAGACAATCTTCTCGACAGGGCTAGCGATCGGCTCGAGACGTTCAATGGCGAGGCTACGGATGCTGTCGAATGACCACTCGGTGGCGAGGCGCAGAACAGCCGACCATTCATCGACAGAGGTGATATCAGGCATGCGATAGCACCTAAGCGACCCATGAGGCTGGCAACGGCGAAAGAGAATAGGAATGATACGTACGTCGAGTACAGCACAGACAGGAAAGCGTCGAAATCGGAGGATTTCTTGTCAGCCAAATCGAGAGGCTCGAAGGGCACGCAATGGGCGAAGATGCTCGCGAAATGGGGCGACTCTCTGGAGAATAAGTACTGGTGAAGGCGGTACTTGAAGCCTCCGACCTAGGTGCAGATTAGACTGTAACCGTGCGAGGGTACAAATGCCACACACCAGAAACACGGTTGAACCATCGTCGAAATAGTACTTGGGATGCTTGTTTAGGCTGAGACAATCTCGATCGACGAAAGGAGCAGAGCCACCAGTCTCCGTCATCAGGGAAGGTGTTGCACTTTCCGGCGTGGGCGATATGAGGGACGGTATTTGGTGTATGTCCGCGAAAGACTCTGTATCGCTGATGGACAGATCAGAAACTTCGGAAGGAGTTGCAGATGACATGGAACGATGCCCGAGATGCTTGTAACCGACTGGGAGTGTAGAGGACGAGGAGTTGATGTGGCGTAGTAGTGATATGTAACGGCCAGGCGCGAAGCGCAGGTATCTCTACAGTAGGTGCATCATTTCTGAGTAAGCCTCGGGCGACGCCTGATGCGCGCGCCCCGCCCGGGGTGACGACTCTGCCGTTGCATCCTTCGAGGAGCTGGCCACCAAAATCTTTTCGAGGTGGCTCCGAGGAGGCGAACTGAAGCGCTTGCCGTTTGCGGATAAGGACCGGCTTTCGCGACGCGCCATCGGGCGGCCCAATATTAATGCTCTGCTCAGGCCTGGCTACGCCTGTTGTCCTCTCTCTTGTCTCCTGGCATGCGCTGTCGTTACTCCAGATACCAGAGATACTTTGAATTATGCGGCTGTGTTTCAAGAAGCTTCGCAGACACCTGCTGTGTCTACCTGCGCGCAGGTTCGCCCGGCCAGTCTCCCAAGATATTCAGCCCTCCAAGACGTCCTATCCATCATCCGCGTCGCGGGATCTGCGATAGAAGGTCTTGGCATTCAACCAAGTACGGACGTGTCTGGAGTGCGCGTGTGTGGAATATCGGCTCAAATCTGCGGGACAGCTTTCTTGTTTGTCCGCGCTACCTCACAAAGTGCGCATTTTGTACTATCATCGAGGGCTCGTGCTGATTTTTGTTGTTAGATCTCCGAGGAAGCGTTTTAAAAGGACTGAAAATGCTCGAGAAAAACTTACCAGGTGTTCTCGCTCGTTTGGGACACGCGCACGAGAGCTGTCGAGGCTTCAGACTTCAAGTGCCAGTGCTTTTATGCCAGGCAAAGCGTATATAAACTGGAGCTCAAATATCGTTAGGAGTCAGAGCTCTACCGTCCCCATAAGTCGATTCAGCTCTACGTCAGTTCCCCAGCATTTTACGACACCTGAAACTGGACCTGATTCCTAACAGCCGAAGTAAAAGGCATTTGCCAAGGTCTACAGGTCAACGACCATCGACCCGATCCTTTCGGTGAGTCTATTTGCGCCCGTCGTACCCACACGCACCCTGGACGATACTAACTGGTCTCCTGCCAGCCAGTCACAATGTTCCACAAACTTGCCCTCATCTCTTTCACCCTCGCTGCCATTGCCGCCGCTCAACAAGCCGGCACGCAGACACCAGAGACCCACCCGACGCTGTCGTCCCAGAAGTGCACCACCGCCGGCGGGTGCGTCAACTAGAGCACCAAGGTCGTCCTCGACTCTAACTGGCGGTGGCTGCACAGCACCACCGGATACACCAACTGCTACACCGGCAACGAGTGGGACGCGACACTGTGTCCTGACGGTGCGACATGCGCGGCGAACTGTGCGCTGGACGGTGCGGACTACACGGGGACGTACGGGATCACGAGCTCGGAGTCGTCGCTGACGCTGCAGTTCGAGACGGGATCGAACGTGGGGAGCCGTGTGTACTTGATGGCGGACGACAGCCACTACGAGATGTTCAAGCTGCTTTATCTGTGAGGCCAACAGCGACGCCGCCGCATTTACCCCACACCCGTGCACGACCGATGGCCAGACACAGTGCTCAGGAGACGACTGCACTCGCGACACCGGCCTGTGCGACGCCGACGGCTGCGACTTCAACTCGTTCCGTCTGGGCGACAAGACATTCCTGGGCAACGGCCTGACGGTCGACACGTCCAAGCCGTTCACGGTCGTGACGCAGTTCGTGACGAGCGACAACACGACGACTGGGACGCTGAGCGAGATCCGTCGGGTGTACGTGCAGGGCGGGAAGGTGATCCAGAATAGCGTGGTCAACATCCCCGGGATCGATGCGGTCAACAGCATCACGGACGAGTTCTGCACGGAGCAGAAGACGGTGTTCGGAGACACGGACTACTTCTCGCAACACGGTGGACTGCAGCAGATGGGCGAGTCACTCGGGAACGGGATGGTGCTCACGCTGTCAGTGTGGGACGACTACGCGGCGAGCATGCTGTGGCTTGACTCTAACTACCCGACGACTAAGGATGGGTCGTCGCCTGGTGTCTCCCGCGGCACTTGTGCGACGACGTCCGGTGTACCAGCACAGATCGAGTCGCAGGCCCCGAGCTCGAAGGTGGTGTTCAGTAACATCAAGTTCGGTGACATTGGTTGTACATTCAGTGGTGGTACGACTTCCCTGCCTCCTCCGCCGCCTCCGGCATCTGGATCTGGGTCGTCTGCTGGCCCTGCACCGACTGGGAGTGTTGCCCAGTGGGGCCAGTGTGGTGGGACTGGATATAGTGGTCCGACTGTGTGCGCGTCTGGCTTCACTTGCCACGTTCTTAACCCTTGTAGTGGCCATTAGTATCACCGTCGCTGAATACCGCTAATTGGCATCCGCGCAGATTACTCTCAGTGCTACTAGATGGCGGACAGAGAGTTGGGAAAGAAGATCTTTAGGACTTCTTTCTCCAATACCATTGCCTCCCCCCCATGCGAGAACGGTTCTTATCCCATGCTTCCCCCTGATTCAGTGGTATGATGGAGTTCTAGATTTAGCCACAAAATTGGATGAAGCTGTCTCTTGTTGTAAAACTACATACATGTCGAATCTTAGCACTCTTATTCGCTTGAAGTTCATCAATAGAATCATGCTTTACTGAGCACGCTTGCAACGAGACGAGGCTTCAAAGGCGGATAAAATGTGCCATGTCCTCGCATATCAATATGCAACGTTTAGCTGGTGGATCGGTTGTAATTTGTTCCCAAGATCCTCGAACTGCTTCAGAGGCTGTGTTGCTCTCTATACTATGGTGTTGCGGGCCAGACGTCTGAGTCACGTTGCATCCGCGAGAATTTCTAATAGATTTAAGAGGATAATGAGCATATGGTTCCCTCAATGTCGATAGAGTGACATACCTCCACCAAAGCGGCCGTCTGTGCACTATGGCCCTCAGCACCAACCTTCTTAACGAAACAGAGGTACCGATTCATGCGCTTACATATGTCGTAGTTGGCGCGGGGAAGGCACGGCCCAACCGTCAATAAAAACGCGCAGACCAATCGAGCCTCTTCGTCGCTAGGAGATTCCGTGCAATATTCGGGAACTATGTTGTCGAGACAGCGGAAGGGATCGTCGATGGCCAAGACTCCCACCACCAACAGTTCACCAATGAAGTGGACTGCGGCATATTCGCATTCGTGTGCGACGGAAAGTGCGTCTTCGTCGTCGCAACTTGATAATTCTATCGCACCTGAATACATGATCAGATCAGTAATGTGTCGAGAGCCAGTTCTAAAGACTGTACACGTACTTAATTCTTCCGAGCCTTGTGTCGCCGTGCCCATCTTCAGGCGAGTGCTCTTGGCTTCTCTGAGGCATTTATCAAGGAGACAGTCACGGAACCGAGCTCCTCCCTCGTAATCTCTGTCCCCAGGACGTTGAAAATTTGCCGGGATCTCGCCCGTAAGTTGTTGGCACAGTAGACTGCATACTCGTGCGGACGCCCGATCGCTCGTTGCCTTGTCGTAGACCAGGTCAATAATCTGCTGGAGAGTCACAGAGTTATTATACCGCGTTGTAAGGTCGATCCACTGGGCTATTTCGCGTGCGATGGGGTCGATGTTATCCGGTGTCAACTTCTCCAGGAGTGGTACAACTTCTGTTTGTACCACTGAGGACAGAACGTGTGCTAGTGTTCTAGAGGCGATATTTTGCGTGCTGTCTGCAGAGGCAAGAAGGAGAAGACTGGCAGAATCGAATCGACGATGAATCTCGAAGTAGAGCTTCTGCACTTTCGCGGCCTCAGTCCCGGGCTCGGCCAATGTCACTTCCGCCGTGTCTTTGACCTCCGGGATAGGATTGGAAGGTGGGACAGAATCAGCGCGCGGGGAAGCGTCTGCCTTTGTAGTCGCTGGAATGGGATTGGAACGTGGAAAAGCCGCCATGTTTGTGACCTCCGGGATAGGATCGGGGGGTGTGAGAGTCGCTGCATTCGTAGCAGACTTGATGGATTTGGCGATGAGAGCAATAATTTCGCTCACTTCTAACGGTAGCCCTGCACGAAGCATGGTCTCCCGGACAGACATCACCACCTCGACGTCTTCCGCCTCGATAGCTCTGATCTCTGCAGCTGTAAGTGGGTGGGGACGCCGACACAGCGAGACGTAAGCTGCTGGGAGCCAGTTGGGAATGGAGTGTGAATGGCTCAGAATGATCTTCTCAATGGGGCTAGCGATGAGTTCGAGACGTTCAATGGCGAGGTTGCAAATGCCGTCGAACGACCACTCGGTGGCGAGGCGCAGAACAGCCGACCATTCATCCACAGAAGTGATATCGGGCGGGCGATAGCATCTGACCAACTCATGAGGCCGACAGCAACAGAAGAGAGTGGGAACTTTGACACGTACGTCGAGTACAGCACAGACAGGAAAGCGTCGAAATCAGATGATTTCTTGTCAGCCAGATTGAGAGGCTCGGAGGGCATGCAATGGGCGAAGACGTTCGCGAAATAGGGCGAGTCTCTGGAGAATAAGTACTGGTGGAGGCGGTACTTGAATCTTCCGGCCTGGGTGCTGATTAGACCACAGCCGCGCGAGGGTACAAATGTCACGCACCAGAACCACGATTGAACCATCGTCGAAATAGTACCTGGGATGCTTGGTTTCATTGGAAGAATCTCGATCGATGAAAGGTACAGAACTACCGGTCTCGGTCGTCTGAAAAGGTCCTGCACTTTCCGACGTGGGTGATGTCGGGGACGACATATCGTGTATGTCCGCGTAAGACTCAGTATCGCTAATAGATAGCTCAGAAAATTCAGAAGAAGTTCCAGATGACATAGAACGACGCCCGAGATATTTGTAACCGACTAAGAGTATAGACAACTGTCGCTGTCCTGGACAGACAGGAGGGATATGAGAAGTTGGCGTGGCGTCGTAACGGGCCTTGAGCTTGAAGCTTGAAGTAGTGATATCAACGCGCGAGGCGCGAGTAACTCTAGATTCTGGGCCTTCTACACAACGTGATGTTTGCCAAAATCGTCAAATCTCCGATTGAGGAAGCGAACTGCGGCACCTGCCGTTTGCGGACCAATTCAGGCATCGCAACGCGGCACCGCTCGGCGCCCAATAAATCACACCGCGGCCCTCGGATGCTCTGCTCTCAGTGCTCTGCGGTTGTTGTTCTCTCTTCTCCTGGCGCACATTATCATTACTCTAGATACCAAAAATATTTTGGCCCATGCGACCACTTCCCATAAGGCTTCGCAGGTACCCGCTGGCCTGCCTGCGCGCAGACTCGCCAATCTCCCAAGATATCCTGGCAGCCCTCCAGGTCGTGTAGAACACGCGCAAGAAAGCATCTCTTGCGCCGTCGGTGTAGGACGATTGAAGGCTTCAAAGGCGAGTAGAATGTGCTGTGTCGCGTATGAATATACAACATTTAGCTGGTGTATGGGTCGTATGTAACCCGACGGTTACACGGGCATGATAACGGTACTCGACTCCCCCGGCATGGACACCTTGGTGGCGTCTGACGGCACCACTTCTTATCTTATTATGGACATTTTGCTTCTACTTTCGGACTCACTTTTCACATCCTGCTCGTGCTTCGAGGACTCTCACCTCGCCCTTATATACCACTCCCCCTTCGTTCCGTCTCTTCAGTTCTCCCTCACGGAACAAAGAATATATCACGTTCCCGTTCTTTATCGTCCGATCTCAGTGTTCTTGGCCGCCCGCGTAGTCCGGTTCCACCGTAGTTTCTTTCCCACATCCTCGAATCGCTTCAGAGGCTGTGTTGCGCTCTATCCTATGCTGCCGCAGGCCAACCGTCACGTTGCATCTGCGAGAGTTCCTATGAAATTAAAAGGATAATGAGCTATATGACTCCCTCAACGTTGCCAGCGACATACCTGAATCATGGCGGCCGTCCGCGCACTACAGTTCGGAGAATTGATTCTCTGAACGAAAGAAATGTACTGATCCAAGCGCGTACGTATGTTGTGGTTGGCGCGGTGAAGGCATGGCCCGACCAATCGGAGGATCTCTTGTCAGCCAGATTGAGAGGCTCGGAGGGCATGTAATGGGTAAAGATGTTCGCGAAATAGGGCGAGTCTCTGGAGAATAAGTACTGGTGGAGGCGGTACTTGAATTTTCCGACCTGGGTGCTGATTAGACCACAACCGCGCACTGCAAGAGTACAAATGTCACGCACCAGAACCACGATTGAACCATCATCGAAATAGTACTTGGAATGCTTGGTTTCATCGGGAGAATCTCGATCGACGAAAGGTACAGAACCACCAGTCTCTGTCGCCTGAGAAGGTCCTGCACTTTCCGGCGCGGGCGATGTGGGCGACATGTCGTGTATGTCCGCGAAAGACTCGGTATCACTGATAGATAGTTCGGAAAGTTCGGAAGGAGTTCCAGATGACATAGGACAATGGGCGAGACGTTTGTAACCGACTGGGAGTATGTATAACTGTCGCTGTCCTGGACAGACAGGAGGGATATGAGAAGTTAGCGTAGCGTCGTAACGGGGCTTGAAGCTTGAAGCTTGAAGTAGTGGTATCAAGGCGCGAGTCGCGAGTAACTCTAGATTCTGGGCCTTCTATACAACGCGATGTTTACCAAAATCGTCAAATCTCCGATTGAGGTGGTTGAGAGGAGGCGAACTGCAGCACCTGCCGTTTGGAGACAAGAACAGGCATCACAACGCGGCACCTCTCGGCGCCCGATAAGTCACACAGTGGAGTTATAAGCCCGTGACTTGCAACTTCGGCGTTCGCCAACCTCCAGCGGTAACCACCGGTGTTCGCCGGTGGCCATTGGTGTTTGCCAGCGGTCTTTGCCATATACGGGTGCATCGCTGTGAGCGCTTGTGAACACCACCTTTCGTTGCCCACTGGAACCCATCGGAATACAGCAGCAACTGGTGAATATTGCTGTGTATCAGTGGCAAGTAGTGGGGTATGTTGGGATATACCGGTGTTCAGCATGTTATGCTGGCTGCCACTGGTATTTGGTCCGGTTGATTCACATGGCAGGTGGCAGACACCACCATACACTGGTGACATCCACTGGCAGGCAGTGGCCACTATCCATCAGCATATGCTGTTTATTGTTAATATATGTCATTGAATAATAATTTTTGGCACCTTTCACTGGTCTTTGGGCAGAAGTGTGTGACATTGGGCCATGGTGTGTGACTTGCTTTCCAGGTTGGGCTAACTCTCATGAACAAATCATTTTAAGACTAGTATCTGGCAGGTTTGGTCTCATTCTTTGTGCATAGATGGCTTATATTACGCATATTCTCACTCAGAAAATATACAGTTATCTGAGAATCACAACAACAAGGTTCATAGCTGTTGAAATATTAATGTGACTGCTAGCAGCCTGCCCCCACTGCCTGATAGCTCATTTCTGAGCTTATAGAAAGTTTATAAAAAATCTCAGGAGCCTCTAACCAGGTCTTTGTAGTATAATATGCCTCAAAGAATTACTTACAGCTGCTTCCACTTGGGGACACATCTAGCAATCAATTTTACACACCTTTTGCACTCAGACAGTGTACTGCATAGAGACACTTCAGTGATAGCTGAGTTCTGGGATAGTGCACAGTTCAGAGGAGAATAGGCATCTATACAGATGCCGGTGGCTAAGCATGTATTGAGCTTATTACAGAAGGATATTTGTATTTATATTGGTACTCAATAAGCCAGTGGCTTCGAGCAATGTTTGATGCAAATCGCTGGTGATGTGTGCTGGTAGCCGGTGGAAACCTGCGAAGCCCAGCGGGATCCAGTGTGTCTCACTGCCACCCACTGATACTCACTGATACCCACCAGCCAACAGCGGCAGCCACTGGAGACTAGCACTGGACTTCACTGGATACCAGTGGGTGCCGGTGAGTACACCCCATATTCAGTGGAATTTGGTGTAGTTGCTAGTCCCGGGCATATTACTGACAGCGCGGCGGCCCTCGGATGCTCTGCTCTGCGGTTGTTGTTCTCTCTTCTCCTAGCGCACATTGTCATCACTCTAGATACCAAAGATACTTTGACTTATGCGACTACGTCTCATAAGACTTCGCAGATACCTACTGGCCTGCCTGTGCGCAAATTCGCCAGTCTCCCAATATATCCAACCCTCCGGGTCGTGTAGAACACGCGCAAGAAAGCGCCGTCGGTGTAGGACGATTGAAGGCTTCAAAGGGGAGTGGAATGTGCTGTGTCGCGTATGAATATACAATATTTAGCTGGTGTATGGGTTGTATGTAACCCGACGGTTACACGGGCATGATAACGGTACTCGACTCCCCCGGCACGGACACCTTGGTGGCGTCTAACGGCACCACTTTTTATCTTATTATGGACATTTTGCTTCTACTTTCGGACTCACTTTTCACATTCTGCTCGTGCTTCGAGGACTCTCACCTCGCCCTTATATACCACTCCCCCTTCGTTCCGTCTCTTCAGTTTTGCCTCACGGAACAAAGAATATATCACGTTCCCACTCTTTATCGTCTGATCTCAGTGTTCTTGGCCGTCCGCGTAGTCCGGTTCCATCGTGTTTTCTTTCCCACATCCTCGAATCGCTTCAGAGGCTGTGTTGTGCTCTATCCCATGCTGCCGCAGGCCAGCCGTCACGTTGCATCTGCGAGAGTTCCTATGAAATTAAAAGGATAATGAGCTATATGACTCCCTCAACGTTGCCAGCGACATACCTGAATCATGGCGGCCGTCCGCGCACTACAGTTCGGAGAATTGATTCTCTGAACGAAAGAAATGTACTGATCCAAGCGCGTACGTATGTTGTGGTTGGCGCGGTGAAGGCATGGCCCGACCGTCAACAAAAACACGCAGACGAATCGGGCCTGTTGGTCGCTAGGAGCTGTATATTGCGTGTCATATTCCGAGAATGTATTGTTGAGACAGCGGAGGGCATCGTCGTTGGCCAAGGCGCCCGCCGCCACCAGCTCGCCAATGAAGCGCACTGCGGCATATTCACGTTCGTGTGCGGCGGAAAGAGTGTTTTTGTCGTCGCCACTTGGTAATTCTGTGGCATCTGAGTGCAAGATAAGATCAGTGACGCGCCGAGAGCCAGTTGTATGGGCTGTACACGTACTTGATTCTTCCGAGCCTTGTGTCGTCGAGTCTATTTTCAGGCGAATGCTGTCGGCTTCTCTGAGGCATTTATTGAGGAGACAGCTACGGAACCAGTGTCTCCCCTCGTAATCTCTATCTCCAGGACATTGAAAATTTGCCGGGATCTCGCCCGTAAGTTGTTGGCACAGTAGACTGCATACTCGAGCGGACGCCCGATCGCTCATTGCCTTGTCGTAGACTAGGTCAATAATCTGCTGGAGAGTCACAAAGTCATTACCCCGCGTTGTAGGATCGATCCACTGGGCGATTTCGCGTGCGATGGGGCCGATATTGTCCGGTATCAACTTCTCCAGGAGTGGTGCAATTTCTGTTTGTACCACTGAGGACAGAACGTGTGCCAGTGTCCTAGAGGCGATATTTTGCGTGCTGTCTGCAGAGGCAAAGAGGAGGAGACTGGAAGAGTCGAATCGACGATGAATCTCGAAGTAGAGCTTCTGCACTTTCGCAGCCTCAGTCCCGGGCTCGGCCAGTGTCGATTCCTCCATCTTTATAAGCTGTGGAATAGAATCTGGAGGTGGAATAGGATCGACACGCGGAAGGGCCTCTATCTTTGTGGTGACCTCTAGGACAGGAACGAAGTGTGGAAAAGACGTCATGTTTGTAACCTCTGAAATAGAATCAGGAGGTGTGAAAGTCGCCGCCTTCGTGACAGACTTCATCGCATTTGCGACGTGAGCAGAAATCTCGCTCACTTCGGACGGCTGCACTGCACGAAGCACAGTCTCCCGGACAGACATCACCACCTCGACGTCTTCCGCCTCAATAGCCCTGATCTCTGCAGCCGTAAGTGGGTGGGGACGCTGACACAGCGAGATGTATGCTGCCGAAAGCCAACCAGCAATCGAGTGTGAATGGCTCAGAGCAATCTTCTCGGTAGGGCTAGCGATCAGCTCGAGACGTTCAATGGCGAGGTTGCGGATGCCGTCGAACGACCACTCGGTGGCGAGGCGCAGAACAGCCGACCACTCATCGACAGAGGTGATATTAGGCATGCGATAGCACCTAAGCGACCCATGAGGCTGGCAACGGCGAAAGAGACTAGGAATGACACGTACGTCGAGTACAGCACAGACAGGAAAGCGTCGAAATCGGAGGATTTCTTGTCAGCCAAATCGAGAGGCTCGGATGGCACGCAATGGGCGAAGATGCTCGCGAAATGGGGCGACTCTCTGGAGAATAAGTACTGGTGAAGGCGGTACTTGAAGCCTCCGACCTAGGTGCGGATTAGACTGCAACCGTGCGAGGGTGCAAGTGTCACGCACCAGAAACACGGTTGAACCATCGTCGAAATAGTACTTGGGATGCTTATTTCCACCGGAAGAACCTCGATTGACAAAAAAGGCAGAACCACAGGTCTGCGCCGTCGGAGAAGGTGCTGCACTTTCCGACATGAATGACATGTCGTGTATGTCGGCGAAAGACCCGGTATCGCTGATAGATAGATTGAAATTTTCGGAAGGAGGCCCAGATGACATAGAATGATGTCTTGTTTGAAGGGCTTGTTCGACCCACGGCTGTCACCGTCCTGGACAGACAAGTCGCAATAGGGGAACAGGAAGTTGGCGTGGCGTCGCGACGCTTGAGCTTGAGGTAGCGATATATATCGGCAGGGTGCGATGAGGAGTTAAAGTACCTCTAAGTTCTGAGCCTTATGCACTGCTGTTAGTAGAATCGCGCAGGCGGGGGATTCACGAGAGCTGAGACCAGACAATGCAAGGAGCCTTCAAGTTAACGGGCGCCGGCTCTCAGAGCGCTCTACCTCTCCAGATTGCGTTGACGCGTGTCGGGAGGCGCCTGATGCGCTCTGGGGTTGGCGCCTCGCTTGCCGAGTGGCAACTCTGCTGTTGGTGTCCTTTAAGAAATTTTGCAAGGGCTCCGTATGTTTATGTCGCCAGATCTCTATTCGAAGTGGTTGGGAAGAAGCAAACTGTAGCACCTACCATTTTTAGACAAAGACATCGCGACGCCGCCCGGCGCCCGATAGATTAGACGGCGGGCCAATGCTCCGCTCCTGACTACGCCTGTTGTACTCTCTCTTGTCTCCTGGCATGCGCTGTCATTGCTTTAGATACCAGAGATGCTTTGAATATTACGACTTGGCCTCATAAAACCTCGCGGACACCCGCTGCGCCTGCCTACGCGCAGTTTCGCCAGTCTCCCGAGACACCCAGTCCTCCAGGTCGTGTAGAACACGCCCAAGGAAGCGTCTCTGGCATCATGTCGGGGCATCATGTCAGTCTTACAGGTGATGAATATGCGCCCACTCCATATCCCAAGCAGGCTGTGCATCCCGATGGTCTCGCATTGCGAGAGGGCACAAGGGTTAGCAGGCGATGCAGACACTGCTGCCATTATCGTAAGCTATGACATATTTCGTGTCTTACTTGGCTAACCTAACGTCTGTAGCATGTGTGTGTTACTCGCGACAATCGAATTCACCACGCAATGGAGAAACAGCTGAGGATATCATCAGCAGAGAGCCCATCCTATGGGAACCCATCAACCCCATGGTGGGCAATTATCTCAAAGGGCGAAGCACAAGTGGTCAGGAACTTTTAGCATCGCAGTCTGGCGGCGGGCGCGGCCTTACGCCGCCCATGACACGGGTCGAGTATTTTGCCCAGCCAGACGGAAGCTACAAGATCCTCACCACTCCGTCGCGTGAGCCATCTCGACTTCCCCCAGTACATATTCCTGCGCCTGGATCTATGCCAATGCAAACCATGGTCCCTGCACGCCCAGTACAGGTGGCAACACCGGCCCAGGTCGTGACACCGGCTGTCCGGCCTGTCCAAGTCGTTGGACGACTTGTACAGCCGGTGCCGGTCGTGACACCAGTTGTGCAGCCAATAAAGGTCCCAGCGCCTGTACCAGTAGCGGTGCCAACTTGGTCGCCTCCACCGGCATCTGCTGTGTCGCAGCGACTGCCCCCTTTCGCTGCGCGGGTCTGGCCGCCGCTTCCTAGCATGCCCGCGATGCCGATAGTCTCTCTGGTGCTCCCAAAGGATGGCGATGGTCTTTCTCGGCTTCATCCGGCTGATCCGCGTGCAAAGGTCCTGAAAGCGCTAGCGTCTGCCTCTCTCGATGGCGGCGCGGCACCAATTAGTTCGCACGGCTCTCCGAGGGACACGAGTCCGCCACCCGTTAGTCCTTTGCCTTTCGCACAGACATTCCCTCCCCCAGCTTGCAACGCATCCCCAAGCGGAGCCGCTCAAAGTGTCTCCGCGGCGCCGCAGTGGGCGTCTAATCCCGGCGACACCCTCGGGCCAGTCGCGCTGAACCCTTTGCTCGACTGGCATACCTTGCAGGAGCCGCACATCGAGTGGGACATCTCCTCCTCACCACGGAACGCCACGCTCATCCACGTCGCGCACGGACAGAAGGTCGTCACCGCGCCCGCGCTGGCGACGTTCCTCGCAGACGCCCTTTGGCCCGCGGGGACGCACTCGCTGCGCCTCGAGGTCGCGCACGCGCGTTGGCCGCTGTGCGCAGAACAGTGGGGCCCCGTGCACGTCACACCCGGAAAGAAGGGCTTCGTGAGCGTGCTCGACGTGCTCGCGTGCACGTACCACTACTTCGGCATGCCGCTCACGGATGCGGACTGGGAGTATTTAGGCGCTGCAGACGGCCTGGACGCGGGGAGTAGTGAGCTGAAGCGAGGGTTGAGGGCAGATTTGTTGAATGTCGAGAGGCTGTGGAACGGTGAGAGGCCTCGTTGAACCTTGGGGTGCTTTGACGCTGACAGACCGCGTTTCTGCAGGACTGAAGCTCAAGACCGTCGAGCGCGACGTGGTCACCTGTGTCCTGCAGCTCCGCATCGCAGACACCACAGCTACCCACCACACATCCAACTCGCTCCGCCCACCGTCCGTACCCCCGAAGCCGCCGTCTTGCCACACCACGCCCCAGCCATCACCCTCGGGCGAGATACACATCATCGGATTCCTCCTCCAGCACCCCAAAGAACTCTCCGCGCCGCGTCTGCGCTGGAGCGTCGCCGAGCCTCCGCAACAGGCCTCTGTAGAGGAGTGCAGCGCGCAGGGGAAGCTCGTACGCCAGCTCGGCGCCGACGACCTGCAAGAGCGCGCAGTGCTCTTGCGCGGCGGCGTGCTGCATGTGCACTTGAGCCACAACATGGAGCGCTCCTGGGGGCCGGTCGTCGTGTGCGCACGCGATGAAGAGAGCATTGTTGTGGGTGATGTGCTCGGGGCGGTGTACAGGTATTTGCAGGAGCGGCTGGATGGCGAGGATTTGGCGTGGCTGAGGGCACAGGGAGTAGAGATGGAGTTGAACAGGGCGGAGGAGTTGAAGCGCGTGGACGTTCTGGGCACGCGCACGCGGTGGGATGGTGAGTCGTGTCTTGCGAATTGAAATAGCTGTCGCTCACTGTGTGCCATACAGGCTTGCGACCCGAGCCTGGTCCCGGAGAAACCATCAGATGGTGGCTTAAACTCGGGGAGGCGTAGACATGTAGTCCACCGCGGCTCATCCTGTCCTGCTTTATGATATCGGATACTCCCAGCTATATTTTGATCTTTGCATACATTGTATAATACATGTTCTCTATGCCCTACATTGTGTTTAATAGAATGCTGGCGCTAAAACATATCAATTGGACACTTACCCCGTATCTGCACACTCATTCCTTTACAATCTCCCAGTCCAGTTCTTTCCCAGCCCAGAACGGCACGACGCTGTCCTCTCCCTGCGCCCACACCTCCGGCACCTTCGTCTTCGAGCGCCTCAGGACGACACTCTCGCCCTCGCGCGCCGGCCTTCGATAGAACGCGCGGCCATGCGTGCTCACGAAGCCCTCGAGCTGGTCTAGCGCGCCAAATGACTCGAGTAGGTGCGCCACGAGAGGAAGCAGGACGGGCGATGTGTAGATGCCCGCGGCGCACGGCGAGCTTGGCGTCGCAGTCGACTTTTTGTGCGGCGGGTGCGGCGCCGAGTCCGAGCCGAGGAAGAAGCGCGGATGACCTTCCATCCATTATCATTGGATACCCCCAGGAGAATCTAAAAGGAGGCGGAGGACGCACCTTCGCGGATGACCTCGCGCAGCGCCTCGCGGTCGTCCGGGTACTTGGCGACAGGCTTGCAGAAGCCCCAACTTTGGCCGGCCCAGTCGTCGACGGTGAGCGCGAGGTGGTGTGCGGTGATCGTACACGCGACGGTGTCACCGAGCGCACGCACGCACTCGACCGCGGCGCGCGTCGTCGCGTGCTCGAGCACGATGCGCAGGCGCGGGAACGCCGCGTGCAGCGCGCGCAGGTGCGGGAGGAACCGTGGCTCCGCGTTGAGCACGCACGTGTTTGAAGAGGGGGAGGACGAGGATGGGACCTCGCCGTGCAGGTTGAGCACCATATCGACGTCTTGCATCGCTTCGAAGATGGGGTAGTACGCCTCGTAGGACTCGATGCCGCCCTCGGAGTTGGTCGTCACGCCGCGTGGATACGATTTTACACCTTCACATGACTCGTTGTTCAGATAGTATAGGCAATGGAGAAGACAAGCGGCGCACCATAAACACCAGCCGCCTTGGCCTTCCGAATCTCCAGGGGCGTCAGTTCCGGTGAGAGATAGAGGGTCATCATGTACTCCACGGCGGGATCGATCGTCTGCAGCTGCGCCTTGTACAGTAGTGCCTCCTCGGTGGTCTTAATTGGCGGCACCAGATTCGGCTGGCGTTTGAGGGCGGACGACGAGCAGTGTTTGCATGAGCGTTTGCAGACTGAGGCGAGAGTGCCGTCGTGCGCACCATCACGTACGCGAGGCCGAAGCCCCCCTCTCTGACATGCGTCGTGACGAGCTCGGCAAAGGTACCCTGGCGAAGGTGGACGTGGAAATCGGCGGGCGCGGTGACGGCGAGGGTGTCGGTCATCGTGGTCGAGAGTTGAAGAAAGATCAAGCAAGACTCGTGAAGCGCCCCTTTGGTGGCAGCCACTTGCACTGGGTGGTAAGCGCGCTTTTTTCCGGCGTAAAATTGGCCAAAAACTGATTGAACAAGGCCCCAACTTTCTCCGGTTTTCACTTGAAAAAAACCGAAGGCAAAACTCAGTTTTCCGCCAGTTTTACTGTGTTTTAGACCGTTTTGGCTGGTTTTGCACCAGTTTCTCTTCAGTTTGCATCGGCGTAGAATCGAGGAATAACGGGGCCTTGTTTAGCTGCTTTTGCCTGAGTTTTCTCAAGAAAAAAACTGCGCTTACCACCCTGTGTTGCTTGTCTGGCGGCCATCATGTAATAGATCTCAATAAATCTTGGGACATTCTCTGAATATGATGAATATCAGAAATAAGCAGAAATAAGCAGAGGTGACGTATGATTATTCTGTGCCTATGAACAGAGCTTTCAAGTTGTGATTATAACGGTCCTAAGACTACTTCAAAGTTCATGCACAGAAGGGGAATAATATAAGTCTTCTAAGAATATCTAGATACAGTACTATATGGGTGGGCGGCATGTGAAGATGTGGTAGTTGGGACACATGCCCTTGTATTGATGCTCTGCTATGCTGCATGTGCAGTAGCACAAGAGGCCGGCGTTGTTTCTGCTGAATGTTTTGTACATAATGTAGGAATAATTTTGAGAGGCTCATGTGTACCTGAATGATGCACGGTGGGAGCCTCGCATCTAGTGCAACGGGGGCCGTGTAGAGCTGTTTCCGGTTGGGCGAGAACCATAGTAATGAAATATTATACCACGATGCGTCTGCCAGGGCCTTGATAAGGCCTCTGCAGCACTTCGATTATGGCATGTTCAAAGCGTCCCATGACACTCATTTTCCAGGAAGTAGGTCAAGATTGCATGTCCTCGGTCGTCCAGGAGTGCGGTGACATGACCGGTCTGTGACCTACCATGCCATCTTGGGAAGTTAGCATCACGCAGCTTCGGCAAGCCCCGGTGAGTTCGGGGGTGAATTTCAAATTAATTGTCGTAGTTCCAGATACCTTGACAAGCAAGGTAATTGCAAATCGCTACTAGTAGCGCCGCTAGTCGACTATGACCAGTGAGCATAGTAAGCTATGGCAGTGTGGTCTTTGCCGTCAAGAGGAGCAAAGCGGATAGTAAACCTGGAGACCATTATCAGCAGAAGTAGGGGAGTGATGAGGAAAGTCGAAAGTCTACATTACATGTGAGATGAAAAATAAATAATAAATAGATCACCATCAGCACGTGACACAAGAGACGCCGGAACCATATAAAATTTGGAAGAAAAAAAGTGGCTTCTTGTTTGGCCAGCTTTAGCCAAGCTCTGCCAAAAGAAAACTAGTACCCTGTGGGTGCGCTCGGACGCGCACATTTGTCGTGCAGATTTTAATCTGTAACGTTGTAGGTGAGTGTAACCACCCTTCCCTTCGCCGCAAGCGACAACAGGCATAAAATATCTGCATTTTTTCAAATAGGGGGCAGATGCAGTCAGTAGCAACTGTCAGAGTGGTTGTCGCAGGATGACAGCTGGGCTGGCTGCAGCTGCATCGGCGACGTTGCCATGAGTCGAGCGCTCAACGGCTGCGCGGTGCGTTCCACTAGTTTGTCCCCGGAAAGATTAATGATTACTGACAGGAAAAATCTGTTAGATGGGTTTTTTTTAACAGCGTAGATGGAAAGCGGTGTCAGTCGCAGCAAATATTCTGCTGACGCAGATGCCCCGACTGTCTGTCAGCTAGCTTCTAACAGCAGTTACTCCATCACGCTGCTGCTGCCCGGAGGTACGATGCTGGAGCTGGCAGCTTATGGCCGACATATGGAGCACGAACTGCTTGTCGACTTACAGTTCGGGCGTCCAACTTTCCCGTGCGAAACCATCAGGCTCGTGGCGCCGGAATTCTCCCCGCCATCGATCCCATCGCTTGCGCATACCAGCTCGCTCTGCCCCATCATAGCTGCTCTCAGACTGACACACACCGCTTCTCTCGTTGCTTATGTTCCTCCTCTATCGTCCACCGTCTGCTCCAGATGAAATTTATTCGTCTAGCCTTGCGACGCTTCACGAGGGACACGCCCTCTGGTACCCAGAGCCACATGAGTCGGGCGAGCCGCAGATCGGGGATGTCGGTTTCGTACACAGGGGCGCATTCATCAGATTATTCAACCTCGACACCTCCGCGCCCGAGAAGAAGGTCACGTTCTGGCCAACGCCATTCGAGGATATAGAGCCTCTCCCCCCGCATGTACTCCAGATCGATCGCAGGCGTCGCCCGCTTCTTCCCATCCACTATCGTAGCCATGGAGTTGAGAGCAGGCAGATACATGCCTCGGCAGACGTGTAAGTGCACTCGCTTGTCCGATTGATGCATCCTACTGATGGTCTGCAGATCGGCTGGTACCAACGTCTCCGTGGGTCTCAGCACCGAATACACGTGCAAAGCGGCACAAGGCGCGGTGCTTGCGTTGAAGAGCCAGGCGTACGCCGAATCGATATTCGACAACTTAGTCCTGAAAAAGTACATTATTAGGAACCACGACAAATGGTACGCATATGTCAAGGGCGTCCTTGGCCAGGACATCAAGCCGGAGGCCATTGTTGTGGTCCACGGTTGGGTCAAGACCGAGGCCGACTGGACGGCGGCTGCCTTCAGTAACACGAGCACGAGTTCCAGTGTCTCGCTTGAAGGCCAAGTTGGTGGCGTCGCAGGGCTGGACATGGGCACATCACACACAAGCTCCATGACTGGCCCGACGATGCAACGACAAGGCGAATACTTGGAGGACACGTCCATTCCCCGTCCAGTGGAGACGAAGAGAGACCAGAGCGTCTTCGTGAGGCGTCTCAAGATGCGAAGGCGGTTTGGGTTCCTGAAGAAGATCGTCGCGGGTGCGGGATACCATCAGCTTCCCGACCCGGGAGATGCGAAAGGTGCTTCAGGAGGTGGGGTTGTGACACAGGAGGTGGGGGGTGTTGACGAAACGAGCGCTCCGGAGCTCGAAGGCGAAGTACGTGTAGCGCTATAGTGCATCAAGAAGGACATGGACTAATGAGATATCAGAGAGAGGCCTATGATCTACTGGACATCCTTCTCGACTACATCTTCGAGGTACGTCCACCTAGCTGCTTAGTTCGTCATGTCGCGGCGCTTAGAGATCCGTGGCAACAGACTACCGACGCCGAGACTGCCATTGCAAGTGATGACGACGTCGAAAGTATTATTGTACGTATCCTGATGAGTGTCCGATAAGAGCGCAGACTCATTTTTATTCAGGGTGGTAAAGTGGTGATCGACTTTGCGAGCCACCTTCGTCAAATGCAGCCTCCGGTGGAGATCGACGGCACGCGTAAGTTTGTCATCTTCTCCGCACAGCTGTATCTAAGCACAATGACCTGTCGGGAAGTTGGCTCACTCTGCATGGAAGACGTGATCTCCCATGAGCACAATCGCACTTTCGCTCGTCGTACCATCACCGCTCCCGATCGCGCGATATGGTCGGGCGTAACCTTAGATGGTGCCGGTCGCTCGGAAGACGGACGGGTCTTCACTGGCCCCACGAAAGCGGAGACGCGACCCTTGAAAACGAAGCGGCTGGCCTTCTTCGACTCTCAGAATCCATCTAGTCGTTGCAGATGCTTCGCTTCCTCCGCTGATGGCAAGCTTCTGGCAGCATCGTTCGAGGGTAACGACATCCTTGTCTGGCGACTATCCGATGGTCTACTGGTTCAACGTCTACACCATCAGGGTCATACAGATCAGGTCTCTTCCCTCTCATTCTCCCCTATCGATCATACTCTTGTCTCAGGGTCGAAGGACAAGGCTGCAATTGTCTGGAATATTCAAGATGGTCGAGTACTTCTACGTCTGGAAGGGCACGGCGGTCCGATCACGATGGTCACATATGCTCCTAATGGCGCGCTCATTGCTACTCATCCTGTTAAAGGCAAATACGTGAAGGTTTGGAATGCAACGACTGGAGAGTGCCTGCATACTTTCAGCTTTGACGAAGAAATATTCGAGTTCGCCATCTCCGCGGATAGCTCACGTCTTTGCGCCCAAAAAAGGAAGTCTTGCCTCATCTACGACCTACACACGTATACGCACATTGCTACATTACAACATCATGTGGGCACGGAAATTTTCTGGTCGGTCTCTCATCAAGGAGATCGTTTAGTCACCACTGCTGGATCGGGGTCAAATGAGATAAAGATCTGGAGCGCGGTGACTGGCGAAGACCTTCTCACAATCAAACACTCAGAAAACCTTTCATATGTCGCGACATTCTCTCCAGACGGCGCCGAGGTGTTGGTGAATTGTAGTTTGGACGGAGCCACTCCTACCTATGACTCACGGACGGGCCAGCCACGTCGCGCCTACAACTTACCAGAGAGGGCAAATCGTGCAGCGTATTCTCCAAATGGGGACTGCCTTGTTTTGCGCCCCTACTTCGAACCTCTTGAAGCTTACGATACAAAATCCGCAGCATTTCTCGCGCAGCTCGAGGTTGGTGGAGATCAAGATGCTGTCATGGAGATTCGATTTCTTTCTGACAGCCAAACTCTCGTCACACAATTAGACAGTGGACCTTTACTTTTGTATAACATTCAGGATATACTGCGACTGCGGTAATGTAGTGTTTGCGTAGCAATGCTTGGCTCGGAAACTATGATCAATATGATGCAAAAGATGCTAGCATATATGCAAAGCTGGCAAGGAAGGTGCAGGTAGTCATCACGACATTTCGCTGGTCGCCTTCGTGCCCACCCGGAGACACGTTGATTCTGTAGATGCGACCATGAGTGTAAGGAAGAATTTTGAAAAGGTCTGAAGCCCAATATGTTTGCGAGCGCTGCTGCATGCCGAGCAGCTTTGTGGCATTCAGGCTGCAGCGCCCGCAAGTATAAGAGACAATATCATCGTACTAATTGCAAGTAAAGCTACAGATTGAGTAAGGAAAAGTCGTAAGTACATCAGCGTCGTGTCCGATCGTTGATAATCCCAGGCAGGGGTCCGTATATGTCGAGAAACATGGAAACTATTGACTAGGGCCAAACCAAGGTCGTATGGGAGATTTATGCCAGTTTCAAGCACGTCTTGCTTGCAAAAGGTATAGATTGAAGCTCACTGTCTGGTCACCTGGAACTGATGGCGGGACACGGTATAGCCCTGTAGAAACGTAGGTGGTCAGCATCTGGTCCAAGCGAGACGAAGCATCGACAACTTACCGCACCACCTCCTGTTATCACCAAGCATATCGATGCGCTTGAAGCCTTGGTTCCATTCAACCGCCGACAAGTTGTCCGAGTTCTTGACTCGTTGCCGGAACGCATCCAAGAGTGCCTCGTAATTCGGGTCCCCGCCCTTCCCGAGCCAATTCTCGAACGCACACATGTCCTCGAAGTATAGCGGCTGCTGAAAGTACGCGTACACGCCGTCGAGCACGTCTCCAACCGAGACGTCGCCCTTGGCGTTGCAGCGCACGACGATCGGGCCCCAGCGCGCGTGCACCGCGGCCGCCACGGGCACGTTGCCGAGCGTGACGTGCACGTCGAGGTGCGGCGGGTACAGCGCCGGCTGGCGGAACTCCTTCGGCGTGATCGGCTTCACGAGCACGCGGCCCGTGACGTGCTTCACCGTCGCCGCCGCCGGCATGTGCGCGACGTCCCACTTGAGGTGCGGGTACGACGGCTCGACCGGGTTCAGCCCCAGCGTCGGGATCAGCGCGACCCCCGGCGCGCTCTGCCACAGCCACTCGGGCGGCGAGGGCCAGCTGCCCGGGGACGTCATGGTGGGCCAGGCAGGCGTCGCGGCGGGCACGGCGGAGATGACGGGCGTTGCGACGCTCGTGGGGAATGCGGCGGGTGTCATTGCGGGTGTGGCGACTGAAAGAGTTGCCAGGGGAGTGGCAGCCGTCCAGTACGGGGCCGAGAATGTCTGGGCGGGAGTAGTGTTGCTGACCCCCAGCGGGAGTGGGACAGCCATGGGCGTGAAGACCGCTCGCACGCCTGAGGGCACAGGCTGCCCCGACTGGAAGTCCCGGCCTGGTGTTGGATGGTCCACCCAGATCGCATTAGGGTGATTAGGATTTGGGACGCCGTTCATGACAGGTCCAGGGCCCAAGCGCTGCGAAAATGTGACGTCGTTGCCCACGGGCATCATTGGGGCGTTGTGTGGAGGCCCCTGCTGAAGATGCGGGGCGGGGAATATGGCGGGGCTGAAAGCGCCGGGGACGAACGCAGGCTGAACGATGGGTGTCGCCGGCGGTATGGCGTCAGGCAGAGCAGCTTGCCGAGCACCAGGCGTCGTGATCGTAGACGCACCGCCATTCGTCCACTGCACATGCGTCGCCAGACTTGGCGCGAGCTCGCCAGCCGGGTTCTCGAACGCCCACACCTTCTCCCCGCTCGGCGTAGCCCCAACGAAGCCGCGGCTCGACGCGGGATTCACGGGCGTCCACGACACGGGTTGGTTTGCTACGGCGGCCCGGCCGTCCTGCAGCCCTCGCGCGGAAGGTATCGATGCTGCGGCAACGCGTCAGTCAGAGCGTCGAGGGAGCGAGCGCACATACGCACGATCGACACCCGTGTTGTACTTTCTCGTGTGACTCCTGGAATCTTCGCGCAACACAGGCCGACCAGGCTGGACTGTCCGGTGGTGGGGCTCGTGCGGGCCGCCGTGGTCCCAGCTCGAGACGTAGCCCCGCGCCCACATGGGCGGCCCAGGCTCTTCCTTGTCAGCACTGCACAGAAATGGAAAGCACGGCATGGCGTGGAGTCGTCGTTGGCGAGTTGCTTGAGCTACGCTGTAGCTCTGACGGAGGGCCTGCTGGACGGATGAGTCGGGGAAGATAGTAGGTGGCGAACCGGCGCACCGAGCACAAAGTCACCAGGCCCACCCTTAAATGTACTCTGCCATGAGTCACGTATAACAGACCGTTACAGACGACAGGCGGACAGTCCAAGAAAACGGCGAGAACAACAGGTCGTAGTCAAGCAGGTGTGAGCTGCAACGGGCGCTTTTGCTATTGTGCGCCGTCAACCCGGGAAGCCTTTCTTCCCGAAAAAGGCAAGTACTATGGTTGCCTGGAGACTTTCTTTTTCTTCCTGGCATGCACGCTGCCCACTCATTAGGCAGGCTTTGCATCGGCACATCACATGTTTCGGCGCACCATCATTTGGGCTGAGCTGGGAGACAATGGGGGGTGGTCTGGTTGCAGATCGGACTTGGTTACAGTAGGCGGGGCTGATCCAAGATCCCGGCAATGGGAACCCGAAGCATACGGTCTGTTATTCGCACCGCGACATGTACGTGCGCCGCTCGGAAAATTACTATCTGGCAGCATTAATGCCGCGCAGTCCAATGTTCTTTTGCGTTGCGCGTTATAGAGATAGCCTAAAGCGAGGAGACGAATGACGATAGAAACTGTCGTATCGACAATGAGATGGCGCCGCAACAATCTGCTGTGTCATTCCGCAGAGAATCATACGCGACGAAAGAAACGAGAATTGTGATCGAAGTCTGAGACGGAGCCACGCTCGGGGCATCGGCCGTGAGCGTCGGCGTCGACCGAATCGTCATTCGTGCGTGCGAGCCAGAGCGACCAGAGCATAGTGCGCTGTGTAGTAGTCGTTCAGACGTGTCCGAGTTTTACCCACCATTCACCGAAATTGTCGGAACTCGTCACGAAGGGCAAACCGAAAGGTCGGTGAGCGAGCGAGCACCATCTTGAACAAAACTTGCCACACCGCCGCGTCCGACCACTCAGCATGGGTACACACATCTCGACACCTCGGCCCGCCTCAAGTTTTTCGCTCCCGCGAGACTCCACGCCCACCTGGGGAGCCGCATCCGGGGTGGCACGGCCCTGCCGGAGACGCAGTGGCGGCGATGTGTGTTGTTGTGTGTTTGCGTGGGGCTTGGAGGCCAGAGGTGCCGCCGCCTGAGGAACGGCATGGCGAAACCGGCGCACGAAGGAAGCAGTCACGCCGCTCCTGGTACTGTTACGAGACCCGCAGACCGCCAGCTCGTCTGCAATGGCTTCCCTTGGTATCGCAGAGAGGAGGAGAGACACGACTCGAGATTGGAAGAAGAAGAGAAAAGAGAGAAAAAGGACGGCACGCGTAGCCAAGCGCGGCACCGGCGCCACGCACCCGGAGGCGTGGACCCCCAGTTCCGCTGACATATAATTATCAGACATGTGTCCGGGAAAGGAAGTTCTGTCGTGTGCTCTGCGTGTGGCGGATCAAAACAGACTGTTCGTCGCCAGCGTCCTGGACAGGTGTGCGCGATGCGCTGGAGTCATGTATGACGCGGGTGGAGCACGGAGAAACGGTGGCTTGTATTGTGACATAAGCAAGTTTAGTGGCGCGAGGAAACTGAGGCGTTTTTCGAGGAAGGGTCGTAAGCTCGTGTGCGGTGATCGGAGGCGTACGGAGCGAATGTAACGGGCCTGGAGAGCTCTGAGGTAGGACGAGTCGAAAGCGGATATATTTGTTTGGTGCCATGTCTTCCTTGCCAAGATTCCACGACGTGCTGGAGTTTAGCGCTATCAGTGGTACGACGTCGTCCAGTTGAGAGTATTCGATGCCAATGATGGTACAGTACTTGGACGAATGCAACGAGGTCAGAGACGTACCCGTTGAACGGAGTTGCTTGCGCATTGGCCTGTTCTGCAGCTTTGCATGCACGCAATGCATCCGGTCCTCGACACGAAATGACCGACGGTCACCAAACATATAGCGAGGGCCCTAGCAAGTTCCATGCACACGGGCCGCCGCAACATCGCATGACCCAGGTTATCGCAGCGCTCAGCCGCAGATAAGAAACCACTTTACGCTTGCAAGGCCGGGGGCGAACAACGGAGTTCAGACGTACGTTGCGGGCCAGCTGATGATGCATTTCGTGAGCCTATCTGCGGCTGATTGATGCTGTGCACGCTCGAGATCTATTGGGCCGTCAGTCTTGCGGGGGAGATTGCAGGTGAGATTGAGCAAAGGTTCAAAGATGTGCGTTTTGCTCGCTTGCTGACAGACGGACATGGGAACGCGGAGGGAGCGGCGGCAGACGGGCTGCATGCAGGCTGGAGATGCACACGGAGCGTGCAACTGAGGTGAATGGGCTGGAGAGAGAGAAGGCACGGACGGACAAAAGGCCGTTCAAATTCGAGGTCCGGGCACGCTAGCCTGATGTCCGAGCTCCCAGGCTGGCGTCTGTGTGTCCGGGGGCTGTGCAGGCCGAACGCAGGGCATCCACCGGCGTCATGCGCAGGGGGGGGGGGCGTGAGAGCGGTCGAGGGAACAGATCTCGCCACGAGGCGCGATACGATCCCAACCGGCGGGATCTCGCAGGGCGTCCACGCTGGGGCGCGCGCGTGACGGTGTGGCGCCTCGCTGGGACGTTGCGGCGAGACGTGCGTGCGAGGCGCGATGGCGAGTGCGAGAGGGGCCCGTCATGGCAGTCGTTGGGCGCGTGCACGCTCGTCGGGTTGTCAAGCGGAGTCGAGTGGGCCGACGGGCGGAATCTTGGGTGCTAGAAGAGGCGTAGCGTCGGGCAATGCCCGTGTATGACGGGAACGTACGGTGTCGAGATGCGTCAGCGGTGTGTGCGTGGCAGCGCTCCTGGCGTAACTATGGGCCGCAAGCGGGCGTGTGCGTGTCGTCCATGGGCAGCCTTTCCGCTCGAAAAAATGGGCAGGGAGGGGCTCGCGGGACCGATGGAACGCTGTTCGGAAGCGTGTGCGTCACTTGTCATTGCGTAAGGAAACGATCGAGCTGGCGGCAGCGGCCACGTGGCATGGTCGATCCATCGCGCGTTTCATTTGTTTACGGTTGTGGGAACGGCTTTCCTCCGTCAGTCACCCCGGAGGTCGTCCCATATACGTCTGTCCGCCCACCTCCGTTGGTGCGCATGCCTCGCTCTCAGAGTCGGGTTGGCATGATACTCCGTCTCTAGTCGCACTTCCTTCCTCCTTTTTTTTTTTTTTCGGGCACAGCCGCTGGGTGACGCAGAGTCGTCGGTGAAAGAGGACTCAGGCAGCGATGCAAAGGATGGACAGAGACGGGAAAGGAAAGGGCAAGGCACGGGAGGAGTCCGGTCGCGTCGATCCAGCCCAGGCATCTTCCGCTGCCCATCGGACGCCGACCTCATCCAGCAGCTCCCGGCAGCTCTCCTCTGCCCCCACAGCCTCTGTCCACGATGATCATGACCACACCCTAGGTGCGCTCTAACATCCTTCCTATATCTTTCTCTCAGCTGATGCCCCCCGCAAAGCCTCTGCCCACACCATGCACGACTCCGACCCTCGCCCCGCCATTGCACCCGCTCAGAAGACGATGGATAGCAGGCACGGTACCTGCCCATCGTCCGCCGCTCCCCGATCCACACAACATTCCGTCCAGCCCAGCACACATCGATCGTCGCGACCTTCCCCGCGCTCACTCAGCCTTCTTCTGGGCGTCCCTCCCGAGCACTTGTCCGTCCAGTACCCGCCAGCCCAGAACTCCTCCGTCGACGTCCAACGCGAACATGCGCACCCCGGCCGAGCAGCTCTCGCCATGGTGGTGCACGACGAAGCTGCTCGCACTGCGGACGCTTTCGACAGCCGTTCGCGAGCAACGCGGGAAGCAGAGACCTTTGCCGCCGCTGGCTCTGCTCCTCGCCCCCCGTTCGATTCCTCGAGACCATCCACCGTGCGATCCTCCTCTCCACCTCGAGGATCTTCTTCCGCCTTCCCTCCTTCAAATCCAGCCTCGACCCAGCCTCCACGCCCGGTTCGACATCCGCCTTCGACCCCCTCCTCTTCACCATCCGCGATGCACCCAGCTGTTGCTTCCGCACACTCAGAGGCCGCTCTGCCCGAAGAGAACCGTACTCTGCCCACCCCCGACGCCGATGGACCCCGGCCTGCCCATATCACATCGTCTTCCGCGTCCCCATCACCCGACGGCTCAAATATCCAATCTTCAAGCTTAAGCTCAAGCTCACATCATTCTCGCCCCCATTTCACACCCACCATGACAACAGAAGGCCCCCCGCATGCGCAGCCCTCGTCCATTGCGCGCCCGCATGCCGCTACTTCAAATTCACGCTTAATTCCTTTGTCCTCGGCGTCTTCCAACACTGCCTCCACATCACTATCATTGCCACCTCCGCCGTCCACGGCGCCTTCCCCACACGACACCGACGCCTTCTCCACCCTCGATCCCGCCACCCTGCTCCCACTGCTGCGCTGCCCCCTGTGCGTATACGAGCGCGCCTCGTCCTCGTCCTCGCGTGCCGCCGCGCTCGCGCCCACCGAGGCGCTCCTCGAGCAGCCCACGACGCTCCGCTGCGGCCACACGCTCTGCGCGGCACACCTGTCCGCGCTGCCCACCCCCGCTGCGGCGCTGCCGCCCGTCACAGGCGTGGCGCGCCCGTGCCCGCTCCCGACATGTCCGTCCCGCACCGGGCGCACGCTCCGCGCGGGCGAGGTGAGCACGTTCGTGCACCCGGAGGCGCGCGTCGGCTTTGTCCCTGCGCCGCCGGACGCGGATGCAGGGGACAACCATGGCGGTGGTGGTGGTGACGACGGGACACGGGACCCGGGGCATCGCGCGGACGTGCTCGTCCAAAAGGCGGTCGCACTTGTCCGGCGCGCGTACGGAGATGGGGAGGAGCAAGAAGAGGAGGCCGTGATCGGCGGCGGCGGCGGCGTGGCGCCGGACGACAGAACAGACGACGAAGACGAGGACGAAGAAGGCGCCAGCGGGACCGAGGCGGAGGGCAGGCTGCAGCAGCCTGCCGCACGTCCGTCCTCCCTGCGCAGACCGCACACGCCGTCAGGCCCCGGCAGGCCGCGCAAGCGACGCCGGCTCGTGCGCCACAGCGACGTGCGCGCCCCGAGGCACACGACGCCGCCGCGCGACGGCCGCGGCGCACCCACGTTCGAGAAGGAGCTCCTCGCGGAGCTGACGTGCGAGATATGCTTCGCGCTGCTGTGGCAGCCGGTCACGACGCCGTGTCAGCATGTGAGTCCTTCTGTCTTTTTTCTGCTCTGCGTTTGCCTTTTTTTTCTTTGCGCTCCCTGGCTGGTTTTACGTCGCCCGTCGCCACGCTCGTCCCCCCTGTTTCACACGCCCCTTGCCTTTTCGTCGCCCATCTCCGCTTTTTTTTCATTTGATGCCGCCGCTTTTACGTCGTCGCGGGCACTGCACGGCCTCCGCGCAGCAAGCTCCGCCGTGGACGGCTACTGTCTTTCCCTCCTCAGCAAGCTCCGCCGTGGGGGGAACAGCTACTGTCTTTCCAAAAATCCCCCAGCAAAGCTTGCTGCGGCTCCGTCTCTACACCGCTTGCGCACGCGCGCGCCAGGGCCACGATCGCGCCGCCTCCTTGCCACCCTGTCCCGTCCGGGCAGCCCCTGCTCCCGTTTTCTGCTCCTGGCATGCCATCCCAGGCGTGCTTGTCTCCGCATCCGGACTAGCACCACCCACCACCAGCCCAAACCCAGCCCAACCTCGCACGAGCGGAGCGCGCGCGCGCTCTCTCTCACACACATATACGCAGAGGGCCGATTGCAGCCGTGCTTCTGCTGCTCGCTTTGGGGCGCGGTTTGCTGAGATTGGAGGCGCGGGGATCTGGGCTGAGATTGGGGGCTGGGCTGGACAGGCGCAGGCGCAGGCGATGGGGCTCGAGATCGCGCGCGGCGAAAAGAACTCGCCGCCTGGCTTGGGATCTAGAAAGTGCTGGACGAAGGCGTGTGGCCTCGTCTGGATCGGGGAGCGCGACGGACATTTTCTGGGCCCCACGCCCCTGTTCGGCTGCGCGACGCTTGCTGGGACGGCTTCTGTCTCGCCTGCGCACTGTGGCGTCTGCCTTTTTTCCCCCCCGCACGGCATGCATGCTGACGGAGGCGGTTTGCGTCATTGTCTTTTTTCTTTTTACAGACGTTTTGCGCACGGTGTCTGCACCGCACGATGGACCACAGCAGCGCGTGCCCGATATGTCGCCAGACGCTGCCCGGATATGCGTACTTCCAGGATCACCCGTGCAACAAGGTCGTCCTCTCGCTTAGTAAGTCTTTTCGCGCGCGATAAGTTTCACCTGGCTGATTTCTGGGCCGTGATGACCAGTTTTGAAAGCGTTCCCGACGCAGTACGACGAACGCGGCGCGACGATCGAGGCCGAGGAACGTGACGCGCGCCTCGACACGCCCATCCTCGACGCGCAGCTGAGTTTCCCCGGCATGCCGACGATGTTGCACCTCTTCGAGCCGCGGTACGTCCCCCTCTGCTCCTGCGCACCCACTCACGCTGACATCCCTCCGCAGATTCCGCCTCATGCTCCGGCGCTGCCTCGCGACGCCGCACCCGTCGTTCGGGATGATCCCCCGGCCACGCGCGGCGGCGGCAGCGGGTGCGGGCGCGGACGCCGGGAACGACTACGGGACGATGCTCGAGATCCGGAACGTGCAGATGCTGCCCGACGGGCGCAGCATCGTCGAGACGTGGGGCACGTACCGCTTCCGGATCATGGAGCGCGGCGTGCTCGACGGGTACACCGTCGGGCGCGTCGAGCGCGTCGAGGACATCGTCGACGAGGAGGCGGATGCGGCGGACATTGCGGCGGCCGCGCCTGCGCCTGTGCACGCGCCGCACGCGTCGGGCGGCGGGGCAGGTGGTTCGGCTTCGGCTGGCGCGTCTGCTGCGGGTCCGGGTGGGTACTCTGCGGCGCCCTTCGCGGGGCCTTCCTCCAGGGCGGGCCACCACGGTGGCGCGGCTCCGCCGTCGCATGAGCCGAGACGCACGGGCGCGACGAACGCAGAGCTCATGACGGTGTGCCGCGACTTTCTCGAGGAGCTCACCGAGGGCACGCCCTGGGTCGGGCAGCACCTGCACCAGAGCTACGTCCCGATGCCGGCCGACGCCGTGCGGTTTTCGTTCTGGATGGCGTTGGTGAGTCTTGCGCCGTCTGCCCGTTCGTTCGTTTGGGAAGGGAAGGGCCGGTGTGCTGACGGTACGCGTTTGTCGACGACAGCTCCTCCCGATCCCGGAACACGAAAAGGCCAAGCTGCTGCCCATACGCTCGCCCCGCCTGCGCCTGCGGCTCGTCGTGCACTGGATCGACCAGCTGCGGTCCAACTGGTGAGTCCCGCCCTTCCGCGACAGCGCCCCCCGCCTGCCATCTCATCGCCGCGCTTTGTTTCTTGTTGCCACAAAAAAAAAAAAGGTCCCGCGCTTACGCCTCTGCCTCCCCCGCGCAGGTGGTTCTCTGGTGGCTGTACGCTCTCCTGACGCGCCTCGTGCCGGTGCGCCCGCCGGCGGTGCTCCACCCGGCGATGCTCGGCTTCCGGCGCCGCCACAGCATCGTGCGCGTCGGCTACGCGGGCTGGCTCGTCATCAGCGCCGCCGTCCTCTGGGCGCAGCTCGGCCTGTGGGCGGGCCCTGTGCCTGCTGCCGTCGTGCCGGAGCGGCGCGAGGAACGGCGGTGAAGGCTTTGCTGTTTTTTGCTTTTTTTGGGTGTGTTTGGTCTGGGTTCTGTCTGTCGCTTTTTTTTTTTTCTCGTCGTTCCTTTCGTTGTCGTTTTGTGTCATGACGTCCTTCCAGCATTTTCTTTTGCCTCGTATCTTCCTGCACATCTCACTCATGCACACACCAATCACGCATACACGCACACATACTATTATCCTAGCTAGCCGTCATGATACATACACACGATACCTCGGCCTTTCTCTCCTGCGCTTGTTTTTCCTTGTTTCGTGCTGTTCTCATGCTTTTTTTTTTTTGGTTCCCCGCTCTGGATGGCCCGGCACAACCTGTGCGACGTGCCGGGCGAACAAATGCTTCACCGGTCGCGTCCCCCTCTGCCCTTCTTTTTTCATTTTTCATTTTTCGTTCTCTCTCTCTCTCTCTTTCTTCTTTGCTGTATCTGCTGCTGCTGCTACCGCTGTCCGACCTGTTGTAGCTTACTCTGTCCTACATCTATTACGCTCTCGAGACGTAGACTAGCGTTTTCTTTTTTCTTTTTCCAATCTTAGTGACGACGCCCTGTCTGTGACTTTGATGCGGATTTGTGTGTGCGTGAGACAAGTGGCTTTGCATGTGCGCGCGACGTGGCGGCGGTCGAGAGGGAGGCACACTGCGCCTGGAGCGCGTGGACTTGCTATATTGCGTGCCAAAGGCCCCCACTTTGACAAGAAGTAAAAAATGGTGAGACACAGCTGTTACTGTATCTTGCAGTAGCAAACAGTAGATACATTACTCGGTGCCAACAGCAACTGGTTTTGTTTGGCAGGGAGCGGTTGAGATTTCATTTCAGTGCCCGAGCTCCTAAGTAGAGCGGAGGCTGCCGGCACGGCGATCAATGCTATCAGGAGCCGCCATCACCACCGGCCGGCCGTTCCTGTCTTCTTGCTCCGAGTGCACTACTGTAGGCCACCGTCCGCTGTCCTAGCACCGTTCTCACCGCCAACGTACATAAAATAACAGATGTTGTTCAAGGAACCGCTTCTTCCCATGCTCATCCTCACAGCTGCAGAAACCCCCCGCCACCATGCAGTACTATCTCTACGTCGAGCCATGCCACGCTCAGGGACACGCGTTTCAGCAAAATAATCTCAAGTAGTATTTGTCGTGCCTTCTGTTATAACCAGATCGTCCACTGTGGCTCCTACCATCGAGTGACGACCCGGTGTGTCTGTCTTGTCCATATACCACTATGCGTGTGCTGACGGCGTGTCCATAGAACGTTGCCCCGAACTGTCAGACTTTCTTGGACTGAGCAGCTTGCTGGCTCCAAGGTCGCACCCCCTGACGCGTCTCTGGGACACGGCTTGTTCGCATGACTTACAACCGGCAAAATCTGTCGATTCTCCACTGTCCTCGATGCCTTCTACGCCAGCGAACCCACAGTTGTCCTATGCAGTGGCTGCCGTCTACCCAGCGCATGATTGGCATGCTTGCTACGTTCTTCATGGCAATATTATAGCGCTTCGGCTTACTTCGACCTTCGCCATCACGACCTCAGATTAGCCCCACACTACGTTCACGCCGCTCCAGGTCCCATTCAACAAGACACGCACAAGCTCGCTCTGAAACGGCTCATCACCGAGCCTATAATCGTCTCTACTCTCCAACTCCTCCGGTCGAGCTCTGGCGCGGGCAGCACCTCAATCCCAAGCACCGCGATCCGCACCTGCACGCTGACCCTGTCGTCTAGTCTCGCACAGCTGTACGCGAAGGTCATGAAACCGAGGGTTTGCAGGTGAACACGGACTGTCATCCTGCCCTGACGCAGATACGCTCCTGTCTTTATCCAACTGATATTATGCGTGCGTATAGCATATTACGAATGATGGCAGCCAACCCTATCTATAACCGTATTAATTGTCCCTGTGCTTGCCTCAGAATCTGGTTTTGCGGTCCCAAGTTGTATTGATTCTACCCGCTGCGGTACATCTGTCAGGGACATCGCTGACCTGTGCAACTGGCTTGTGGCATGTGTTCTTCTGCAATCCCTTCGTAGTTCGACATACCTGGCACTCGTTCGCGAGATGGGTGGAGGCTGGAAATCGGCTCGATGCGGCACTGCCGGTAAGCATAATAAGGTTAAGTTCATCTTCATCTCGCCATGTGGACATGTACGCATGGCCTGTGCCAGACGCTAGGTCCTCCC